TGCTTCTTTGGTTGCTTCGGAAAGCGCCATGTATTCTGCTTCTGTTGAAGATAGCGCGACCGTCCGTTGTTTCTGGCTTTTCCAGCTGATGCATCCTCCGCTCATCATGAACACATAGCCGCTTGTACTTCGTCTTGACTCAATGTCGCCGGCCCAGTCTGCGTCGGTGTACCCGCAGATACGGCTTCCTTCTTGACGTGTAAACTCAAGACCATGGTTGGGCGTTGCTTGCAGGTATCTCAGCACACGCTTCAAAGCTTGCCAGTGAGTCGGGCATGGGTCGGACGAGAACTGGGATAATGATCCCACTGCAGCAGCTAGATCCGGACGTGTGGCGACCATGAGATACATGATGCCTCCGACAGCACTTCGATATGGCACGTTGCACATGGTGTCTTCGTGCTTGCATTCTTGTTCACACATGTTCTTGGTTAGCTTCAGGCCGGGATCTTGAGGCGTCTTCACTGGCTTGCTGTTATCCATTCCGGAACTTGGTTAACACGGACTTGAGAAACTTGGTTTGTTGCACAGTCACCATTCCCGTCTTACGGTCGTTCTTGATCTCCATGCCGAGAAAGTAATCGAGCTCACCGAGATCCGTCATTTCGAAGCGTTTGCTCAGCGCCATCTTGGTCGACTTGAGGAGTTCGTTGTTGCTGCTGGCCAGGATGAGATCATCGACGTAGAGCACCACGAGAATCATGTCTTGGTCGTCTCGCTTGATGTAGATGCAGTGGTCCGATTCGCACTTCTTGAATCCCATCTTGATCATGAACCCATCGATTGTTTGGTTCCACATGCGAGGCGATTGCTTCAAGCCGTAGAGTGATCTCTTTAGCTTGCACACATAGTCCGGCTGTGTTGCATCCAGGTATCCGTCCGGCTGGTCCATGTAGATGTCTTCGTTGAGGGAGCCGTTAAGAAACGCTGTCTTGACGTCCATCTGATGTAGCATTAGGCCGTACTTAGCCGCCATACTGAGCACCACACGAATCGATGTGAACTTGGCCACCGGTGCGAAAGTTTCTTCATAGTCAACTCCGAATTTCTGTGAGAATCCTTTGGCCACAAGTCTTGCCTTGAAACGTTCAACTTCGCCATCTTGATTCTCCTTTACACGAAAAACCCATCGGCACCCGATGGCCTTGCGACCTTTCGGAAGAGGCACGATTTCCCACGTGTCGTTTCTCTGAAGCGAATCGAACTCCGAGTCACACGCTTCTTTCCACTTGCCGGAGTCGCTTGATTCCATCGCCGACTTGAATGTAGTCGGCGTTTCCCCCACTGAATCAACGATGTAGGCTGCTTCAAAATCCATTGCAGCCGCTGACACATGCTCAAGCGACGGACCTCTGTATGTTCTTCGCTTGGGACTTGGAATGACGGTAGCTTTCTCAAGTGATTGAGTGCGCGTATGTCTCTTGATGTTGCTCTTCGAAGACCTGGTGTCTTCGTTGTCATCGTCGCTCGAGTCCATGTCGTCGTCAGTTTTACCTTCTTCTTTTCTTCGTCCTCATCATGATCATCAAACTCAACGACACTTGACTCATCGTTGTAGTTGCGCGGACCTTCATCAAACTTGTCTTCCATGAATGTGGCATCGCGACTGATCTTGATCGCTCCTGTTGACACTTCCTCAAATCGATATGACTTCTGGTGTTCGGCGTATCCCAGGAAACGACAGAGTGATGACTTGGAGTCGAACTTCGCGCGTTTGTCTTGAGGCACTTGAACATACGCGTGGCATCCAAACACTTTAAGGTTGGCCAGAATCGGTTTCTTCATCGTCCACACTTGATATGGAGACTTGTCTTGGTGAATGGCACGTGTTGGACAGCGGTTTCGAAGAAACATCGCCGTCATCACTGCTTCACCCCAGTAGCTCTTTCCCAGTCCAGCGTGTTCCATCATGCAACGCGCACACTCGACCAGCGTGCGATTCATTCTCTCAGCTACTCCGTTTAGCTGAGGAGTATATGGGGGTGTGAACCTTTGTTGTATTCCCCGTTCCGCGCAGAATCGTGCCAGCTTGTCGGACTTTGTATTCACCCCCATTGTCGCTTTGAAGGTACTTCACGCGCTTTCCGGTTTGCGTTTCGGCCATCGCAGCGTATTCCATGAACTTCGCCGCAACTTCAGATTTGCTCTTGAGCAGATAGACGACACAGTTTTTTGTTTTTTTATCAAAAAATTTTATGAAGTACCGTTTTCCACTGAAAGTTGCCATCGACATCGGTCCGCATACGTCGCTGTGAATCACTTCGAGGAGTTTGGAGGTGCGAGCTGTAGTGTTTGATTGGAAGCGCACTCGAGTCTGTTTTCCCAGAGCACAACCTTCACACACGTCCCACTTCTTCACCGAAGATATGTCGATGCCAATTCCAATGTTCTTCGTCACGATGCACTTGAGTCCATCGTGACCTATGTGGCCAAGCCGAAGGTGCCAGAGGTACGACTTGGTGCCCCCTTGACATCCCGACGACTTGGCTGCATTTGCTTGTTCCGGCGCCACTGGAGTCATTTGCAGCTTGAACAGTCCTTTACCTTCACGGGCACCAATTTTCCACTTGGTCCCTTTCGCTTCTCCATAGCACCCATCCTTCGTGAACGTCACTGGGCCGACATCCTTGGTGAAGCGGCCGACCGAGAACAGGTTTCTGGATAACTTTGGGATGTGCCACACGTTTGTGAGCACACCTTTCTTCATCCCTTGGGGTGTCTTCATCGACATGACAATGTCCCCACTGCCGATTGCTTGGACGATTCCATCATCCGCGAGATGGACATCCACAGCGTTAAACCCCTTGTAGTTCCGCATGAACTTCTTGGAGCACGTCATGTGCTGCGTCGCCCCGGAGTCGACCAGCCAGATGTCGCTCGATTTCGCAGATGTCGTTTCACCGATCGAAAAGAGGTAGTCGCCCGAGTCTTCTTCTTGAGCGACGTTTGCACGTTGTGATCGATAGCGGTCGCCGCTGTCTTGAGCACGCTGTGGCCGGTGTCTCTCCGTGTTTTCTTGGATGCGCGAGGGGCACTCCGCCATCCAGTGACCAATCTTTCCGCAATTGTGGCACGGCCAGGACTTCTTCACTGGTCGCCCTTTGCGCTGATTGTCCCTTGTGATGAACGCTTGACCTTGCGAAGCTTCATCACCTTTACTTCCTTGCTCCTTCCGCTTCATTTCTTCATGAAGCAGTCGAGACGTCACGAGCTCCCAGCTAAGAGTGTCTGAGCGCGACTCCAAAGCTGTGATCAAGAATTGATACGAGTCACCAGGCTGCCGAGGAGTGTGATCACCAGATCGTCCTCGCAGACTGGAGCCCCCACCGCTTCTAGCTGTTCCGCCAGCGTCTTGAGCTTGTTGATGTGTTCGAGCACATCGTCGCCTTCTTCCATCATTGTCGTGAAGAAGCGACGGCGCAAGAACAGCTTGTTGGCAAGACTCTTCTTCTCGAAGTGGTCTTCCAACCTTGACCATGCGTCGCATGCACCACTTGCCGACCGGACCAACGGTAGCTGGGAATCTTCCATGGCTAGACAGATCACTGCCATCGCCTTTCTTGACTTCCTCTTGTACGTCGCTTGGTCCAACTGAGTCTCGCACTGTTCCGCCTTGATCTCACCGCTGACGACCTCCCATAGGTCCCGTTTCTCCAGCACCATCTGCATCTTGAACTTCCAGGCGTGGAAGTTAGTTCCATCGAACTTGGAGATGCGGAGGGAGGAGGCGTCCATGGCAGCTAAGCTTGAATTGTTGGCGGTTTCAGAGTCTGACGAACTTGGGCTCATAACCTGATGAACTTTAGACTTCTTGGTCCGAGTGCAAAACGCAAAGTAAATATATATTTATAATAGGTACTTAGTTCGCAACTTTGAATACTACCTCTAAGCCTATTATTCGCAGTGACGTCATCCAGTGACGTCACCCACTGACGTCATCCAGTGACGTCACCCACTGACGTCACCCACTGACGTCATGCAATGACGTCATCCAGTGACGTCATTTCCTGACTTCGCCCTTACTGGTACATACCGGTACCCACCGGTATAGCGAAGCTTGGTCTTCCACTTGCTTCAACACTTGACGCAGCTTGACGAGGTGTCTTCTTCACAGCTGCTGTCTTTTCAACACATCTGATGTAGCATTAGGCCGTACTTAGCCGCCATACTGAGCACCACACGAATCGATGTGAACTTGGCCACTGGTGCGAAAGTTTCTTCATAGTCAACTCCGAATTTCTGTGAGAATCCTTTGGCCACAAGTCTTGCCTTGAAACGTTCAACTTCGCCATCTTGATTCTCCTTTACACGAAAAACCCATCGGCACCCGATGGCCTTGCGACCTTTCGGAAGAGGCACGATTTCCCACGTGTCGTTTCTCTGAAGCGAATCGAACTCCGAGTCACACGCTTCTTTCCACTTGCCGGAGTCGCTTGATTCCATCGCCGACTTGAATGTAGTCGGCGTTTCCCCACTGAATCAACGATGTAGGCTGCTTCAAAATCCATTGCAGCCGCTGATCACATGCTCAAGCGACGGACCTCTGTATGTTCTTCGCTTGGGACTTGAATGACGGTAGCTTTCTCAAGTGATTGAGTGCGCGTGTGTCTCTTGATGTTGCTCTTCGAAGACCTGGTGTCTTCGTTGTCATCGTCGCTCGAGTCCATGTCGTCGTCAGTTTTACCTTCTTCTTTTTCTTCGTCCTCATCATGATCATCAAACTCAACGACACTTGACTCATCGTTGTAGTTGCGCGGACCTTCATCAAACTTGTCTTCCATGAATGTGGCATCGCGACTGATCTTGATCGCTCCTGTTGACACTTCCTCAAATCGATATGACTTCTGGTGTTCGGCGTATCCCAGGAAACGACAGAGTGATGACTTGGAGTCGAACTTCGCGCGTTTGTCTTGAGGCACTTGAACATACGCGTGGCATCCAAACACTTTAAGGTTGGCCAGAATCGGTTTCTTCATCGTCCACACTTGATATGGAGACTTGTCTTGGTGAATGGCACGTGTTGGACAGCGGTTTCGAAGAAACATCGCCGTCATCACTGCTTCACCCCAGTAGCTCTTTCCCAGTCCAGCGTGTTCCATCATGCAACGCGCACACTCGACCAGCGTGCGATTCATTCTCTCAGCTACTCCGTTTAGCTGAGGAGTATATGGGGGTGTGAACCTTTGTTGTATTCCCCGTTCCGCGCAGAATCGTGCCAGCTTGTCGGACTTGTATTCACCCCCATTGTCGCTTTGAAGGTACTTCACGCGCTTTCCTGTTGAAAAGACAGCGGCTGTGAAGAAGACACCTCGTCAAGCTGCGTCAAGTGTTGAAGCAAGTGGAAGACCAAGCTTCGCTATACCGGTGGGTACCGGTATGTACCAGTAAGGGCGAAGTCAGGAAATGACGTCATTGCATGACGTCAGTGGGTGACGTCACTGGATGACGTCACTGCGAATAATAGGCTTAGAGGTAGTATTCAAAGTTGCGAACTAAGTACCTATTATAAATATATATTTACTTTGCGTTTTGCACTCGGACCAAGAAGTCTAAAGTTCATCAGGTTATGAGCCCAAGTTCGTCAGACTCTGAAACCGCCAACAATTCAAGCTTAGCTGCCATGGACGCCTCCTCCCTCCGCATCTCCAAGTTCGATGGAACTAACTTCCACGCCTGGAAGTTCAAGATGCAGATGGTGCTGGAGGAACGGGACCTATGGGAGGTCGTCAGCGGTGAGATCAAGGCGGAACAGTGCGAGACTCAGTTGGACCAAGCGACGTACAAGAGGAAGTCAAGAAAGGCAATGGCAGTGATCTGTCTAGCCATGGAAGATTCCCAGCTACCGTTGGTCCGGTCGGCAAGTGGTGCATGCGACGCATGGTCAAGGTTGGAAGACCACTTCGAGAAGAAGAGTCTTGCCAACAAGCTGTTCTTGCGCCGTCGCTTCTTCACGACAATGATGGAAGAAGGCGACGATGTGCTAGAACACATCAACAAGCTCAAGACGCTGGCGGAACAGCTAGAAGCGGTGGGGGGCTCCAGTCTGCGAGGACGATCTGGTGATCACACTCCTCGGCAGCCTGAGTGACTCGTATCAATTCTTGATCACAGCTTTGGAGTCGCGCTCAGACACTCTTAGCTGGGAGCTCGTGACGTCTCGACTGCTTCATGAAGAAATGAAGCGGAAGGAGCAAGGAAGTAAAGGTGATGAAGCTTCGCAAGGTCAAGCGTTCATCACAAGGGACAATCAGCGCAAAGGGCGACCAGTGAAGAAGTCCTGGCCGTGCCACAATTGCGGAAAGATTGGTCACTGGATGGCGGAGTGTCCCTCGCGCATCCAAGAAAACACGGAGAGACACCGGCCACAGCGTGCTCAAGACAGCGGCGACCGCTATCGATCACAACGTGCAAACGTCGCTCAAGAAGAAGACTCGGGCGACTACCTCTTTTCGATCGGTGAAACGACATCTGCGAAATCGAGCGACATCTGGCTGGTCGACTCCGGGGCGACGCAGCACATGACGCGCTCCAAGAAGTTCATGCGGAACTACAAGGGGTTTGACGCTGTGGATGTCCATCTCGCGGATGATGGAATCGTCCAAGCAATCGGCAGTGGGGACATTGTCATGTCGATGAAGACACCCCAAGGGATGAAGAAAGGTGTGCTCACAAACGTGTGGCACATCCCAAAGTTATCCAGAAACCTGTTCTCGGTCGGCCGCTTCACCAAGGATGTCGGCCCAGTGACGTTCACGAAGGATGGGTGCTATGGAGAAGCGAAAGGGACCAAGTGGAAAATTGGTGCCCGTGAAGGTAAAGAACTGTTCAAGCTGCAAATGACTCCAGTGGCGCCGGAACAAGCAAATGCAGCCAAGTCGTCGGGATGTCAAGGGGGCACCAAGTCGTACCTCTGGCACCTTCGGCTTGGCCACATAGGTCATGATGGACTCAATTGCATCGTGACGAAGAACATTGGAATTGGCATCGACATATCTTCGGTGAAGAAGTGGGACGTGTGTGAAGGTTGTGCTCTGGGAAAACAGACTCGAGTGCGCTTCCAATCAAACACTACAGCTCGCACCTCCAAACTCCTCGAAGTGATTCACAGCGACGTATGCGGACCGATGTCGATGGCAACTTTCAGTGGAAAACGGTACTTCGTGACATTCATCGATGACAAGTCAAGATACTGTGTCGTCTATCTGCTCAAGAGCAAATCTGAAGTTGCGGCGAAGTTCATGGAATACGCTGCGATGGCCGAAACGCAAACCGGAAAGCGCGTGAAGTACCTTCAAAGCGACAATGGGGGTGAATACAAGTCCGACAAGCTGGCACGATTCTGCGCGGAACGGGGAATACAACAAAGGTTCACACCCCCATATACTCCTCAGCTAAACGGAGTAGCTGAGAGAATGAATCGCACGCTGGTCGAGTGTGCGCGTTGCATGATGAGCGGAGGATGCATCAGCTGGAAAAGCCAGAAACAACGGACGGTCGCGCTATCTTCAACAGAAGCAGAATACATGGCGCTTTCCGAAGCAACCAAAGAAGCAGTATGGCTCAAAGTGCTTTTGGGGGAACTTGGTGAGATGACAAGCGACGAAGCGATCAAGATGTATGAAGACAACCAAGGATCAATCGCTCTCGCCAAGAACCCGGAGTTCCATAAGAGAACAAAACACATCGACATACGCTACCATTTTGTGCGTGAGAAGGTGGAATCAGGTGAAGTCGTTTTGGAGTATTGCCCGACTCAAGATATGCTGGCAGACATGATGACCAAGCCGATCGCCGCTGTACAATTTGAAAACATTCGCGATCGACTTGGGATCCAAGGTGCCGCAGCTAACGAGTCGAGAGGGAGTGTTGAAAAGACAGCGGCTGTGAAGAAGACACCTCGTCAAGCTGCGTCAAGTGTTGAAGCAAGTGGAAGACCAAGCTTCGCTATACCGGTGGGTACCGGTATGTACCAGTAAGGGCGAAGTCAGGAAATGACGTCACTGGATGACGTCATTGCATGACGTCAGTGGGTGACGTCAGTGGGTGACGTCACTGGATGACGTCACTGCGAATAATAGGCTTAGAGGTAGTATTCAAAGTTGCGAACTAAGTACCTATTATAAATATATATTCACTTTGCGTTTTGCACTCGGACCAAGAAGTCTAAAGTTCATCACGGCCATCGCAGCGTATTCCATGAACTTCGCCGCAACTTCAGATTTGCTCTTGAGCAGATAGACGACACAGTATCTTGACTTGTCATCAATGAATGTCACGAAGTACCGTTTTCCACTGAAAGTTGCCATCGACATCGGTCCGCATACGTCGCTGTGAATCACTTCGAGGAGTTTGGAGGTGCGAGCTGTAGTGTTTGATTGGAAGCGCACTCGAGTCTGTTTTCCCAGAGCACAACCTTCACACACGTCCCACTTCTTCACCGAAGATATGTCGATGCCAATTCCAATGTTCTTCGTCACGATGCAATTGAGTCCATCGTGACCTATGTGGCCAAGCCGAAGGTGCCAGAGGTACGACTTGGTGCCCCCTTGACATCCCGACGACTTGGCTGCATTTGCTTGTTCCGGCGCCACTGGAGTCATTTGCAGCTTGAACAGTCCTTTACCTTCACGGGCACCAATTTTCCACTTGGTCCCTTTCGCTTCTCCATAGCACCCATCCTTCGTGAACGTCACTGGGCCGACATCCTTGGTGAAGCGGCCGACCGAGAACAGGTTTCTGGATAACTTTGGGATGTGCCACACGTTTGTGAGCACACCTTTCTTCATCCCTTGGGGTGTCTTCATCGACATGACAATGTCCCCACTGCCGATTGCTTGGACGATTCCATCATCCGCGAGATGGACATCCACAGCGTCAAACCCCTTGTAGTTCCGCATGAACTTCTTGGAGCACGTCATGTGCTGCGTCGCCCCGGAGTCGACCAGCCAGATGTCGCTCGATTTCGCAGATGTCGTTTCACCGATCGAAAAGAGGTAGTCGCCCGAGTCTTCTTCTTGAGCGACGTTTGCACGTTGTGATCGATAGCGGTCGCCGCTGTCTTGAGCACGCTGTGGCCGGTGTCTCTCCGTGTTTTCTTGGATGCGCGAGGGGCACTCCGCCATCCAATGACCAATCTTTCCGCAATTGTGGCACGGCCAGGACTTCTTCACTGGTCGCCCTTTGCGCTGATTGTCCCTTGTGATGAACGCTTGACCTTGCGAAGCTTCATCACCTTTACTTCCTTGCTCCTTCCGCTTCATTTCTTCATGAAGCAGTCGAGACGTCACGAGCTCCCAGCTAAGAGTGTCTGAGCGCGACTCCAAAGCTGTGATCAAGAATTGATACGAGTCACTCAGGCTGCCGAGGAGTGTGATCACCAGATCGTCCTCGCAGACTGGAGCCCCCACCGCTTCTAGCTGTTCCGCCAGCGTCTTGAGCTTGTTGATGTGTTCGAGCACATCGTCGCCTGATGAACTTTAGACTTCTTGGTCCGAGTGCAAAACGCAAAGTGAATATATATTTATAATAGGTACTTAGTTCGCAACTTTGAATACTACCTCTAAGCCTATTATTCGCAGTGACGTCATCCAGTGACGTCACCCACTGACGTCATGCAATGACGTCATCCAGTGACGTCATTTCCTGACTTCGCCCTTACTGGTACATACCGGTACCCACCGGTATAGCGAAGCTTGGTCTTCCACTTGCTTCAACACTTGACGCAGCTTGACGAGGTGTCTTCTTCACAGCCGCTGTCTTTTCAACACTCCCTCTCGACTCGTTAGCTGCGGCACCTTGGATCCCAAGTCGATCGCGAATGTTTTCAAATTGTACAGCGGCGATCGGCTTGGTCATCATGTCTGCCAGCATATCTTGAGTCGGGCAATACTCCAAAACGACTTCACCTGATTCCACCTTCTCACGCACAAAATGGTAGCGTATGTCGATGTGTTTTGTTCTCTTATGGAACTCCGGGTTCTTGGCGAGAGCGATTGATCCTTGGTTGTCTTCATACATCTTGATCGCTTCGTCGCTTGTCATCTCACCAAGTTCCCCAAAAGCACTTTGAGCCATACTGCTTCTTTGGTTGCTTCGGAAAGCGCCATGTATTCTGCTTCTGTTGAAGATAGCGCGACCGTCCGTTGTTTCTGGCTTTTCCAGCTGATGCATCCTCCGCTCATCATGAACACATAGCCGCTTGTACTTCGTCTTGACTCAATGTCGCCGGCCCAGTCTGCGTCGGTGTACCCGCAGATACGGCTTCCTTCTTCACGTGTAAACTCAAGACCATGATTGGGCGTTGCTTGCAGGTATCTCAGCACACGCTTCAAAGCTTGCCAGTGAGTCGGGCATGGGTCGGACGAGAACTGGGATAATGATCCCACTGCAGCAGCTAGATCCGGACGTGTGGCGACCATGAGATACATGATGCCTCCGACAGCACTTCGATATGGCACGTTGCACATGGTGTCTTCGTGCTTGCATTCTTGTTCACACATGTTCTTGGTTAGCTTCAGGCCGGGATCTTGAGGCGTCTTCACTGGCTTGCTGTTATCCATTCCGAACTTGGTTAACACGGACTTGAGAAACTTGGTTTGTTGTACAGTCACCATTCCCGTCTTACGGTCGTTCTTGATCTCCATGCCGAGAAAGTAATCGAGCTCACCGAGATCCGTCATTTCGAAGCGTTTGCTCAGCGCCATCTTGGTTGACTTGAGGAGTTCGTTGTTGCTGCTGGCCAGGATGAGATCATCGACGTAGAGCACCACGAGAATCATGTCTTGGTCGTCTCGCTTGATGTAGATGCAGTGGTCCGATTCGCACTTCTTGAATCCCATCTTGATCATGAACCCATCGATTGTTTGGTTCCACATGCGAGGCGATTGCTTCAAGCCGTAGAGTGATCTCTTTAGCTTGCACACATAGTCCGGCTGTGTTGCATCCAGGTATCCGTCCGGCTGGTCCATGTAGATGTCTTCGTTGAGGGAGCCGTTAAGAAACGCTGTCTTGACGTCCATCTGATGTAGCATTAGGCCGTACTTAGCCGCCATACTGAGCACCACACGAATCGATGTGAACTTGGCCACCGGTGCGAAAGTTTCTTCATAGTCAACTCCGAATTTCTGTGAGAATCCTTTGGCCACAAGTCTTGCCTTGAAACGTTCAACTTCGCCATCTTGATTCTCCTTTACACGAAAAACCCATCGGCACCCGATGGCCTTGCGACCTTCGGAAGAGGCACGATTTCCCACGTGTCGTTTCTCTGAAGCGAATCGAACTCCGAGTCACACGCTTCTTTCCACTTGCCGGAGTCGCTTGATTCCATCGCCGACTTGAATGTAGTCGGCGTTTCCCCCACTGAATCAACGATGTAGGCTGCTTCAAAATCCATTGCAGCCGCTGACACATGCTCAAGCGACGGACCTCTGTATGTTCTTCGCTTGGGACTTGGAATGACTAAGATCGACCACAAGACTCCGTTCGAGATCGTGTACAAGTCGAAACCAAGTGTCAAGCACATGCGCGTGTGTGAATGTCGGGCGTTTATCCTGACACCAAGGGAGAAGCGATTGAAGTGGGACCCGAAGGCTCGTGAAGGGATGTTCATGGGCTACGAAGAAGCGTCAAAAGCTTATCGAGTGTACGACATTGAGGCGGGCCAAGTGGTAATCAGTCGTGACATCACCTTCGACGAATCGACTTTTGACTTTTCGATGGACCGACCAAGTGACGATGATGAAGATGCGGAGTTGGACCTCGACCTCCTGGCGATCAACGAGGACGACGTGCGTCAAACCGTCTACAAGCAGACTGGCAAGCGCAAGAGTAAAGCAAGACCCGGCATGTCACGTTCAGCTCGCCCTCGAACTGGTTTGGAACAAGCAAGTGCGCCGGAACACGTCTCCAACCGTCACCAGAAACGACGATCAAGTGCTCCAGAAACGATGTCTGATGACGAAGAAGATGCAAGCGTGTACGATCAAGATGACGACTCGACGCCTCCAACATTTTGGCGTGCAAGTGCAAACGCAGTGGAAGCAACGGACCTAGCAGAACCTGTGACTTTTCAAGACGCGATCAATGGTCCTGATCAAACTCACTGGCGAAATGCTGTGAAGGCGGAACTCAAGTCGATGCATCTTCGTGGAGTTTTCCGTGCGGCAAAACTGCCAAGAGGCCAAGGCGCGATCGGCACCAAGTGGGTGTTCAAGATCAAGCGCAAAGCGGATGGATCGGTCGAGAAATACAAGGCGCGTCTCGTTGCCAAGGGCTTCAAGCAGAAGTACGGCATCGACTACACAGAGACGTTCTCGCCCGTGGTCAAGTACGTGACACTGCGTATGGTGATCGCGATCACCAAGTATTTCGACTGGCCACTGGACCAACTCGATGTGGTGACAGCCTTTCTCTACGGAGTGATGAAGGAGAAGGTGTACTGCGTGATACCAGAAGGCGTCGAGATGGATGGCGACTTCGACTGTCTCGAGTTGGTGAAAGCGATCTACGGTCTCAAGCAAGCTTCACGTGTGTGGAACGAGACTTTCGACGAGTTCGTATGCTCCATCGGTTTCGAAGCGTCGGCGTTCGACCCATGTCTCTACATCAAGGTTGTCGACGGTCACTGTGTGCTCGTGCTGGTCTACGTGGATGACGTGTTGGTCACCGGCAGCTCGCTCGAGTTGATTGCGCAGACGAAGGCCGACCTCAAGACGCGTTTCGAGATGACCGACAGTGGCAAGTGTACTTTTGTACTGGGCATTGAACTGGTGGACGAATCGGATGGCAGCGTGACGATGTGCCAGCGACGGTATGTCAACGACATCCTCAAGCGCTTCGGCATGGATGAGTGCAAGGCCACAGCAAGTCCGGTCGACTTGAGCACTCGGCTTGTCGCAAGCACCGAAGCGGCCAAGATCGACGTTCCGTTTCGTGAAGCTGTGGGAGCTTTGATGCACTTGACGACTGCGACGCGCCCGGACATTGCGTATGCTGTGGGGTACGTCTCGCTCTTCATGGAGAATCCGCAGCAAGAACATTGGACGGCGGTGAAGCGCATCTTTCGTTACTTGCAAGGGACCAAGTCGCACGGACTCCGCTTCCAGCCAAGCGACAAGATCGACTTTCGTGGCTACTCGGACGCGGACTGGGCCGGCGACCACGCTGATCGCAAGTCGACTTCGAGTTACACTTTCATGCTGATGGGTGCTCCTGTGAGTTGGGGAAGCAAGAAGCAGTCAAGTGTGTCGCTGTCGACGAGTGAAGCGGAATACATCGCACTGAGTCTGGCCATCCAGGAAGGCAAGTGGGTGCATCGCCTGCTATGCGAGATTTTGGCGGCCGCAAACGAACCAGGACCGGACCTCGTCATCCGTGAAGACAACCAGTCGTGCATCAAGATGACGAAGAATCCGGTGAATCATGGCCGCGCCAAGCACATCGACATCAAGTACCATCACATCCGTGATGAGGTCAAGCGCGGTGAAGTGCAGCTCGAGTATTGCGAGACTTCCGTGATGATGGCGGACATCATGACCAAGGGACTTTCGGGACCTCGTCACAAGGACTTGACGACGGCTCTCGGCATTCGTGCGAGTTCGGATTGAGGGGGCGTGTTGACGGTCATCGGTTTCTACCAGTATTGGTAACCGTGACCGGTCCAATCCGAACCGCCTGTTCAGCTTAGTATTTACGACGTAGTTCTTACGCTAATTACCATAGTTGATTAGACGCGTAGGATGATGAGACGCTTCACACGATTTATATGTGCACCACATATAAATCATGTAGTAAGTAGTAAGCCCCGATAATCAATCACTTTTCCAATCTTCCATCTACCCCCCCAAGTGTCTTCTCCGGTCTTCCGAGTAGACTCCCAGCATCACTCCCAGTTTCGGTCGTCAAGCTTTTCACCCCTCAACACATGGTGGTAATCCGCATTCATGTGCAGCAGCATCATACCAAATGCGACATTGCTCGCCTTGACGTAGTCATCGGGCGCTCGAGGGTCGGTGAAAGTCGGAGTCGTTTCACGGTTCACGACGTAATAGACGGACTTCTTCAAAAACACACCGCGCATGTATCGACTCCAAGTCGCATAGTTGTCTCCATTGAACTTATCAATGGAGGCGTTGGATGATGAGTTGGTGGTTTACGACATGGCGCTCGGACTCATAACCTGTTGCATTGCAAAGAGCGGAGCGAAGGGTGCGGAGAGGCTGAAGAGAGTAGAGCAGAAGACACTTGCTCACGAGTTGGAAGATTCGGAAGTGATTGATTATCGAGGCTTACTACTAACTACATGATTTACATTGGTGTACATATAAATCATGTGAAGCGTCTCATCATCCGACGCGTTTAATCAACTATGGGTAATTACCGTAAGAACTACGTCGTAAAAGCTGAGCAGGCGGTTCAGATTGAACCGGTCAAGGTTACCAATACTGGTAGAAAACCGATGACCGTCAACACGTTCCCTCAATCCAAACGAGCTCAGATGCCTAGCACCACCGTTAAGTCCTTGTGGCGCGGTCCGTGAATTCCCTTGGTCATAATGTCTGCCGACATCACCGTCGTCTCGCATTATTCAAGCTTCACTTCACCGCGCTTGACTTCATCGCGAATGTGATGGTATTTGATATCACTGTGTTTGGCGCGGCCGTGGTTGACCGGATTCTTGGTCATTTTGATGCAGGACAAGTTTTCTTCTCGGATGATGAGATCGGGTCCGTCCTCATTAGCAGCTGCCATGATCTCGCACAGAAGCGGTGGATCCACTTGTCTTCTTGAATCGCCAGACTTAGCGCAATGTACTCCGCTTCACTTGTAGACAGTGACACACTTGGCTGCTTCTTGCTGACCCAACTCACTGGAGCACCCAATAGCATGAAGACGTAGCCAGACGTTGACTTGCGATCAGTAAGGTCGCCGGCCCAGTCTGCGTCCGAATAGCCACGAAAGTCGATCCTTGCACTTGGCTTGGAGCACATTCCATGCATCTTGGTGTCTTGTAGGTAGCGAAAGATGCGCTTGACCGCAACCCAGTGTTCTTCTTGGGGACCTCCACGAAGCGCGACACAAAGCTCACAGCATAGGCAATGTCCGGTCGTTTTGCAGTCGTCAGATGCATCAAAGCACCAACAGCTTCACGGAATGGAACATCGATCTTGCTCGCTGTGCTGCTTGACATCAGTCGAGAACTGACATCCACAGGACTCGCCACAGCCTTGCACTCCTCCATTCCAAAGCGCTTGAGGATATCATCGACATAATGGCGCTGACACAGAGTCACACTGCCATCTCCACCGTCCAAAAGCTCGATCCCAAGAACAAATGAATACTTGCCGCTGTCTGCCATCTAAAAACGTGTCTCTAAGTCGTTCTTGGTTCGTGCAATTAGCTCAAGCGAGATTCCAGTCACCAAGACGTCTTTCACGTCGACCAGTACAAGCACACAATGGCCGTCCGAAGTCTTGATGTAGAGACATGGGTCGAAGTACGACGCTTGGAATCCAATGGAGCACACATACTCGTCGAACGTCTCGTTCCACACTCGCGACGCTTGCTTGAGGCCGTAAATTGACTTCACCAATTCCAGGCAGTCGAACGTACTATCAAGTTCGACGCCTTCAGGAATCACGCAGAACACTTGTTCCTTCATGACGCCATACAGGAAAGCCGTCAACACATCAAGCTGGTCATGGGCCATCCAAATGGCTTGGAAATTGCGACCACCATTCGCAGAGTCACATACTTGATCACAGGCGAAAATGTCTCCGTGTAGTCGATGCCGTACTTTTGGCGGAATACTTTGGCCACAAGTCGTGCCTTGTACTTCTCTATAGATCCATCCGCTTTACGCTTGATCTTGAAGACCCACTTCTTACCAATGGCGCGTGGTCCGTTAGGTGGCTGTTGCATTGTAGATCGGAGCGAGGAAAGCGGAGTGAACGGAGCGGAGAGACCGAAGAGAGTAGAGCAGAAAACACTTGCCCAATAGTTGGAAGATTCGAAAGTGATTGATCATCGGGGCTTACTACTTACTACATGATTTATATGTGGTGTATATATAAATCATGTGAAGCGTCTCATCATCCTACGCGTCTAATCAACTATGGTAATTAGCGTAAGAACTACGTCGTAAATACTAAGCTGAACAGGCGGTTCGGATTGGATCGGTCACGGTTACCAATACTGGTAGGAAACCGATGACCGTCAACACGCCCCCTCAATCCGAATGCTCACGAATCCCGAGAGCCGTCGTCATCTCCTTGTGGCGTGGTCCATGAAGTCCCTTCGTCATGATGTCCGCTAACATCACCGCAGTTTCACAGTACTTGAGCTTCACTTCACCGCGCTTGACCTCATCACGGATGTGATGGTACTTGATATCAATGTGCTTGGCACGGCCGTGGTTGACCGGGTTCTTCGTCATCTTGATACATGACTGATTGTCTTCATGAATCATGAGTTCCGGTCCTTCTTCATTGGCAGCCATCACGATCTCACAAAACAGACGATGAATCCACTTGCCCTCTTGAATCGCCAAGCTGAGTGCGATGTATTCAGCTTCAGTCGTGGACAACGAAACACTTGGCTGCTTCTTGCTGCCCCAACTCACTGGCGCACCGAGTAGCATGAACGTGTACCCCGATGTTGACTTGCGGTCGGTAAGATCACCAGCCCAATCCGCATCCGAATGTCCACGGAAGTCGATCCTTGCACTTGGCTTGTAGCAAATTCCATGCGTCTTGGTGCCTTGTAGGTAGCGAAAGATACGCTTAACTGCAACCCAGTGTTCTTCTTGGGGATTTTCCATGAACCGCAACACATAGCCCACAGCAAACGCAATGTCCGGACGCGTTGCAGTGGTCAGGTGCATCAACGCACCAACAGCTTTGCGAAAAGGAGCATCGACCTTGGTAGCTGCATTGCTTGAAATAAGTCGAGAGCTCATGTCCACTGGACTTGACACAGCCTTGCAATCATCCATGCCAAAGCGCTTGAGGATATCATCGACATACCGACGCTGACATAGTGTCACACTGCCATCTTCACCGTCCAGAAGCTCGATCCCAAGAACAAACGCACACTTGCCGCTGTCCGTCATCTCGAACCGCGTCTTCAGGTCGTTCTTGGTTTGTGCAATCAGCTCGAGCGAGCTTCCAGTCATCAAGACGTCGTCCACGTAGACCAGTATAAACACGCAATGGCCGTCCGAAGTCTTGATGTAGAGACATGGGTCGAAGTCCGATACTTGAAATCCGATGGAGCACACATACTCGTCGAACGTCTCGTTCCACACTCGCGACGCTTGCTTGAGGCCGTAAATTGACTTCACCAATTCCAGGCAGTCGAACGTACTATCAAGTTCGACGCCTTCAGGAATCACGCAGAACACTTGTTCCTTCATGACGCCATACAGGAAAGCCGTCAACACATCAAGCTGGTCATGGGCCATCCAAATGGCTTGGAAATTGCGACCACCATTCGCAGAGTCACATACTTGATCACAGGCGAAAATGTCTCCGTGTAGTCGATGCCGTACTTTTGGCGGAATACTTTGGCCACAAGTCGTGCCTTGTACTTCTCTATAGATCCATCCGCTTTACGCTTGATCTTGAAGACCCACTTCTTACCAATGGCGCGTGGTCCGTTAGGTGGCTGTTGCATTGTAGATCGGAGCGAGGAAAGCGGAGTGAACGGAGCGGAGAGACCGAAGAGAGTAGAGCAGAAGACACTTGCTCACGAGTTGGAAGATTCGGAAGTGATTGATTATCGGGGCTTACTACTTACTACATGATTTATATGTGGCGTACATATAAATCATGTGAAGCGTCTCATCATCCTACGCGTCTAATCAACTATGGTAATTAGCGTAAGAACTACGTCGTAAATACTAAGCTGAACAGGCGGTTCGGATTGGATCGGTCACGGTTACCAATACTGGTAGGAAACCGATGACCGTCAACACGCCCCCTCAATCCGAATGCTCACGAATCCCGAGAGCCGTCGTCATCTCCTTGTGGCGCGGTCCGTGAAGTCCCTTGGTCATGATGTCTGCTAACATCACCGTAGTCTCACAGTACTTGAGCTTGACTTCGCCGCACTTGACCTCATCACGGATGTGATGGTACTTAATATCGATGTGCTTGGCACGGCCATGGTTGACAGGATTCTTCGTCATCTTGATACATGACTGATTGTCTTCATGAATCATGAGTTCCGGTCCTTCTTCATTGGCAGCCATCACGATCTCACAAAGCAGACGATGAATCCACTTGCCCTCTTGAATCGCCAAGCTGAGTGCGATGTATTCAGCTTCAGTCGTGGACAACGAAACACTTGGCTGCTTCTTGCTGCCCCAACTCACTGGCGCACCGAGCAGCATGAACGTGTACCCCGATGTTGACTTGCGGTCGGTAAGATCACCAGCCCAATCCGCATCCGAATATCCACGGAAGTCGATCCTTGCACTTGGCTTGTAGCAAATTCCATGCGTCTTAGTGCCTTGTAGGTAGTGTGGTGAAGTCGATCTCACAAAATTGCTTGTATGAGTGTTGATCTTCCACTTGCCCAGACTTGCCGACTCACGGAGGGGGTACTCCGATCCGTGCCTTGTTGTATGACCTTGTGCTCACCTTGTGTACCCGTCGGTTGGGCTGGCTTGAGCTCTTCGTAACGGCCCTGGGAGATGTCGATCTCGCTGAGAGGTTGGGGTGAGGGTTCGCTTCCGGTGCGGAAATCTTCACACCACGAACGGGGGTTCTGCGATCCCGATCTTGGATCGCACCGATCTTGATTTGTCTTCGAGATCGGGGTCTTTGCTGTGCGGAAATCTTCGCTCAGCAAATAAAAGTCCTGCGTCGATCTTGCCTTGGGATCGGTCCGATCTGGTCTTGGGATTGGCCGATCTTGCCGGAAGTGCGCAATTTGGGTAGATCGGTGTCTTGTTTCGCCAAAATGAAACGTGCCGATCTGTCCAGGGGATCGCTTCGATCCTGCTCGGTCTTGTCTTGAACGCCTTGTCCAGATCTTCTGACCACTTGAGCCGTCTCGCGATCCTGTGTCCAAAATCCTTTTCCTTTTCCGTTGTGTGCTGCTACCCTAGCAGTTGAGTTGAGTGTGAGTACTTGATCGATCCGGGCCAGATATCCCGGGATCGCTCTTCTCGATCTTGGCCAACAATCCAAGATCGGTCTTCTGTGTCCCTGTAACACGCGTGCCTTAACCCGCCGGGGAAGCCAAATCAATCTTGCCTGGAGAATAGGGGAGGATAACGTGCGTCATGAGCAGAAGAAGTAGAGTTCAAGTCTGTTTATTAACCAACCAAATTACTATCCAACCTACCCTTAAGCCTATTCTTAACTATAGGTCACTCTTCACACCGATATCGCCTTGAATCTGGTTCGCCCCCTTGCCACGTGTCGAAATTTCGTGCCCTGTACTCCAATGATAGCGTCAATATCCCCGATATCGTACCTAGAGCACCAAATGGACCAAAATCTCCTATATGGTACCAAATACCCATTCTTGGCACCTAAGTACCCAATATATGACCCAAAATGCCGAATGTGTCCAAATTCACTTTGCGACGTCAATTCGGACAGCTTCCACTGGCTCTTTCGGCATGAAACTTCTTGACATCACTTAGTGACCTCTATCAAGTATATTCCACATGATCCAGTATCTTCATCAACCATATATTCATGATCAGTGTGGAACATGACCGATCTGTCATCCAATATCGAGATGTTGGAGGTCGATCCGGTCTAAATCGGCAATTAACACTTTTTCATCTCCTCATACGTGCTTCAATATCATCCTCCAGTGTTATCCAATCGACAACTTCATTCATACGTCTCGACATCGGTTTCCTTGACTCCCCTGAGTATGCAAAACTTCCAGATCGGTGTAAAATTAACCAAAATCAGTACTCCCAATTTAGGATCGGTAAAGAGTATCACCGATCCGTATGGTGTTGCACCTTCTTTGCCGATTCACCGACCCGTACCACCTGGTCCCAGATGCACTTTGGGGAGTCACCTTGTCCCAGATGTGTCAATTCTCCAACAAACCGTTGCCACAACATGTCGATCTGCGATCTGATCTTAGCCTGCTTCAATGTACGTATACTTCTTCTTGACCGGCATTCCAATGAGCTGTATGACTTCATCCCGACGTCTGGTTCCAGATCACCCCATAACATTTTGCAAGATGTTATACCTTCGTCGCAGAGTCATATCCCATCACCCGGTCCCAGATCCTTGTCCCAGATTGTTCCATGTAAATCGTTCCAGATCGCTCCGTCCCAGGTCGATCCATACCCATTAGTCTAACGACAGTTGGATCGGTTCGCCGATCCCGTTAAGATCATCTTCCACCTCCGTATTGGATCGCCGAGTCTCATGGCCTCCTTTTCCACCAGTAAGCGGCGCTTTAAAGGTGTGGCCACCGATCCTCGTACAAAATTTGAGTAGTGACTTTGCCACAACCGCACCCTGTACTGAAGTCTTTTGTACAGCAATTGACCTCAGTACAGTCACTCATCAACTTCGTTCCAAGCACTCAAGTCCGTCTCATGGCCTCTCCGACGCATCCACCCACCTCGCCGATCTCATCAGAAGGACCCACCATGTTTCTGTCTCCGGATCGCGACCTGTCGCCCGGATCGCCCGATCTCGGAGGACACACCCCAGCGGTCCCCGATCGGCCTGGGTCTCCGCGCCATCTAGGCCCAACAGGATCGCCCACAATCCCCACAGGATCGCCAGATCGACAGCCAACCAGACCCTCGTCTCCATCCCGAGACTCGCCATCTAGATCGCCGGATCGCGGTGGTATGCTCCTATCGTCCCAGATCAACATGAGTCTCTCAGTAATCCCAGATCGGTCGGATCACTCTCGACCGACGCGGAATTATCAGATCGTTCTTCCGAGCCATTCCCGCTTCCCACTCCTCCGGCGGCCCCAGATGCGTCCAGATCCGACATCCCGGCCGCTAATGAATCTCGTGAAAGGTCTGCTCCAGCTGTGGGCGTCACCGGCTTCGTTCCCAGAGTTTCTGCCGACGACGTTCGTCTCACGATGGCCACGATCTCGTATTTTTGGGATCGAGAGGCTACCTTCTGCAGCCAAGCCGACACCATTCATGCGCTGCAGCAGTCCTACCGAGATGCCGTCGCCTGGGGGGATCGCTTACAAGACGAGCTTGATTCGCTGTACAGATCAGCCGCCCCTTTTGTCTCCTTCGTCCAGCTTCGATATGACTGGATGCAGGGCCGCTACGTCGACGCAGTGCATTCTTTGAGTGATTGCAATCGAGCTCTGCGGACATATCGAGATCAATCGGAGGAGATTCGTCGGCTACGCAATTTGATACGTGCCAACGACGAGGCTCAGGGAACTTGGAACGACAGGTGGATGCTTTGAGGGCTCAGCTTCATTCGCTCCAAGCCGAACTCAATTCTCTCCGACAGCAGCGTGATCAGCTGACCATGGACAGGTCCTTCCTTCACATAGATATTTTGCACTTGAAGGAGCAATTGGCTCAGTCTCAGGAGGAGATCGCAGATGGACTGTCTTCGATCAGCGATCTCATACAACAAGTGGATGGTTTGACTCCCCTAGAGGGTCAGTTGGCACTTTCGCAGGCGGAGAACGCCAAACTACGTCGTCAGCTTGCGGAACACCTCGAGGTACACGACCAGTTGCAGGTGGTGGAGCATGATCGGGATCGGGCTATAGCTGAACACCGTGCTCTCCTCGACACACTGAACAGTGCTATACTCGGATCCCGGTCGTCTGCGTTGACCGCTCGATCGACGCCTAAGAGTGCTACTCCGGCCGGATCGCCCCCTGCTCCCACTACCCCGGGATCGAGATCGTTGCCCGTAGGTCCAGATCGAGATCGTCCGGCCCGCCTGCCAAGCGTCGTCGTATTCAACCAAGGTCACGATCCAGAGATTCTTTCACCGCCCGTGTGGCCTCCCGGCTATTGTCGTTGAACCCTTTAATGCCTTTAAACAAACTTCCCGGATTGGCCCCACCCGAGCCTCCACCCAATTCTTCTTGTTCTCCGCTTTCGTCCGCGGCTTCTGGGACTGGATCGGGAAGTGAGGAGCTGACCGAGTCGGATTCTAGCTCGGATGATTTGACTCGTGCTGCATTATCCCAATCGAGATCGGCCGCTCGTCGTCAACCTAGATCGGATGCCCGATCTTCGACCCCGAACCCCTCTCCGGCCGCTCGGGTTGTTCCCGCTTCTCCCGCAGCTACTGCGTTGGCTCAAGCACTGTTGCGTTTGCCTTCTCCAGACGTTCCGAAGCCTCGTTATCTTTCGTACCCATCCACTCCGGTCGCGGCTGTCCCCGTAGTCGAAATTCAAGATAATGGCGGCGTAGAAGACGTGGAGGTATCGCCGACAGGGGAGACACACAGCGAGACTGGCTCTGTTAGTCCGCCTCCGGAGTCCATTGCGCTTTCGGATCGCCATTCGTCCGATAGCGAAAACAGCATCACCCTTCCGGCGCGCCAAGTGGCTAACAGAGTTTTCTCTTCCGTTGACTTCGACAATCTTCCGCCACTCCAGCAACCACGGGATCGGTGGATTCCCAACTATCTGGCGCCCTCCCGACGGGTAGCTTCCGAGATCGCTCCATGGTCCGCTTCGCGGATCGCGATGGTTTGCGTGAGGACCATGACGATTAAGCTGTTGTTTCACCACTACTCCAAGCCCAGGAATTTTCTGTTTCCCTTCTACAATCATGGACGAGCTCCGCCTACGGGGACTTGGGCTTCTGGGCTGATCTCGCGGCAACACATCGAGGCTCTTTACGCTACAGCCCCTTGGGATAATATCATAGTCCCAGTGAACCCGATATCGTTCACCATGACTGGATGGTATCGTGATATGAGTCATCGGTACCTGGAGCTTGAGTCCACTCATCGACAAGCTCTGTGGGAATCCACTCATGCTTTCCCGATTCCTCCGGCTCAAAGGCGATCTGAACGGTTCATGCAGACATTCTGGCGCCAACGAAAACAACGCCGTTCTCGCTTTGGAGCGCGTTGGAAGAACTTCTTGAAGATGATACTCAGCGGCATGATAGCTGGCCACTGCGATCTCGACATCTTGTTAGATCCCTTCTTCCTCCACTATCCGCGCCCACACGAAGACCGAGTTTGGTATCCAGGGTTAGGACACTCTAACGACCCAGCTGACTTGCTAGGGGCGTTGGACATGGCAGACCAAGAGGATCCTTGGCGCAACCAGTTCCGTAACGCCTATTGGGATCATCCCGGATCGCAGATCCCTCGTCTGCAGGACAAGTTCAAACCTGCTCCATCGTCTTAGTCCAAGATCGATATCCAAGCCCGATCGTCTTTCATAATCGTGTAAGTCATTCAATCATCTTCTTTTTGGTACTTCAATTCTTTGCAGCTTCCACGATCTCGATCCTCATCGCTCCACATCATTCAGGAAGGTAATTCACTTGACTATCTCCATACTCACATACAAAAACCTCATCCACCAGCATGTGCTACCGTCTAGCACATCTTTCAACCCCTACATCCGCATATGCTACCTCCCGCATACTTGTTCGAACTGTTAAGGTTCGTCTGACTTGCCTTCATGAGGCTGCATTACGTCGAAACGGTTTCGACTCACTCGGTTCCGCTCAAACTCTTGCAAGATCGCCCCACAACTTAGATCGGCCTCGTCCACCCAACTTAGATCGGGATATCCCTTCCACTTCACCAGAAACTGCCGGTGTACTCGCCCATAACGGGTTTTTCTACCAGATCGCACGTCCAATATTGCCTCTACTTCGTATTCCCCTTCTTCAAGATCGCCATCCCAACTGTCTTCTGGCAGCAGAGCTTCATCGAAATCCAAGCGATCTGATTCCTCTATCGTAAGCTGATCCTTCGGGCGTTCAGGGAACGTCTTTACCTTTTTTAGCTTCGATATTGTTGACGGTCATCGGTTTCTACCAGTATTGGTAACCGTGACCGGTCCAATCCTAACCGCCTGTTCAGCTTAGTATTTACGACGTAGTTCTTACGGTAATTACCATAGTTGATTAGACGCGTAGGATGATGAGACGCTTCACATGATTTATATGTTCACCACATATAAATCATGTAGTAAGTAGTAAGCCCCGATAATCAATCACTTTCCAATCTTCCATCTACCCCCCAAGTGTCTTCTCCGGTCTTCCGAGTAGACTCCCAGCATCACTCCCAGTTTCGGTCGTCAAGCTTTTCACCATTCAACAGGTTATGAGCCCAAGCACGATGTCCTCTGCTCATGATGCCACCACCAAGATCTCCATCGACAAGTTCGACGGCGACAACTACGCGACGTGGAGCCGCTACATGCGTGGCGTGTTCCTGACCAAGTCGGCGTGGCACGTGGTGAACCGGGAGACCACCCCCCACCTTCGCCGATCCTCGCGCCAGTGACGACTACATCAAGACGAACAACATTGCGTTCGGCTTGATGCTGCTGCACATGAGCGCGGATTATCATCACGTGGTTGATGACTGTGAAGAGGCGTGGGTCGCGTGGGCGCGTTTGAAGACGCTGTACGGCGGGTCGCAGAAGGCTGGACGCATCTACTTGAAGCGCCAGCTGTTCAGCATGGAGATGGCGGAAGGCGGCAATGTGATGCATCATTGCAACGAAGTCCTCAACATCAGCGCGAAGCTCAGCAGCATCGGCGCCAAGATGGAGGACGAGGACGTGGCGATCTGCTTGTTGCGCAGCCTCCCCAAGAGCTACGAGAACGTCGTTCTCAACTTGGAGATGAGCAGCGCGGAACTGCGATCGCGAGACGTCGTGAGAGTGCTCACGAATGAGCACATCAAGAGACAAGGTGACAAGACGACATCGGTGAAGACTGAAGACGCGGCGAAGGCGTTCAGTGCCGAGCGTGAACCTCGCCAGTGCACATACTGCGGAAAATTGGGGCACACGGCGGAGCGGTGCTGGACCAAGCAGAAGGACGAAAATCAAGGTGGAGCTCGACGCGGCGGCAACAATGCTCGTGGACGCGGAGCCAACAACGTTCAGTGGCGAACCAACAGCAACTACGATGACAACTACGATCGAGTTGCGTTCGCGGTTTCGCTGGAGGCTGGACTTTCGACGGGCAAGAATATGCCAGGGATGTGGGCAGTCGACAGCGGTGCGACGCATCACATCTGCAACGACAAGGCCAAGTTTGCAAGCCTGAATGAGCGAGAGGAAGGCGAACTATCAGTGGCTGATGGCAGCAAGGCTGCGATCAAGGGTGTGGGAACCATCATGGAACGGGTGGTTCTGCCCAATGGTGACGAACTCGACATCGAGATCAAGGACGCACTGTTCGTACCAAGTATGAGCAAGAATCTGCTTTCGGTGCCACAGATCAACAAGGGTGGCAGGTTCCAAGTCGTGTTCGATGGATCCAAGATGCAAGTGAAGCGCAAGAATTCCACACAAGTCGTGGCAACAGCGGATCTCGTCGATGGACTTTACTGGCTGCGGACTCCTCAACGATCGGCAAATGCAGCAACACGCAATGGGACCATCGACTTGCATGCGCGCATGGGTCATGCACCCCTCGAAGTTCTGCGCAAGATGGTGGCCACTGGCATGATCAAGGACGCCAAGGCACCTCTCAACTCGACTGGTCCAAGTGTGTGTCGCGGTTGCCAGCAAGGAAAGATGGTTCAAAAACCATTCCCAACCAACCGTGACAAACGCCAATATGGTGTGTTCGAGTTGCTGCACTTCGACATCTGCGGGCCAATGGAACAAGTTTCGATCGGCGGCAGCAGATACTTACTGCTTGTGGTTGACGAAGCCAGCGGTTGCATGAAGGGCTTCTGTCTGCGGTCCAAGTCTGAGAGTAAAGACTGTATCAAGAACCACATTATCAAGATTCAAACTCAGTTCGGCACGAAGATCAAGTTTGTTCGGCACGATGGAGCGCATGAGTTTGCGACCAACTCCATCAAGACCTTCTACGAAGATCATGGTATTGAACAACAGATCACGGTGCCGTATGCACACCAGACCAACGGCACCGCAGAACGCGCGATAAGGACCATCGTCACGATCGGACGCAGCTTGTTGCATCATGCAAAGCTGGAGAAGTGTTTCTGGGCTGAAGCGGCAATGACGGCGATCTACATCAAGAACCGCCTGCCTTCACCCAAGATCGACCACAAGACTCCGTTCGAGATCGTGTACAAGTCGAAACCAAGTGTCAAGCACATGCGCGTGTTTGGATGTCGGGCGTTTATCCTGACACCAAGGGAGAAGCGATTGAAGTGGGACCCGAAGGCTTGTGAAGGGATGTTCATGGGCTACGAAGAAGCGTCAAAAGCTTATCGAGTGTACGACATTGAGGCGGGCCAAGTGGTGATCAGTCGTGACATCACCTTCGACGAATCGACTTTTGACTTTTCGATGGACCGACCAAGTGACGATGATGAAGATGCGGAGTTGGACCTCGACCTCCTGGCGATCAACGAGGACGACGTGCGTCAAACCGTCTACAAGCAGACTGGCAAGCGCAAGAGTGAAGCAAGACCCGGCATGTCACGGTCAGCTCGCCCTCGAACTGGGTTGGAACAAGCAAGTGCGCCGGAACACGTCTCCAACCGTCACCAGAAACGACGATCAAGTGCTCCAGAAACGATGTCTGATGACGAAGAAGATGCAAGCGTGTACGATCAAGATGACGACTCGACGCCTCCAACATTTTGGCGTGCAAGTGCAAACGCAGTGGAAGCAACGGACCTAGCAGAACCTGTGACTTTTCAAGACGCGATCAATGGTCCTGATCAAACTCACTGGCGAAATGCTGTGAAGGCGGAACTCAAGTCGATGCATCTTCGTGGAGTTTTCCGTGCGGCAAAACTGCCAAGAGGCCAAGGCGCGATCGGCACCAAGTGGGTGTTCAAGATCAAGCGCAAAGCGGATGGATCGGTCGAGAAATACAAGGCGCGTCTCGTTGCCAAGGGCTTCAAGCAGAAGTACGGCATCGACTACACAGAGACGTTCTCGCCCGTGGTCAAGTACGTGACACTGCGTATGGTGATCGCGATCACCAAGTATTTTGACTGGCCACTGGACCAACTCGATGTGGTGACAGCCTTTCTCTACGGAGTGATGAAGGAGAAGGTGTACTGCGTGATACCAGAAGGCGTCGAGATGGATGGCGACTTCGACTGTCTCGAGTTGGTGAAGGCGATCTACGGTCTCAAGCAAGCTTCACGTGTGTGGAACGAGACTTTCGACGAGTTCGTATGCTCCATCGGTTTCGAAGAGTCGGCGTTCGACCCATGTCTCTACATCAAGGTTGTCGACGGTCACTGTGTGCTCGTGCTGGTCTACGTGGATGACGTGTTGGTCACCGGCAGCTCGCTCGAGTTGATTGCGCAGACGAAGGCCGACCTCAAGACGCGTTTCGAGATGACCGACAGTGGCAAGTGTACTTTTGTACTGGGCATCGAACTGGTGGACGAATCGGATGGCAGCGTGACAATGTGCCAGCGACGGTATGTCAACGACATCCTCAAGCGCTTCGGCATGGATGAGTGCAAGGCCACAGCAAGTCCGGTCGACTTGAGCACTCGGCTTGTCGCAAGCACCGAAGCGGCCAAGATCGACGTTCCGTTTCGTGAAGCTGTGGGAGCTTTGATGCACTTGACGACTGCGACGCGCCCGGACATTGCGTATGCTGTGGGGTACGTCTCGCGCTTCATGGAGAATCCGCAGCAAGAACATTGGACGGCGGTGAAGCGCATCTTTCGTTACTTGCAAGGGACAAAGTCGCACGGACTCCGCTTCCAGCCAAGCGACAAGATCGACTTTCGTGGCTACTCGGACGCGGACTGGGCCGGCGACCACGCTGATCGCAAGTCGACTTCGGGTTACACTTTCATGCTGATGGGTGCTCCTGTGAGTTGGGGAAGCAAGAAGCAGTCAAGTGTGTCGCTGTCGACGAGTGAAGCGGAATACATCGCACTGAGTCTGGCCATCCAGGAAGGCAAGTGGGTGCATCGCCTGCTATGCGAGATTTTGGCGGCCGCAAACGAACCAGGACCGGACCTCGTCATCCGTGAAGACAATCAGTCATGTATCAAGATGACGAAGAACCCGGTCAACCACGGCCGTGCCAAGCACATTGATATTAAGTACCATCACATCCGTGATGAGGTCAAGTGCGGTGAAGTGAAGCTCAAGTACTGTGAAACTGCGGTGATGTTAGCGGACATCATGACGAAGGGACTTCATGGACCACGCCACAAGGACTTGACGACGGCTCTCGGCATTCGTGCGAGTTCGGATTGAGGGGGCGTGTTGACGGTCATCGGTTTCTACCAGTATTGGTAACCGTGACCGGTCCAATCCGAACCGCCTGTTCAGCTTAGTATTTACGACGTAGTTCTTACGGTAATTACCATAGTTGATTAGACGCGTAGGATGATGAGACGCTTCACATGATTTATATGTGCACCACATATAAATCATGTAGTAAGTAGTAAGCCCCGATAATCAATCACTTTCCAATCTTCCATCTACCCCCCAAGTGTCTTCTCCGGTCTTCCGAGTAGACTCCCAGCATCACTCCCAGTTTCGGTCGTCAAGCTTTTCACCATTCAACAGATATATGCACAATCGGAAATAACCGATATGGGGTTCCAGCGATCTCCAATTTTACAGCATGACCTCCACATACGTCCGCAACTCGGAATGGCCCATGCCACATGTGCGCTAGCTTCTTCGCATATCCCTCTTTAACTCGGTCCATGTATAGCCAAACTTGCGCTCCTACTTCGATCTCGTGTGGTTCCAGATCTTCGTTGTGTCGATCCGCTCGCTCCTGGATTGCGGCTTGTAAACGATCGTTCACTGCAGATCGGGCTCGCTGGTATTGTCTTTGGATTTTGTATCTCCACCTCTTTGGATCGCGATCTCGTGTCCCCGCATTTCCCACTGGTAGCGTAGCCTCCAAAGTCGATCGCGGGTCCCACCCATGAATCAGATAAAACGGGGTATCCCCCCGGATCCGATCTTGTGCAGTGTTAATGGCAAATGTGAGCCGCTCAGCATACTCATCCCAGTCTCGCTGGTCAACTTCAGCCACGTACATCTTGAGCGAATGTGTCAGGGTTTGCACCATTCGTTCGGCTGTTCCATTTGCTTGTGGCCTGTAAGCCATAGTAGCACGCTGTTTTTGTCCTACGATCCGACTGAAGGCTCGAAAGAAGTCGGACATAAATCCCGGTTCTCGATCGTGCCTGATAGCCTCGCTAGCTCCGAAGCGTCGACACACACATTCTTCGTAATTCTCCGCTATTGTTTGTGCCGTCCGAAAGGAGCTAGCCTTTGCAATCACATATCCCGAGAAAAGGTCGACCCAAATGAGCAGTTCGGTGTTCCCCTTGATGGACTTGGGCGACGACGGTATATGATCCATGGCGATGATCTGGATGGATAGGTTGCGTGTAGATTGTGTTGAATGGTGAAAAGCTTGACGACCGAAACTGGGAGTGATGCTGGGAGTCTACTCGGAAGACCGGAGAAGACACTTGGGGGGTAGATGGAAGATTGGAAAGTGATTGATTATCGGGGCTTACTACTTACTACATGATTTATATGTGGTGCACATATAAATCATGTGAAGCGTCTCATCATCCTACGCGTCTAATCAACTATGGTAATTACCGTAAGAACTACGTCGTAAATACTAAGCTGAACAGGCGGTTAGGATTGGACCGGTCACGGTTACCAATACTGGTAGAAACCGATGACCGTCAACACGCCCCCTCAATCCGAACTCGCACGAATGCCGAGAGCCGTCGTCAAGTCCTTGTGACGAGGTCCCGAAAGTCCCTTGGTCATGATGTCCGCCATCATCACGGAAGTCTCGCAATACTCGAGCTGCACTTCCCCGCGCTTGACCTCATCACGGATGTGATGGTACTTGATGTCGATGTGCTTGGCGCGGCCATGATTCACCGGATTCTTCGTCATCTTGATGCACGACTGGTTGTCTTCACGGATGACGAGGTCCGGTCCTGGTTCGTTTGCGGCCGCCAAAATCTCGCATAGCAGGCGATGCACCCACTTGCCTTCCTGGATGGCCAGACTCAGTGCGATGTATTCCGCTTCACTCGTCGACAGCGACACACTTGACTGCTTCTTGCTTCCCCAACTCACAGGAGCACCCATCAGCATGAAAGTGTAACCCGAAGTCGACTTGCGATCAGCGTGGTCGCCGGCCCAGTCCGCGTCCGAGTAGCCACGAAAGTCGATCTTGTCGCTTGGCTGGAAGCGGAGTCCGTGCGACTTGGTCCCTTGCAAGTAACGAAAGATGCGCTTCACCGCCGTCCAATGTTCTTGCTGCGGATTCTCCATGAAGCGCGAGACGTACCCCACAGCATACGCAATGTCCGGGCGCGTCGCAGTCGTCAAGTGCATCAAAGCTCCCACAGCTTCACGAAACGGAACGTCGATCTTGGCCGCTTCGGTGCTTGCGACAAGCCGAGTGCTCAAGTCGACCGGACTTGCTGTGGCCTTGCACTCATCCATGCCGAAGCGCTTGAGGATGTCGTTGACATACCGTCGCTGGCACATTGTCACGCTGCCATCCGATTCGTCCACCAGTTCGATGCCCAGTACAAAAGTACACTTGCCACTGTCGGTCATCTCGAAACGCGTCTTGAGGTCGGCCTTCGTCTGCGCAATCAACTCGAGCGAGCTGCCGGTGACCAACACGTCATCCACGTAGACCAGCACGAGCACACAGTGACCGTCGACAACCTTGATGTAGAGACATGGGTCGAACGCCGACTCTTCGAAACCGATGGAGCATACGAACTCGTCGAAAGTCTCGTTCCACACACGTGAAGCTTGCTTGAGACCGTAGATCGCCTTCACCAACTCGAGACAGTCGAAGTCGCCATCCATCTCGACGCCTTCTGGTATCACGCAGTACACCTTCTCCTTCATCACTCCGTAGAGAAAGGCTGTCACCACATCGAGTTGGTCCAGTGGCCAGTCGAAATACTTGGGTGATCGCGATCACCATACGCAGTGTCACGTACTTGACCACGGGCGAGAACGTCTCTGTGTAGTCGATGCCGTACTTCTGCTTGAAGCCCTTGGCAACGAGACGCGCCTTGTATTTCTCGACCGATCCATCCGCTTTGCGCTTGATCTTGAACACCCACTTGGTGCCGATCGCGCCTTGGCCTCTTGGCAGTTTTGCCGCACGGAAAACTCCACGAAGATGCATCGACTTGAGTTCCGCCTTCACAGCATTTCGCCAGTGAGTTTGATCAGGACCATTGATCGCGTCTTGAAAAGTCACAGGTTCTGCTAGGTCCGTTGCTTCCACTGCGTTTGCACTTGCACGCCAAAATGTTGGAGGCGTCGAGTCGTCATCTTGATCGTACACGCTTGCATCTTCTTCGTCATCAGACATCGTTTCTGGAGCACTTGATCGTCGTTTCTGGTGACGGTTGGAGACGTGTTCCGGCGCACTTGCTTGTTCCAACCCAGTTCGAGGGCGAGCTGACCGTGACATGCCGGGTCTTGCTTCACTCTTGCGCTTGCCAGTCTGCTTGTAGACGGTTTGACGCACGTCGTCCTCGTTGATCGCCAGGAGGTCGAGGTCCAACTCCGCATCTTCATCATCGTCACTTGGTCGGTCCATCGAAAAGTCAAAAGTCGATTCGTCGAAGGTGATGTCACGACTGATCACCACTTGGCCCGCCTCAATGTCGTACACTCGATAAGCTTTTGACGCTTCTTCGTAGCCCATGAACATCCCTTCACAAGCCTTCGGGTCCCACTTCAATCGCTTCTCCCTTGGTGTCAGGATAAACGCCCGACATCCAAACACGCGCATGTGCTTGACACTTGGTTTTGACTTGTACACGATCTCGAACGGAGTCTTGTGGTCGATCTTGGGTGAAGGCAGGCGGTTCTTGATGTAGATCGCCGTCATTGCCGCTTCAGCCCAGAAACACTTCTCCAGCTTTGCATGATGCAACAAGCTGCGTCCGATCGTGACGATGGTCCTTATCGCGCGTTCTGCGGTGCCGTTGGTCTGGTGTGCATACGGCACCGTGATCTGTTGTTCAATACCATGATCTTCGTAGAAGGTCTTGATGGAGTTGGTCGCAAACTCATGCGCTCCATCGTGCCGAACAAACTTGATCTTCGTGCCGAACTGAGTTTGAATCTTGATAATGTGGTTCTTGATACAGTCTTCACTCTCAGACTTGGACCGCAGACAGAAGCCCTTCATGCAACCGCTGGCTTCGTCAACCACAAGCAGTAAGTATCTGCTGCCGCCGATCGAAACTTGTTCCATTGGCCCGCAGATGTCGAAGTGCAGCAACTCGAACACACCATATTGGCGTTTGTCACGGTTGGTTGGGAATGGTTTTTGAACCATCTTTCCTTGCTGGCAACCGCGACACACACTTGGACCAGTCGAGTTGAGAGGTGCCTTGGCGTCCTTGATCATGCCAGTGGCCACCATCTTGCGCAGAACTTCGAGGGGTGCATGACCCATGCGCGCATGCAAGTCGATGGTCCCATTGCGTGTTGCTGCATTTGCCGATCGTTGAGGAGTCCGCAGCCAGTAAAGTCCATCGACGAGATCCGCTGTTGCCACGACTTGTGTGGAATTCTTGCGCTTCACTTACATCTTGGATCCATCGAACACGACTTGGAACCTGCCACCCTTGTTGATCTGTGGCACCGAAAGCAGATTCTTGCTCATACTTGGTACGAACAGTGCGTCCTTGATCTCGATGTCGAGTTCGTCACCATTGGGCAGAACCACCCGTTCCATGATGGTTCCCACACCCTTGATCGCAGCCTTGCTGCCATCAGCCACTGATAGTTCGCCTTCCTCTCGCTCATTCAGGCTTGCAAACTTGGCCTTGTCGTTGCAGATGTGATGCGTCGCACCGCTGTCGACTGCCCACATCCCTGGCATATTCTTGCCCGTCGAAAGTCCAGCCTCCAGCGAAACCGCGAACGCAACTCGATCGTAGTTGTCATCGTAGTTGCTGTTGGTTCGCCACTGAACGTTGTTGGCTCCGCGTCCACGAGCATTGTTGCCGCCGCGTCGAGCTCCACCTTGATTTTCGTCCTTCTGCTTGGTCCAGCACCGCTCCGCCGTGTGCCCCAATTTTCCGCAGTATGTGCACTGGCGAGGTTCACGCTCGGCACTGAACGCCTTCGCCGCGTCTTCAGTCTTCACCGATGTCGTCTTGTCACCTTGTCTCTTGATGTGCTCATTCGTGAGCACTCTCACGACGTCTCGCGATCGCAGTTCCGCGCTGCTCATCTCCAAGTTGAGAACGACGTTCTCGTAGCTCTTGGGGAGGCTGCGCAACAAGCAGATCGCCACGTCCTCGTCCTCCATCTTGGCGCCGATGCTGCTGAGCTTCGCGCTGATGTTGAGGACTTCGTTGCAATGATGCATCACATTGCCGCCTTCCGCCATCTCCATGCTGAACAGCTGGCGCTTCAAGTAGATGCGTCCAGCCTTCTGCGACCCGCCGTACAGCGTCTTCAAACGCGCCCACGCGACCCACGCCTCTTCACAGTCATCAACCACGTGATGATAATCCGCGCTCATGTGCAGCAGCATCAAGCCGAACGCAATGTTGTTCGTCTTGATGTAGTCGTCACTGGCGCGAGGATCGGCGAAGGTGGGGGGTGGTCTCCCCGGTTCACCACGTGCCACGCCGACTTGGTCAGGAACACGCCACGCATGTAGCGGCTCCACGTCGCGTAGTTGTCGCCGTCGAACTTGTCGATGGAGATCTTGGTGGTGGCATCATGAGCAGAGGACATCGTGCTTGGGCTCATAACCTGTTGAATGGTGAAAAGCTTGACGACCGAAACTGGGAGTGATGCTGGGAGTCTACTCGGAAGACCGGAGAAGACACTTGGGGGGTAGATGGAAGATTGGAAAGTGATTGATTATCGGGGCTTACTACTTACTACATGATTTATATGTGGTGCACATATAAATCATGTGAAGCGTCTCATCATCCTACGCGTCTAATCAACTATGGTAATTACCGTAAGAACTACGTCGTAAATACTAAGCTGAACAGGCGGTTAGGATTGGACCGGTCACGGTTACCAATACTGGTAGAAACCGATGACCGTCAACAGATTGCCCGGGGATTTCCCATGAATCATCGGGTTTCCTTTGCCGGTCTCACAGTCGGTACATTCGCCCACATATCGTTGAACGCTCCGATACAGTCCTCTCCAATGAAATCGCGACCTGATCCTCTGATAGGTTCGGCCAATACCCTGATGGCCTCCTTCCAGACTCGTGTGATAGTGATGCAAAAAATCCTGCTGCAACGTCTCAGGGATCACCAACCGCATCAAACCATCGCGATCTTCCGACTCTCTTTTCGCCATGGGGCAAAAAAATAGCAGATTGTTCTCATCGATCTCGTATTCCGGCGCCAGTTTGGCGCACATCTTCACTTCTACCGCATCCAAGTTTGATACATCGCCACTTAGATATGTCTTGAGATTGACAATCCAACGCTCTTCATCTTGAGCTTGGACAATTCGTTAAATCCTGATCCTCTGTACTATCTCCTCCTGTATCACTTCAGGTTCATGACATATCCTCCTGGCTGATCTCGTGATCGCAGTTACCCGAGCCAGCTGACCATCTTGCTTGGGCTTCAACAATTCATCGAGACGGTTCAGAGTCATCAGATCTTGCCGATCCTCTTCAGGTACAACCGTTCTTCCCTTTTCGCTCTGCAATGCTGTGCTGGCTAGTCGATCTGCGCTCTGATTCCACTCTCGCTTCACATGCAGAAACTCGTGACTAGGCCATGACCGCAGCTTCTCCAACGCTTTGTGTCTCAGAAGCTGAAGGCCCGGTGCCTTGCAGTCGATCTCACCGCGCATCTGTCGAATCACCAGACTGGAATCTCCTCACAGTATTACTCGCCCCCTATCCAGATCGGCGAGTAACTCAAAGCACAGTAGCAAGCCATTATACTCAGCTTCATTCACAGTCAGGTCGTGAACATATCTCGATTCGGCCGCCACGATCGTCCATTCGGGTAACTTCCATATCACGGCACTGAACGACCCTCCTTTCTTTTTTATCCTAGCCGATCCATCGAACTGGGCCACCAGCAACTCCTCATCTGTTTCCACCGTTGGAGGAGGCATCGATATTTTGAGTCGACAGTCTTTTCGTGGGGAGATCGCAATCAGCATCTTTTCCACTTCTCCTCTCGGAGTGATACTCGCTGCTAACATGCCCAGGATCTCTTCCTCTCCTCTTTCACATTTCTTCATCTCCATAGTCCAATTTGACAACAAAGCAGCCCACCGTCCTAATCTCCCGTTGAGCCCTCGAGACTGCATCAACCAGGCTAACGTAGAATGTCGGGTCAGTACAGTGATCTCCCGCGAGTCAAGCGTAGTATAGCATACATCCAACACACAAAGTAGCGCCAGCACTTCTTTTTCTACCGTTCCGTAGTTAAGCTCATTAGGCTTTAAAGTGCGGCTAGTAAACGTCACCGGATGGTACACGCCATCGTACTCCTGTATCAGGGCCGCTGAGACAGCCCCCTTGCTAGCGTAGACCACGATTACGGGGGACCGATCTGGGTCGAAATGCTTGAGCATGGGAGCTGTAGCTATCTTAGCTTTTAGCATAGTGAAAGCAACCTTGGCTTCCGTCCATCGACCCTCGTTGGAGCATTCGTCTCCTGCTGCAAGCTGAGATCGGCCGATCTCGAAGAAATCCGATTCTCTTAACTCATACAACACCGCGGCATACACCGCACTATCCTCAATGAAGCGACGGTAGTAGTTCAAGCTCCCGAGAAAGGATTGCATAGCTCGTAGCGTGCTAGGAAACGGGATGTTAACCAACGACTCTAGGTTCTTGGGCTGAGCCTCCAGACCATCCATCGACACTCGATGTCCCAAATAATCGACCTTACGGCACCCCCCAAAGCTCTTCGTGAGGCTGATAGACAGATTCCACTTATCACATGCCTCCAGCAACCGTTCTACTTTTGTGTACAAAGATCCCCATGACGTGGATGGTATGAGAATATCGTCAATGTAAGATCGGCGTCCCAGTATAGACGGTCGTCGATCTTGTTGAATTGTGAAAAGCTTGACGACCGAAACTGGGAGTGATGCTGGGAGTCTACTCGGAAGACCGGAGAAGACACTTGGGGGGTAGATGGAAGATTGGAAAGTGATTGATTATCGGGGCTTACTACTTACTACATGATTTATATGTGGTGCACATATAAATCATGTGAAGCGTCTCATCATCCTACGCGTCTAATCAACTATGGTAATTACCGTAAGAACTACGTCGTAAATACTAAGCTGAACAGGCGGTTCGGATTGGACCGGTCACGGTTACCAATACTGGTAGAAACCGATGACCGTCAACACGCCCCCTCAATCCGAACTCGCACGAATGCCGAGAGCCGTCGTCAAGTCCTTGTGACGAGGTCCCGAAAGTCCCTTGGTCATGATGTCCGCCATCATCACGGAAGTCTCGCAATACTCGAGCTGCACTTCCCCGCGCTTGACCTCATCACGGATGTGATGGTACTTGATGTCGATGTGCTTGGCGCGGCCATGATTCACCGGATTCTTCGTCATCTTGATGCACGACTGGTTGTCTTCACGGATGACGAGGTCCGGTCCTGGTTCGTTTGCGGCCGCCAAAATCTCGCATAGCAGGCGATGCACCCACTTGCCTTCCTGGATGGCCAGACTCAGTGCGATGTATTCCGCTTCACTCGTCGACAGCGACACACTTGACTGCTTCTTGCTTCCCCAACTCACAGGAGCACCCATCAGCATGAAAGTGTAACCCGAAGTCGACTTGCGATCAGCGTGGTCGCCGGCCCAGTCCGCGTCCGAGTAGCCACGAAAGTCGATCTTGTCGCTTGGCTGGAAGCGGAGTCCGTGCGACTTGGTCCCTTGCAAGTAACGAAAGATGCGCTTCACCGCCGTCCAATGTTCTTGCTGCGGATTCTCCATGAAGCGCGAGACGTACCCCACAGCATACGCAATGTCCGGGCGCGTCGCAGTCGTCAAGTGCATCAAAGCCCCCACAGCTTCACGAAACGGAACGTCGATCTTGGCCGCTTCGGTGCTTGCGACAAGCCGAGTGCTCAAGTCGACCGGACTTGCTGTGGCCTTGCACTCATCCATGCCGAAGCGCTTGAGGATGTCGTTGACATACCGTCGCTGGCACATTGTCACGCTGCCATCCGATTCGTCCACCAGTTCGATGCCCAGTACAAAAGTACACTTGCCACTGTCGGTCATCTCGAAACGCGTCTTGAGGTCGGCCTTCGTCTGCGCAATCAACTCGAGCGAGCTGCCGGTGACCAACACGTCATCCACGTAGACCAGCACGAGCACACAGTGACCGTCGACAACCTTGATGTAGAGACATGGGTCGAACGCCGACGCTTCGAAACCGATGGAGCATACGAACTCGTCGAAAGTCTCGTTCCACACACGTGAAGCTTGCTTGAGACCGTAGATCGCCTTCACCAACTCGAGACAGTCGAAGTCGCCATCCATCTCGACGCCTTCTGGTATCACGCAGTACACCTTCTCCTTCATCACTCCGTAGAGAAAGGCTGTCACCACATCGAGTTGGTCCAGTGGCCAGTCGAAATACTTGGTGATCGCGATCACCATACGCAGTGTCACGTACTTGACCACGGGCGAGAACGTCTCTGTGTAGTCGATGCCGTACTTCTGCTTGAAGCCCTTGGCAACGAGACGCGCCTTGTATTTCTCGACCGATCCATCCGCTTTGCGCTTGATCTTGAACACCCACTTGGTGCCGATCGCGCCTTGGCCTCTTGGCAGTTTTGCCGCACGGAAAACTCCACGAAGATGCATCGACTTGAGTTCCGCCTTCACAGCATTTCGCCAGTGAGTTTGATCAGGACCATTGATCGCGTCTTGAAAAGTCACAGGTTCTGCTAGGTCCGTTGCTTCCACTGCGTTTGCACTTGCACGCCAAAATGTTGGAGGCGTCGAGTCGTCATCTTGATCGTACACGCTTGCATCTTCTTCGTCATCAGACATCGTTTCTGGAGCACTTGATCGTCGTTTCTGGTGACGGTTGGAGACGTGTTCCGGCGCACTTGCTTGTTCCAACCCAGTTCGAGGGCGAGCTGACCGTGACATGCCGGGTCTTGCTTCACTCTTGCGCTTGCCAGTCTGCTTGTAGACGGTTTGACGCACGTCGTCCTCGTTGATCGCCAGGAGGTCGAGGTCCAACTCCGCATCTTCATCATCGTCACTTGGTCGGTCCATCGAAAAGTCAAAAGTCGATTCGTCGAAGGTGATGTCACGACTGATCACCACTTGGCCCGCCTCAATGTCGTACACTCGATAAGCTTTTGACGCTTCTTCGTAGCCCATGAACATCCCTTCACAAGCCTTCGGGTCCCACTTCAATCGCTTCTCCCTTGGTGTCAGGATAAACGCCCGACATCCAAACACGCGCATGTGCTTGACACTTGGTTTCGACTTGTACACGATCTCGAACGGAGTCTTGTGGTCGATCTTGGGTGAAGGCAGGCGGTTCTTGATGTAGATCGCCGTCATTGCCGCTTCAGCCCAGAAACACTTCTCCAGCTTTGCATGATGCAACAAGCTGCGTCCGATCGTGACGATGGTCCTTATCGCGCGTTCTGCGGTGCCGTTGGTCTGGTGTGCATACGGCACCGTGATCTGTTGTTCAATACCATGATCTTCGTAGAAGGTCTTGATGGAGTTGGTCGCAAACTCATGCGCTCCATCGTGCCGAACAAACTTGATCTTCGTGCCGAACTGAGTTTGAATCTTGATAATGTGGTTCTTGATACAGTCTTCACTCTCAGACTTGGACCGCAGACAGAAGCCCTTCATGCAACCGCTGGCTTCGTCAACCACAAGCAGTAAGTATCTGCTGCCGCCGATCGAAACTTGTTCCATTGGCCCGCAGATGTCGAAGTGCAGCAACTCGAACACACCATATTGGCGTTTGTCACGGTTGGTTGGGAAAGGTTTTTGAACCATCTTTCCTTGCTGGCAACCGCGACACACACTTGGACCAGTCGAGTTGAGAGGTGCCTTGGCGTCCTTGATCATGTCAGTGGCCACCATCTTGCGCAGAACTTCGAGGGGTGCATGACCCATGCGCGCATGCAAGTCGATGGTCCCATTGCGTGTTGCTGCATTTGCCGATCGTTGAGGAGTCCGCAGCCAGTAAAGTCCATCGACGAGATCCGCTGTTGCCACGACTTGTGTGGAATTCTTGCGCTTCACTTGCATCTTGGATCCATCGAACACGACTTGGAACCTGCCACCCTTGTTGATCTGTGGCACCGAAAGCAGATTCTTGCTCATACTTGGTACGAACAGTGCGTCCTTGATCTCGATGTCGAGTTCGTCACCATTGGGCAGAACCACCCGTTCCATGATGGTTCCCACACCCTTGATCGCAGCCTTGCTGCCATCAGCCACTGATAGTTCGCCTTCCTCTCGCTCATTCAGGCTTGCAAACTTGGCCTTGTCGTTGCAGATGTGATGCGTCGCACCGCTGTCGACTGCCCACATCCCTGGCATATTCTTGCCCGTCGAAAGTCCAGCCTCCAGCGAAACCGCGAACGCAACTCGATCGTAGTTGTCATCGTAGTTGCTGTTGGTTCGCCACTGAACGTTGTTGGCTCCGCGTCCACGAGCATTGTTGCCGCCGCGTCGAGCTCCACCTTGATTTTCGTCCTTCTGCTTGGTCCAGCACCGCTCCGCCGTGTGCCCCAATTTTCCGCAGTATGTACACTGGCGAGGTTCACGCTCGGCACTGAACGCCTTCGCCGCGTCTTCAGTCTTCACCGATGTCGTCTTGTCACCTTGTCTCTTGATGTGCTCATTCGTGAGCACTCTCACGACGTCTCGCGATCGCAGTTCCGCGCTGCTCATCTCCAAGTTGAGAACGACGTTCTCGTAGCTCTTGGGGAGGCTGCGCAACAAGCAGATCGCCACGTCCTCGTCCTCCATCTTGGCGCCGATGCTGCTGAGCTTCGCGCTGATGTTGAGGACTTCGTTGCAATGATGCATCACATTGCCGCCTTCCGCCATCTCCATGCTGAACAGCTGGCGCTTCAAGTAGATGCGTCCAGCCTTCTGCGACCCGCCGTACAGCGTCTTCAAACGCGCCCACGCGACCCACGCCTCTTCACAGTCATCAACCACGTGATGATAATCCGCGCTCATGTGCAGCAGCATCAAGCCGAACGCAATGTTGTTCGTCTTGATGTAGTCGTCACTGGCGCGAGGATCGGCGGAAGGTGGGGGTGGTCTCCCGGTTCACCCACGTGCCACGGCGACTTCCAGGTCAGCGAACACGCCACGTTATCGTAGCGGCTCCACGTCGCGTAGTTGTCGCCGTCGAACTTGTCGTATGGAGATCTTGGTGGTCGCATCATGAGCAGAGGACATCGTGCTTGCGGCTCATAACCTGTTGAATTGTGAAAAGCTTGACGACCGAAACTGGGAGTGATGCTGGGAGTCTACTCGGAAGACCGGAGAAGACACTTGGGGGGTAGATGGAAGATTGGAAAGTGATTGATTATCGGGGCTTACTACTTACTACATGATTTATATGTGGTGCACATATAAATCATGTGAAGCGTCTCATCATCCTACGCGTCTAATCAACTATGGTAATTACCGTAAGAACTACGTCGTAAATACTAAGCTGAACAGGCGGTTCGGATTGGACCGGTCACGGTTACCAATACTGGTAGAAACCGATGACCGTCAACAGATCTGTCTCAGGCTCTCCATCTTTGAACACGTCGATCGGGCCATCAGAGGCTGATCTCTGACCGATCTTGAGATATCCATACAACGCATTGTCCACCAGATGTTGGTAGATCTGGGGCGCGTTCTTAAGCCCAAAAGGCATTCGCAGCCACTCGAACAAGCCAAACGGTGTGACAAACGCTGAGATCAGTTTTGCTCGTTCAGTCATTTCGACGACCCAAAATCCACTAGCCATGTCTAGCGAACAGTACCATAGAGCTTTATTTAGATCTTCCAACAGATCGCTGATCAACGGCATGGGATAAACCATCAGACGCGTCAGCTGGTTAACTCTTCGATAATCAATGTAAAGGCGAATATCCACTCCGTTCTTCTTGATGATCACCACTATCGGAGACGCCCAAGGTGACGTGGATGGCTGAACGATTTTGGCTGCTAATAGTCCTTTGACGAGATCTGACAGCTTCTCCCGATATTTGGGTGCGACCGAACGCACTCTTTGCGCTATCGGTGCTGCCCCATCGACATCAATATCACAGATCGCGCCTCGTGCTGCTGGTGGTAGAGCATTACCTTTACCCATGAGGAGGTGACGGCTCTTCCAGATCAGCGATCTGAGCCGTTGTTGATCTGTGGTGAGAGGCACATCGGGATCACCGATCTGAATGTCCTCAATCGTAACTTCTTCCGTAGTCGCCGACATCTCTGGTAGCACGGCCATATTGTTGAATAGTGAAAAGCTTGACGACCGAAACTGGGAGTGATGCTGGGAGTCTACTCGGAAGACCGGAGAAGACACTTGGGGGGTAGATGGAAGATTGGAAAGTGATTGATTATCGGGGCTTACTACTTACTACATGATTTATATGTGGTGCACATATAAATCATGTGAAGCGTCTCATCATCCTACGCGTCTAATCAACTATGGTAATTACCGTAAGAACTACGTCGTAAATACTAAGCTGAACAGGCGGTTCGGATTGGACCGGTCACGGTTACCAATACTGGTAGAAACCGATGACCGTCAACACGCCCCCTCAATCCGAACTCGCACGAATGCCGAGAGCCGTCGTCAAGTCCTTGTGACGAGGTCCCGAAAGTCCCTTGGTCATGATGTCCGCCATCATCACGGAAGTCTCGCAATACTCGAGCTGCACTTCCCCGCGCTTGACCTCATCACGGATGTGATGGTACTTGATGTCGATGTGCTTGGCGCGGCCATGATTCACCGGATTCTTCGTCATCTTGATGCACGACTGGTTGTCTTCACGGATGACGAGGTCCGGTCCTGGTTCGTTTGCGGCCGCCAAAATCTCGCATAGCAGGCGATGCACCCACTTGCCTTCCTGGATGGCCAGACTCAGTGCGATGTATTCCGCTTCACTCGTCGACAGCGACACACTTGACTGCTTCTTGCTTCCCCAACTCACAGGAGCACCCATCAGCATGAAAGTGTAACCCGAAGTCGACTTGCGATCAGCGTGGTCGCCGGCCCAGTCCGCGTCCGAGTAGCCACGAAAGTCGATCTTGTCGCTTGGCTGGAAGCGGAGTCCGTGCGACTTGGTCCCTTGCAAGTAACGAAAGATGCGCTTCACCGCCGTCCAATGTTCTTGCTGCGGATTCTCCATGAAGCGCGAGACGTACCCCCACAGCATACGCAATGTCCGGGCGCGTCGCAGTCGTCAAGTGCATCAAAGCTCCCCACAGCTTCACGAAACGGAACGTCGATCTTGGCCGCTTCGGTGCTTGCGACAAGCCGAGTGCTCAAGTCGACCGGACTTGCTGTGGCCTTGCACTCATCCATGCCGAAGCGCTTGAGGATGTCGTTGACATACCGTCGCTGGCACATTGTCACGCTGCCATCCGATTCGTCCACCAGTTCGATGCCCAGTACAAAAGTACACTTGCCACTGTCGGTCATCTCGAAACGCGTCTTGAGGTCGGCCTTCGTCTGCGCAATCAACTCGAGCGAGCTGCCGGTGACCAACACGTCATCCACGTAGACCAGCACGAGCACACAGTGACCGTCGACAACCTTGATGTAGAGACATGGGTCGAACGACGACGCTTCGAAACCGATGGAGCATACGAACTCGTCGAAAGTCTCGTTCCACACACGTGAAGCTTGCTTGAGACCGTAGATCGCCTTCACCAACTCGAGACAGTCGAAGTCGCCATCCATCTCGACGCCTTCTGGTATCACGCAGTACACCTTCTCCTTCATCACTCCGTAGAGAAAGGCTGTCACCACATCGAGTTGGTCCAGTGGCCAGTCGAAATACTTGGTGATCGCGATCACCATACGCAGTGTCACGTACTTGACCACGGGCGAGAACGTCTCTGTGTAGTCGATGCCGTACTTCTGCTTGAAGCCCTTGGCAACGAGACGCGCCTTGTATTTCTCGACCGATCCATCCGCTTTGCGCTTGATCTTGAACACCCACTTGGTGCCGATCGCGCCTTGGCCTCTTGGCAGTTTTGCCGCACGGAAAACTCCACGAAGATGCATCGACTTGAGTTCCGCCTTCACAGCATTTCGCCAGTGAGTTTGATCAGGACCATTGATCGCGTCTTGAAAAGTCACAGGTTCTGCTAGGTCCGTTGCTTCCACTGCGTTTGCACTTGCACGCCAAAATGTTGGAGGCGTCGAGTCGTCATCTTGATCGTACACGCTTGCATCTTCTTCGTCATCAGACATCGTTTCTGGAGCACTTGATCGTCGTTTCTGGTGACGGTTGGAGACGTGTTCCGGCGCACTTGCTTGTTCCAACCCAGTTCGAGGGCGAGCTGACCGTGACATGCCGGGTCTTGCTTCACTCTTGCGCTTGCCAGTCTGCTTGTAGACGGTTTGACGCACGTCGTCCTCGTTGATCGCCAGGAGGTCGAGGTCCAACTCCGCATCTTCATCATCGTCACTTGGTCGGTCCATCGAAAAGTCAAAAGTCGATTCGTCGAAGGTGATGTCACGACTGATCACCACTTGGCCCGCCTCAATGTCGTACACTCGATAAGCTTTTGACGCTTCTTCGTAGCCCATGAACATCCCTTCACAAGCCTTCGGGTCCCACTTCAATCGCTTCTCCCTTGGTGTCAGGATAAACGCCCGACATCCAAACACGCGCATGTGCTTGACACTTGGTTTCGACTTGTACACGATCTCGAACGGAGTCTTGTGGTCGATCTTGGGTGAAGGCAGGCGGTTCTTGATGTAGATCGCCGTCATTGCCGCTTCAGCCCAGAAACACTTCTCCAGCTTTGCATGATGCAACAAGCTGCGTCCGATCGTGACGATGGTCCTTATCGCGCGTTCTGCGGTGCCGTTGGTCTGGTGTGCATACGGCACCGTGATCTGTTGTTCAATACCATGATCTTCGTAGAAGGTCTTGATGGAGTTGGTCGCAAACTCATGCGCTCCATCGTGCCGAACAAACTTGATCTTCGTGCCGAACTGAGTTTGAATCTTGATAATGTGGTTCTTGATACAGTCTTCACTCTCAGACTTGGACCGCAGACAGAAGCCCTTCATGCAACCGCTGGCTTCGTCAACCACAAGCAGTAAGTATCTGCTGCCGCCGATCGAAACTTGTTCCATTGGCCCGCAGATGTCGAAGTGCAGCAACTCGAACACACCATATTGGCGTTTGTCACGGTTGGTTGGGAATGGTTTTTGAACCATCTTTCCTTGCTGGCAACCGCGACACACACTTGGACCAGTCGAGTTGAGAGGTGCCTTGGCGTCCTTGATCATGCCAGTGGCCACCATCTTGCGCAGAACTTCGAGGGGTGCATGACCCATGCGCGCATGCAAGTCGATGGTCCCATTGCGTGTTGCTGCATTTGCCGATCGTTGAGGAGTCCGCAGCCAGTAAAGTCCATCGACGAGATCCGCTGTTGCCACGACTTGTGTGGAATTCTTGCGCTTCACTTGCATCTTGGATCCATCGAACACGACTTGGAACCTGCCACCCTTGTTGATCTGTGGCACCGAAAGCAGATTCTTGCTCATACTTGGTACGAACAGTGCGTCCTTGATCTCGATGTCGAGTTCGTCACCATTGGGCAGAACCACCCGTTCCATGATGGTTCCCACACCCTTGATCGCAGCCTTGCTGCCATCAGCCACTGATAGTTCGCCTTCCTCTCGCTCATTCAGGCTTGCAAACTTGGCCTTGTCGTTGCAGATGTGATGCGTCGCACCGCTGTCGACTGCCCACATCCCTGGCATATTCTTGCCCGTCGAAAGTCCAGCCTCCAGCGAAACCGCGAACGCAACTCGATCGTAGTTGTCATCGTAGTTGCTGTTGGTTCGCCACTGAACGTTGTTGGCTCCGCGTCCACGAGCATTGTTGCCGCCGCGTCGAGCTCCACCTTGATTTTCGTCCTTCTGCTTGGTCCAGCACCGCTCCGCCGTGTGCCCCAATTTTCCGCAGTATGTGCACTGGCGAGGTTCACGCTCGGCACTGAACGCCTTCGCCGCGTCTTCAGTCTTCACCGATGTCGTCTTGTCACCTTGTCTCTTGATGTGCTCATTCGTGAGCACTCTCACGACGTCTCGCGATCGCAGTTCCGCGCTGCTCATCTCCAAGTTGAGAACGACGTTCTCGTAGCTCTTGGGGAGGCTGCGCAACAAGCAGATCGCCACGTCCTCGTCCTCCATCTTGGCGCCGATGCTGCTGAGCTTCGCGCTGATGTTGAGGACTTCGTTGCAATGATGCATCACATTGCCGCCTTCCGCCATCTCCATGCTGAACAGCTGGCGCTTCAAGTAGATGCGTCCAGCCTTCTGCGACCCGCCGTACAGCGTCTTCAAACGCGCCCACGCGACCCACGCCTCTTCACAGTCATCAACCACGTGATGATAATCCGCGCTCATGTGCAGCAGCATCAAGCCGAACGCAATGTTGTTCGTCTTGATGTAGTCGTCACTGGCGCGAGGATCGGCGAAGGTGGGGGTGGTCTCCCGGTTCACCACGTGCCACGCCGACTTGGTTAGGAACACGCCACGCATGTAGCGGCTCCACGTCGCGTAGTTGTCGCCGTCGAACTTGTCGATGGAGATCTTGGTGGTGGCATCATGAGCAGAGGACATCGTGCTTGGGCTCATAACCTGTTGAATAGTGAAAAGCTTGACGACCGAAACTGGGAGTGATGCTGGGAGTCTACTCGGAAGACCGGAGAAGACACTTGGGGGGTAGATGGAAGATTGGAAAGTGATTGATTATCGGGGCTTACTACTTACTACATGATTTATATGTGGTGCACATATAAATCATGTGAAGCGTCTCATCATCCTACGCGTCTAATCAACTATGGTAATTACCGTAAGAACTACGTCGTAAATACTAAGCTGAACAGGCGGTTAGGATTGGACCGGTCACGGTAACCAATACTGGTAGAAACCGATGACCGTCAACACATATGCTGCTCGATATCTTCCGCAAACAAATCTCCGCTCTCGTGGTGATAAACTGGTATTTCTGCAATCTCGACGTCTTCAGTATTTAGCATTATTTCTTCTTTAGGCTCCTTCGTCTCTTCCGGCTGGCCCAATTTCAACAGTCGGTCAGTCGGCTCAGCCTTCGGTAGAGACGATCTGTCACGTAGCCCTTCTTGACCGGTGTCGCGGTCTCCCTTCGTTGCATGTTGGGTACCGATCTCATGACCGTTCTCCATCCGCGATAGTTCGGCTCCCCTGACCGTTACTTCCCTCGCAACTACAGCATCTGCCTTTTGCGAATCGTCATCGTTAGCTTGCGGCGTTACCGTGGAGATCGCCGGAGACAGGTTCTGTAACGCATCAGACGGACGTTTCAAGATGCGTTTGGGAGCGGCATACGTAGGACGATCTACCAATGGTCCGATCGGTTCTTTCGGGAGCTCGTTCACTCGATCCGTCGTAGCCTCATATGCCAGAGTTTGCCATTCCTTGTACTTCCCCGACCCGACTGTCACCAAACCTTGAGTTCGCGGTACCATATCGCCTTCGACCCGCATGCCTAATATAGTGTGGGTGGGCAGTATGATCTCACGGTCGCCAATGCTGGTCATCTGCAGGTATTTCGTCTTACCCCACCCCGAGATCACAGTGGGGACCCAATCTAGTCCTCTAGCGACCCACAACTTCATCTTAGCCCCTCCGATCCCGATCTTCACTTCCCTTGACTCTCAGACCGGGATCACCACGTGTTGGTCCTTCGCCGTTATATGTTGTATCTTCGATCCGTACGCGGGGCGACGTCCTGCGAGATGAATGCGGATTTCTTCTGGTAGACATAGCGCGCCATCCGCTAGATCGAGCCGCACTCCAGCAGGCGCCATAAAATCCATACCCAGAATCGCTTCTTGCCCTGCCAGATCGCCTACCCATATATTGAAATAGTATACCAGCGATCCCGCGAGGGTCACCTTGATCTTGGTACGTCCTACCGTCATGTACGGAGTTTCTCCAATCCCGGTACATTCTTTTCGTTGACTTTCGTCAATATTGCAACCGACCTCACGAGCAAAGGTAGTGTTAATGATCGACACTTCAGCACCAGAATCAAATAACGGAGTAGCTTTTACGTTGTTGATATTGCCAACGGCTTTCGCTTGTTTGAACCACTTCCCGGGTGAATAATGTTTCCAGTATCCGCGAGATTCACCATAAGCGAGCTCGATCTCCATAGCTGGTTCAGATCGTGAGTACTCATCGATACGCTTCAGATGGGACACGGAAGCGACACGTTTTAACTTCGAACGAGATATATTTGTTTCCACGTCAATATCCTTCTTACTCTCGCGATCTGTCTTCTTTTTTTCCACGTATGCAATAATGCAGAGCCCAGAACGCTCGGCTCGTACCAGATTCAAACCTGGCGAGCGTCCTAGTTTGACATCTTCTCGGCCTTCTCTGGTAGCATCCCCGCATGCTTATTCGGGACGTACCACTGACGGATCATGTTGTAGAACTCCTCCATGGGACACTTCCCCGGGTCGTGCATCTCTCCGCAAGCACGACACACGAAAAAACAATTGTCAGAGGGGTGTCCTTTACGCCCACACTTCTGGCAAGTGAGCCGCTTCCAGCAACCGAGATCTCCATGCTTGGTCGATCCGCAATGAGTACACGGCTTCAATGGCATATTGCGATCTTGATAGTCTTGACGAGTGTTCGGGTCGACCGATCTCGCGTTTGCTGCAACGTCATTGGGGGATGAACGGCGATCCGCAGTAGCAGCCACATGGATCGATCTCAATCGATCTTCCAAATCCGATCCGCAGGTGTCCGATCCTGACTCGCTGCAGACGTCCTCGGTACGGACCATCCTTACCGCTCGTGCAGGCTTAGACAGCGCTGGACCCTGAGTTCCCTTCTGTCTGAATTTGGACGATCCCATCATCACTTTCCCTTGACGCGATCTCCCTTGTTGATATCCGTGCAGTGTCTTTTGCATGGCCTCCGCGTCTTCTACATTCAGCAGTAGCAATTGATTGGACAGATCGGGGTCGTCCAAGGTGTCAATGAAATGATTGACATGTTCCTTGCGCGCAGCTGGCAATCCAGTCATCACCGGTATCTTCGCCTGCATTCCCATCACATTAAGCCGATACAGGTACTGTAAAGGATCTTCCTCCGATCGTTTCTTTGCATGGTAGTACTGCCTGCTCGCGGACATCCCGTGTCCCGCATACTCCACAAGAAAACTGTTCATCAATTCTTTCCAATTGAATCTCGTCGATCTACTCAGCTGTCGATACCAGTAGCGGGCTGGGTCCACCATGAGATCACCGAAGACCAGACATCTCTCCTCGTCCGGTGCTTGGTCCCGGATAAACGCTGATTTCACTTTGCCGATCCAGGTCCGTGCTTTGTCTTCTTCCCGATCCTTCCCTGAGAATTCTTTCAGCTCAGAAATCGCTGAGATTCTGATCCTCTGCGTGATGCTTCCCCCTCCGGTAGTCGCACCGGTCGCGGCTACATGAGGGCGCCGTGGTTCGGGCATCCATAGATCATCCGGGTCGTATCTCCGCCCCCTCATGGATATGTTGGTAAATGTCCGACCCCACCGACTCCATCTCCACATCCGGCATGTCAAGGCTTTCGTGTGAAGGTTGGAGCAAAGTACGTCGATCTGGGTAGCGGTTTGGCTGTCGATTCATTCGCTGAGCTGTACGTTGATCCGCCTCGTACTTCTTCATGGCTGAATTGAAGTACCGACTTAGATCGCCCTCTTCTTGATCCTCCAGCCCAGTGCGGGTAGTGGCCGATCTCTGCGGCATGTTGCTCTTGGCTTGTCCCTTATAGGCGTCGATCTTGGCTTGTCCGATCTTGTCCTTTAAGAACCTTCCACCCGATGGTCCTAGAGACATCTGACGAATGCTGATGGATCCATCTGACTCGCTCTCGGAGTCATCCGAGGCGTAGCGGGGCGATCCCGCGGGGTGTTTACAGAGCGAGCCCGAGGGCGTCCCGATCTTGTCTTCAGGAGTATTCGCTTTGCCCACCAGCATTATCATGATCTCTACAAACTCATTCGCCGCGTCCTTCAACTGTTCCAAGCTGCAACTCAGCAGTTCATCTCCATCAAAAGCGTCAGGGCAGATACCCATGTCGTCCAACATCTGCAAAATCACATTGATCTCGTCGACTTTGTTGGTCCCGTGAAGTGGGACCGAGATCGGCTTATCCAGAGGACCAATCACCTTGGGACTTAACATCTTGAACACTGGGTCCGTCTTGAGCAGCGTCTTCAACTGGCCATAATAGTACTGCCATTTTGCACGCTCCCGCGCTTCACCCGTCGTCTCCTTCTCCATGGACGCGATCTTTATTGGGTTATATTCCGTCTTTAGCATCGCGATCTTATCTGGTGTTTCATCGTATTCCTCTTTGGCTCCGATCTTCGATTGCACGGTTCGGCCGATCTAGCGATCTTTGACATCTGATCCCATCGATCTCGTCGCGGATCGTTCTGATGTGGTCGATCTCGCGATTGTGCTCTTCGGCTTGAGGTCGGGCGATCTATCGACTAAGATATAGGGTTTGGCTTTCGCCGATTTGGTTTTCACCGTTGGATTTTCATCCAGCAGATCGCTCTTTGCAGAGCGATCTGCGGTGGCCCCGAAGGGACCCTAGGAGGGAATTGAGGTTTATCTTCCAGATCGATCTCTCGATCTTCCTCTTTCATTTTCATTTCATCAGAGCCCCTCCCAAAACTCTGATGATCTGAGGATCTTGTGCTTCTGCGTGTCTGCGTCGATCCCTTTGTCGCTGACACTTCAATCCCAGGTTCTTGCTTAATCTTGACATCTTCGCCAGTGGACTCACGGTGAAATCCAGAGGCCTCAGAAGATCCGGGCACGCGCACCATTGTGGTGAAGTCGATCTCACAAAATTGCTTGTATGAGTGTCGATCTTCCACTTGCCCAGACTTGCCGACTCACGGAGGGGGTACTCCGATCCGTGCCTTGCTGTATAACCTTATGCTCACCTTGTGTACCCGTCGGTTGGGCTGGCTTGAGCTCTTCGTAACGGCCTTGGGAGATGTCGATCTCGCTGAGAGGTTGGGTTGAGGGTTCGCTTCCGGTGCGGAAATCTTCACACCACGAACGGGGGTTCTGCGATCCCGATCTTGGATCGCACCGATCTTGATTTGTCTTCGAGATCGGGGTCTTTGCTGTGCGGAAATCTTCACTCAGCAAATAAAAGTCCTGCGTCGATCTTGCCTTGGGATCGGTCCGATCTGGTCTTGGCATTGGCCGATCTTGCCGGAAGTGCGCAATTTGGGTAGATCGGTGTCTTGTTTCGCCAAAATGAAACGTGCCGATCTGTCCAGGGGATCGCTTCGATCCTGCTCGGTCTTGTCTTGAACGCCTTGTCCAGATCTTCTGACCACTTGAGCCGTCTCGCGATCCTGTGTCCAAAATCCTTTTCCTTTTCCGTTGTGTGCTGCTACCCTAGCAGTTGAGTTGAGTGTGAGTACTTGATCGATCCGGGCCAGATATCCCGGGATCGCTCTTCTCGATCTTGGCCAACAATCCAAGATCGGTCTTCTGTGTCCCTGTAACACGCGTGCCTTAACCCGCCGGGGAAGCCAAATCAATCTTGCCTGGAGAAGAGGGGAGGATAACGTGCGTCATGAGCAGAAGAAGTAAAGTTCAAGTCTGTTTATTAACCAACCAAATTACTATCCAACCTACCCTTAAGCCTATTCTTAACTATAGGTCACTCTTCACACCGATATCGCCTTGAATCTGGTTCGCCCCCTTGCCACGTGTCGAAATTTCGTGCCCTGTACTCCAATGATAGCGCCAATATCCCCGATATCGTACCTAGAGAACCCAATGGACCATAAACTCTCCTATATGGTACCAAATACCCATTCTTGGCACCCAAGTACCCAATATATGACCCAAAATGCCGAATGTGTCCCAATTCACTTTGCGACGTCAATTCGGACAGCTTCCACTGGCTCTTTCGGCATGAAACTTCTTGACATCACTTAGTGACCTCTATCAAGTATATTCCACATGATCCAGTATCTTCATCAACCATATATTCATGATCAGTGTGGAACATGACCGATCTGTCATCCAATATCGAGATGTTGGAGGTCGATCCGGTCTAAATCGGCAATTAACACTTTTTCATCTCCTCATACGTGCTTCAATATCATCCTCCAGTGTTATCCAATCGACAACTTCATTCATACGTCTCGACATCGGTTTCCTTGACTCCCCTGAGTATGCAAAACTGTTGAATGGTGAAAAGCTTGACGACCGAAACTGGGAGTGATGCTGGGAGTCTACTCGGAAGACCGGAGAAGACACTTGGGGGGTAGATGGAAGATTGGAAAGTGATTGATTATCGGGGCTTAGTACTTACTACATGATTTATATGTGGTGCACATATAAATCATGTGAAGCGTCTCATCATCCTACGCGTCTAATCAACTATGGTAATTACCGTAAGAACTACGTCGTAAATACTAAGCTGAACAGGCGGTTCGGATTGGACCGGTCACGGTTACCAATACTGGTAGAAACCGATGACCGTCAACACGCCCCCTCAATCCGAACTCGCACGAATGCCGAGAGCCGTCGTCAAGTCCTTGTGACGAGGTCCCGAAAGTCCCTTGGTCATGATGTCCGCCATCATCACGGAAGTCTCGCAATACTCGAGCTGCACTTCCCCGCGCTTGACCTCATCACGGATGTGATGGTACTTGATGTCGATGTGCTTGGCGCGGCCATGATTCACCGGATTCTTCGTCATCTTGATGCACGACTGGTTGTCTTCACGGATGACGAGGTCCGGTCCTGGTTCGTTTGCGGCCGCCAAAATCTCGCATAGCAGGCGATGCACCCACTTGCCTTCCTGGATGGCCAGACTCAGTGCGATGTATTCCGCTTCACTCGTCGACAGCGACACACTTGACTGCTTCTTGCTTCCCCAACTCACAGGAGCACCCATCAGCATGAAAGTGTAACCCGAAGTCGACTTGCGATCAGCGTGGTCGCCGGCCCAGTCCGCGTCCGAGTAGCCACGAAAGTCGATCTTGTCGCTTGGCTGGAAGCGGAGTCCGTGCGACTTGGTCCCTTGCAAGTAACGAAAGATGCGCTTCACCGCCGTCCAATGTTCTTGCTGCGGATTCTCCATGAAGCGCGAGACGTACCCCACAGCATACGCAATGTCCGGGCGCGTCGCAGTCGTCAAGTGCATCAAAGCTCCCACAGCTTCACGAAACGGAACGTCGATCTTGGCCGCTTCGGTGCTTGCGACAAGCCGAGTGCTCAAGTCGACCGGACTTGCTGTGGCCTTGCACTCATCCATGCCGAAGCGCTTGAGGATGTCGTTGACATACCGTCGCTGGCACATTGTCACGCTGCCATCCGATTCGTCCACCAGTTCGATGCCCAGTACAAAAGTACACTTGCCACTGTCGGTCATCTCGAAACGCGTCTTGAGGTCGGCCTTCGTCTGCGCAATCAACTCGAGCGAGCTGCCGGTGACCAACACGTCATCCACGTAGACCAGCACGAGCACACAGTGACCGTCGACAACCTTGATGTAGAGACATGGGTCGAACGCCGACGCTTCGAAACCGATGGAGCATACGAACTCGTCGAAAGTCTCGTTCCACACACGTGAAGCTTGCTTGAGACCGTAGATCGCCTTCACCAACTCGAGACAGTCGAAGTCGCCATCCATCTCGACGCCTTCTGGTATCACGCAGTACACCTTCTCCTTCATCACTCCGTAGAGAAAGGCTGTCACCACATCGAGTTGGTCCAGTGGCCAGTCGAAATACTTGGTGATCGCGATCACCATACGCAGTGTCACGTACTTGACCACGGGCGAGAACGTCTCTGTGTAGTCGATGCCGTACTTCTGCTTGAAGCCCTTGGCAACGAGACGCGCCTTGTATTTCTCGACCGATCCATCCGCTTTGCGCTTGATCTTGAACACCCACTTGGTGCCGATCGCGCCTTGGCCTCTTGGCAGTTTTGCCGCACGGAAAACTCCACGAAGATGCATCGACTTGAGTTCCGCCTTCACAGCATTTCGCCAGTGAGTTTGATCAGGACCATTGATCGCGTCTTGAGAAGTCACAGGTTCTGCTAGGTCCGTTGCTTCCACTGCGTTTGCACTTGCACGCCAAAATGTTGGAGGCGTCGAGTCGTCATCTTGATCGTACACGCTTGCATCTTCTTCGTCATCAGACATCGTTTCTGGAGCACTTGATCGTCGTTTCTGGTGACGGTTGGAGACGTGTTCCGGCGCACTTGCTTGTTCCAACCCAGTTCGAGGGCGAGCTGACCGTGACATACCGGGTCTTGCTTCACTCTTGCGCTTGCCAGTCTGCTTGTAGACGGTTTGACGCACGTCGTCCTCGTTGATCGCCAGGAGGTCGAGGTCCAACTCCGCATCTTCATCATCGTCACTTGGTCGGTCCATCGAAAAGTCAAAAGTCGATTCGTCGAAGGTGATGTCACGACTGATCACCACTTGGCCCGCCTCAATGTCGTACACTCGATAAGCTTTTGACGCTTCTTCGTAGCCCATGAACATCCCTTCACAAGACTTCGGGTCCCACTTCAATCGCTTCTCCCTTGGTGTCAGGATAAACGCCCGACATCCAAACACGCGCATGTGCTTGACACTTGGTTTCGACTTGTACACGATCTCGAACGGAGTCTTGTGGTCGATCTTGGGTGAAGGCAGGCGGTTCTTGATGTAGATCGCCGTCATTGCCGCTTCAGCCCAGAAACACTTCTCCAGCTTTGCATGATGCAACAAGCTGCGTCCGATCGTGACGATGGTCCTTATCGCGCGTTCTGCGGTGCCGTTGGTCTGGTGTGCATACGGCACCGTGATCTGTTGTTCAATACCATGATCTTCGTAGAAGGTCTTGATGGAGTTGGTCGCAAACTCATGCGCTCCATCGTGCCGAACAAACTTGATCTTCGTGCCGAACTGAGTTTGAATCTTGATAATGTGGTTCTTGATACAGTCTTCACTCTCAGACTTGGACCGCAGACAGAAGCCCTTCATGCAACCGCTGGCTTCGTCAACCACAAGCAGTAAGTATCTACTGCCGCCGATCGAAACTTGTTCCATTGGCCCGCAGATGTCGAAGTGCAGCAACTCGAACACACCATATTGGCGTTTGTCACGGTTGGTTGGGAATGGTTTTTGAACCATCTTTCCTTGCTGGCAACCGCGACACACACTTGGACCAGTCGAGTTGAGAGGTGCCTTGGCGTCCTTGATCATGTCAGTGGCCACCATCTTGCGCAGAACTTCGAGGGGTGCATGACCCATGCGCGCATGCAAGTCGATGGTCCCATTGCGTGTTGCTGCATTTGCCGATCGTTGAGGAGTCCGCAGCCAGTAAAGTCCATCGACGAGATCCGCTGTTGCCACGACTTGTGTGGAATTCTTGCGCTTCACTTGCATCTTGGATCCATCGAACACGACTTGGAACCTGCCACCCTTGTTGATCTGTGGCACCGAAAGCAGATTCTTGCTCATACTTGGTACGAACAGTGCGTCCTTGATCTCGATGTCGAGTTCGTCACCATTGGGCAGAACCACCCGTTCCATGATGGTTCCCACACCCTTGATCGCAGCCTTGCTGCCATCAGCCACTGATAGTTCGCCTTCCTCTCGCTCATTCAGGCTTGCAAACTTAGCCTTGTCGTTGCAGATGTGATGCGTCGCACCGCTGTCGACTGCCCACATCCCTGGCATATTCTTGCCCGTCGAAAGTCCAGCCTCCAGCGAAACCGCGAACGCAACTCGATCGTAGTTGTCATCGTAGTTGCTGTTGGTTCGCCACTGAACGTTGTTGGCTCCGCGTCCACGAGCATTGTTGCCGCCGCGTCGAGCTCCACCTTGATTTTCGTCCTTCTGCTTGGTCCAGCACCGCTCCGCCGTGTGCCCCAATTTTCCGCAGTATGTACACTGGCGAGGTTCACGCTCGGCACTGAACGCCTTCGCCGCGTCTTCAGTCTTCACCGATGTCGTCTTGTCACCTTGTCTCTTGATGTGCTCATTCGTGAGCACTCTCACGACGTCTCGCGATCGCAGTTCCGCGCTGCTCATCTCCAAGTTGAGAACGACGTTCTCGTAGCTCTTGGGGAGGCTGCGCAACAAGCAGATCGCCACGTCCTCGTCCTCCATCTTGGCGCCGATGCTGCTGAGCTTCGCGCTGATGTTGAGGACTTCGTTGCAATGATGCATCACATTGCCGCCTTCCGCCATCTCCATGCTGAACAGCTGGCGCTTCAAGTAGATGCGTCCAGCCTTCTGCGACCCGCCGTACAGCGTCTTCAAACGCGCCCACGCGACCCACGCCTCTTCACAGTCATCAACCACGTGATGATAATCCGCGCTCATGTGCAGAAGCATCAAGCCGAACGCAATGTTGTTCGTCTTGACGTAGTCGTCACTGGCGCGAGGATCGGCGAAGGTGGGGGGTGGTCTCCCCGGTTCACCACGTGCCACGCCGACTTGGTCAGGAACACGCCACGCATGTAGCGGCTCCACGTCGCGTAGTTGTCGCCGTCGAACTTGTCGATGGAGATCTTGGTGGTGGCATCATGAGCAGAGGACATCGTGCTTGGGCTCATAACCTGTTGAATGGTGAAAAGCTTGACGACCGAAACTGGGAGTGATGCTGGGAGTCTACTCGGAAGACCGGAGAAGACACTTGGGGGGTAGATGGAAGATTGGAAAGTGATTGATTATCGGGGCTTACTACTTACTACATGATTTATATGTGGTGCACATATAAATCATGTGAAGCGTCTCATCATCCTACGCGTCTAATCAACTATGGTAATTACCGTAAGAACTACGTCGTAAATACTAAGCTAAACAGGCGGTTCGGATTGGACCGGTCACGGTTACCAATACTGGTAGAAACCGATGACCGTCAACAAAAACTTCCAGATCGGTGTAAAATTAACCAAAATCAGTACTCCCAATTTAGGATCGGTAAAGAGTATCACCGATCCGTATGGTGTTGCACCTTCTTTGCCGATTCACCGACCCGTACCACCTGGTCCCAGATGCACTTTGGGGAGTCACCTTGTCCCAGATGTGTCAATTCTCCAACAAACCGTTGCCACAACATGTCGATCTGCGATCTGATCTTAGCCTGCTTCAATGTACGTATACTTCTTCTTGACCGGCATTCCAATGAGCTGTATGACTTCATCCCGACGTCTGGTTCCAGATCGCCCCATAACATTCTGCAAGATGTTACACCTTCGTCGCAGAGTCATATCCCATCACCCGGTCCCAGATCCTTGTCCCAGATTGTTCCATGTAAATCGTTCCAGATCGCTCCGTCCCAGGTCGATCCATACCCATTAGTCTAACGACAGTTGGATCGGTTCGGCGATCCCGTTAAGATCATCTTCCACCTCCGTACTGGATCGCCGAGTCTCATGGCCTCCTTTTTCACCAGTAAGCGGCGCTTTAAAGGTGTGGCCACCGATCCTCGTGCAAAATTTGAGTAGTGACTTTGCCACAGTAGCGAAAGATACGCTTAACTGCAACCCAGTGTTCTTCTTGGGGATTTTCCATAAACCGCGACACATAGCCCACAGCAAACGCAATGTCCGGACGCGTTGCAGTGGTCAGGTGCATCAACGCACCGACAGCTTTGCGAAAAGGAGCATCGACCTTGGTAGTTGCATCACTTGAAATAAGTCGAGAGCTCATGTCCACTGGACTTGACACAGCCTTGCAATCACCCATGCCAAAGCGCTTGAGGATATCATCGACATACCGACGCTGACATAGTGTCACACTGCCATCTTCACCGTCCAAAAGCTCAATTCCAAGAACAAATGCACACTTGCCGCTATCAGTCATCTCGAAGCGTGTCTTCAGGTCTTCCTTGGTGTGTGCAATCAGCTCGAGCGAGCTTCCAGTCATCAAGACGTCGTCCACGTAGACCAGTATAAACACGCAATGGCCATCCGAAGTCTTGATGTAGAGACATGGGTCGAAGCCTGACACTTGAAATCCAATGGAACACACACTCGTCAAAAGTCTCGTTCCATACTCGCAAAGCTTGCTTCAGGCCGTAAATTGCCTTCACCAATTCCAGGCAGTCGAACGTACTGTCAAGTTCGACGCCTTCAGGAATCACGCAGAACACTTGTTCCTTCATGACGCCATACAGGAAAGCTGTCACCACATCAAGCTGGTTGATGGGCCATCCAAATGGCTTGGAAATTGCGACCACCATTCGCAGAGTCACATACTTGATCACAGGCGAAAATGTCTCCGTGTAGTCGATGCCGTACTTTTGGCGGAATACTTTGGCCACAAGTCGTGCCTTGTACTTCTCTATAGATCCATCCGCTTTACGCTTGATCTTGAAGACCCACTTCTTACCAATGGCGCGTGGTCCGTTAGGTGGCTGTTGCATTGTAGATCGGAGCGAGGAAAGCGGAGTGAACGGAGCGGAGAGACCGAAGAGAGTAGAGCAGAAAACACTTGCCCAATAGTTGGAAGATTCGAAAGTGATTGATTATCGGGGCTTACTACTTACTACATGATTTATATGTGGTGTATGTTGACGGTCATCGGTTTCTACCAGTATTGGTAACCGTGACCGGTCCAATCCGAACCGCCTGTTCAGCTTAGTATTTACGACGTAGTTCTTACGGTAATTACCATAGTTGATTAGACGCGTAGGATGATGAGACGCTTCACATGATTTATATGTGCACCACATATAAATCATGTAGTAAGTAGTAAGCCCCGATAATCAATCACTTTCCAATCTTCCATCTACCCCCCAAGTGTCTTCTCCGGTCTTCCGAGTAGACTCCCAGCATCACTCCCAGTTTCGGTCGTCAAGCTTTTCACCATTCAACAGGTTATGAGCCCAAGCACGATGTCCTCTGCTCATGATGCCACCACCAAGATCTCCATCGACAAGTTCGACGGCGACAACTACGCGACGTGGAGCCGCTACATGCGTGGCGTGTTCCTGACCAAGTCGGCGTGGCACGTGGTGAACCGGGAGACCACCCCCACCTTCGCCGATCCTCGCGCCAGTGACGACTACGTCAAGACGAACAACATTGCGTTCGGCTTGATGCTTCTGCACATGAGCGCGGATTATCATCACGTGGTTGATGACTGTGAAGAGGCGTGGGTCGCGTGGGCGCGTTTGAAGACGCTGTACGGCGGGTCGCAGAAGGCTGGACGCATCTACTTGAAGCGCCAGCTGTTCAGCATGGAGATGGCGGAAGGCGGCAATGTGATGCATCATTGCAACGAAGTCCTCAACATCAGCGCGAAGCTCAGCAGCATCGGCGCCAAGATGGAGGACGAGGACGTGGCGATCTGCTTGTTGCGCAGCCTCCCCAAGAGCTACGAGAACGTCGTTCTCAACTTGGAGATGAGCAGCGCGGAACTGCGATCGCGAGACGTCGTGAGAGTGCTCACGAATGAGCACATCAAGAGACAAGGTGACAAGACGACATCGGTGAAGACTGAAGACGCGGCGAAGGCGTTCAGTGCCGAGCGTGAACCTCGCCAGTGTACATACTGCGGAAAATTGGGGCACACGGCGGAGCGGTGCTGGACCAAGCAGAAGGACGAAAATCAAGGTGGAGCTCGACGCGGCGGCAACAATGCTCGTGGACGCGGAGCCAACAACGTTCAGTGGCGAACCAACAGCAACTACGATGACAACTACGATCGAGTTGCGTTCGCGGTTTCGCTGGAGGCTGGACTTTCGACGGGCAAGAATATGCCAGGGATGTGGGCAGTCGACAGCGGTGCGACGCATCACATCTGCAACGACAAGGCTAAGTTTGCAAGCCTGAATGAGCGAGAGGAAGGCGAACTATCAGTGGCTGATGGCAGCAAGGCTGCGATCAAGGGTGTGGGAACCATCATGGAACGGGTGGTTCTGCCCAATGGTGACGAACTCGACATCGAGATCAAGGACGCACTGTTCGTACCAAGTATGAGCAAGAATCTGCTTTCGGTGCCACAGATCAACAAGGGTGGCAGGTTCCAAGTCGTGTTCGATGGATCCAAGATGCAAGTGAAGCGCAAGAATTCCACACAAGTCGTGGCAACAGCGGATCTCGTCGATGGACTTTACTGGCTGCGGACTCCTCAACGATCGGCAAATGCAGCAACACGCAATGGGACCATCGACTTGCATGCGCGCATGGGTCATGCACCCCTCGAAGTTCTGCGCAAGATGGTGGCCACTGGCATGATCAAGGACGCCAGCAGGCACCTCTCAACTCGACTGGTCCAAGTGTGTGTCGCGGTTGCCAGCAAGGAAAGATGGTTCAAAAACCATTCCCAACCAACCGTGACAAACGCCAATATGGTGTGTTCGAGTTGCTGCACTTCGACATCTGCGGGCCAATGGAACAAGTTTCGATCGGCGGCAGCAGATACTTACTGCTTGTGGTTGACGAAGCCAGCGGTTGCATGAAGGGCTTCTGTCTGCGGTCCAAGTCTGAGAGTGAAGACTGTATCAAGAACCACATTATCAAGATTCAAACTCAGTTCGGCACGAAGATCAAGTTTGTTCGGCACGATGGAGCGCATGAGTTTGCGACCAACTCCATCAAGACCTTCTACGAAGATCATGGTATTGAACAACAGATCACGGTGCCGTATGCACACCAGACCAACGGCACCGCAGAACGCGCGATAAGGACCATCGTCACGATCGGACGCAGCTTGTTGCATCATGCAAAGCTGGAGAAGTGTTTCTGGGCTGAAGCGGCAATGACGGCGATCTACATCAAGAACCGCCTGCCTTCACCCAAGATCGACCACAAGACTCCGTTCGAGATCGTGTACAAGTCGAAACCAAGTGTCAAGCACATGCGCGTGTTTGGATGTCGGGCGTTTATCCTGACACCAAGGGAGAAGCGATTGAAGTGGGACCCGAAGGCTTGTGAAGGGATGTTCATGGGCTACGAAGAAGCGTCAAAAGCTTATCGAGTGTACGACATTGAGGCGGGCCAAGTGGTGATCAGTCGTGACATCACCTTCGACGAATCGACTTTTGACTTTTCGATGGACCGACCAAGTGACGATGATGAAGATGCGGAGTTGGACCTCGACCTCCTGGCGATCAACGAGGACGACGTGCGTCAAACCGTCTACAAGCAGACTGGCAAGCGCAAGAGTGAAGCAAGACCCGGCATGTCACGGTCAGCTCGCCCTCGAACTGGGTTGGAACAAGCAAGTGCGCCGGAACACGTCTCCAACCGTCACCAGAAACGACGATCAAGTGCTCCAGAAACGATGTCTGATGACGAAGAAGATGCAAGCGTGTACGATCAAGATGACGACTCGACGCCTCCAACATTTTGGCGTGCAAGTGCAAACGCAGTGGAAGCAACGGACCTAGCAGAACCTGTGACTTTTCAAGACGCGATCAATGGTCCTGATCAAACTCACTGGCGAAATGCTGTGAAGGCGGAACTCAAGTCGATGCATCTTCGTGGAGTTTTCCGTGCGGCAAAACTGCCAAGAGGCCAAGGCGCGATCGGCACCAAGTGGGTGTTCAAGATCAAGCGCAAAGCGGATGGATCGGTCGAGAAATACAAGGCGCGTCTCGTTGCCAAGGGCTTCAAGCAGAAGTACGGCATCGACTACACAGAGACGTTCTCGCCCGTGGTCAAGTACGTGACACTGCGTATGGTGATCGCGATCACCAAGTATTTCGACTGGCCACTGGACCAACTCGATGTGGTGACAGCCTTTCTCTACGGAGTGATGAAGGAGAAGGTGTACTGCGTGATACCAGAAGGCGTCGAGATGGATGGCGACTTCGACTGTCTCGAGTTGGTGAAGGCGATCTACGGTCTCAAGCAAGCTTCACGTGTGTGGAACGAGACTTTCGACGAGTTCGTATGCTCCATCGGTTTCGAAGCGTCGGCGTTCGACCCATGTCTCTACATCAAGGTTGTCGACGGTCACTGTGTGCTCGTGCTGGTCTACGTGGATGACGTGTTGGTCACCGGCAGCTCGCTCGAGTTGATTGCGCAGACGAAGGCCGACCTCAAGACGCGTTTCGAGATGACCGACAGTGGCAAGTGTACTTTTGTACTGGGCATCGAACTGGTGGACGAATCGGATGGCAGCGTGACAATGTGCCAGCGACGGTATGTCAACGACATCCTCAAGCGCTTCGGCATGGATGAGTGCAAGGCCACAGCAAGTCCGGTCGACTTGAGCACTCGGCTTGTCGCAAGCACCGAAGCGGCCAAGATCGACGTTCCGTTTCGTGAAGCTGTGGGAGCTTTGATGCACTTGACGACTGCGACGCGCCCGGACATTGCGTATGCTGTGGGGTACGTCTCGCGCTTCATGGAGAATCCGCAGCAAGAACATTGGACGGCGGTGAAGCGCATCTTTCGTTACTTGCAAGGGACCAAGTCGCACGGACTCCGCTTCCAGCCAAGCGACAAGATCGACTTTCGTGGCTACTCGGACGCGGACTGGGCCGGCGACCACGCTGATCGCAAGTCGACTTCGGGTTACACTTTCATGCTGATGGGTGCTCCTGTGAGTTGGGGAAGCAAGAAGCAGTCAAGTGTGTCGCTGTCGACGAGTGAAGCGGAATACATCGCACTGAGTCTGGCCATCCAGGAAGGCAAGTGGGTGCATCGCCTGCTATGCGAGATTTTGGCGGCCGCAAACGAACCAGGACCGGACCTCGCCATCTGTGAAGACAACCAGTCGTGCATCAAGATGACGAAGAATCCGGTGAATCATGGCCGCGCCAAGCACATCGACATCAAGTACCATCACATCCGTGATGAGGTCAAGCGCGGGGAAGTGCAGCTCGAGTATTGCGAGACTTCCGTGATGATGGCGGACATCATGACCAAGGGACTTTCGGGACCTCGTCACAAGGACTTGACGACGGCTCTCGGCATTCGTGCGAGTTCGGATTGAGGGGGCGTGTTGACGGTCATCGGTTTCTACCAGTATTGGTAACCGTGACCGGTCCAATCCGAACCGCCTGTTCAGCTTAGTATTTACGACGTAGTTCTTACGGTAATTACCATAGTTGATTAGACGCGTAGGATGATGAGACGCTTCACATGATTTATATGTGCACCACATATAAATCATGTAGTAAGTAGTAAGCCCCGATAATCAATCACTTTCCAATCTTCCATCTACCCCCCAAGTGTCTTCTCCGGTCTTCCGAGTAGACTCCCAGCATCACTCCCAGTTTCGGTCGTCAAGCTTTTCACCAATCAACACGACGGTATGTCAACGACATCCTCAAGCGCTTCGGCATGGATGAGTGCAAGGCCACAGCAAGTCCGGTCGACTTGAGCACTCGGCTTGTCGCAAGCACCGAAGCGGCCAAGATCGACGTTCCGTTTCGTGAAGCTGTGGGAGCTTTGATGCACTTGACGACTGCGACGCGCCCGGACATTGCGTATGCTGTGGGGTACGTCTCGCGCTTCATGGAGAATCCGCAGCAAGAACATTGGACGGCGGTGAAGCGCATCTTTCGTTACTTGCAAGGGACCAAGTCGCACGGACTCCGCTTCCAGCCAAGCGACAAGATCGACTTTCGTGGCTACTCGGACGCGGACTGGGCCGGCGACCACGCTGATCGCAAGTCGACTTCGGGTTACACTTTCATGCTGATGGGTGCTCCTGTGAGTTGGGGAAGCAAGAAGCAGTCAAGTGTGTCGCTGTCGACGAGTGAAGCGGAATACATCGCACTGAGTCTGGCCATCCAGGAAGGCAAGTGGGTGCATCGCCTGCTATGCGAGATTTTGGCGGCCGCAAACGAACCAGGACCGGACCTCGTCATCCGTGAAGACAACCAGTCGTGCATCAAGATGACGAAGAATCCGGTGAATCATGGCCGCGCCAAGCACATCGACATCAAGTACCATCACATCCGTGATGAGGTCAAGCGCGGGGAAGTGCAGCTCGAGTATTGCGAGACTTCCGTGATGATGGCGGACATCATGACCAAGGGACTTTCGGGACCTCGTCACAAGGACTTGACGACGGCTCTCGGCATTCGTGCGAGTTCGGATTGAGGGGGCGTGTTGACGGTCATCGGTTTCTACCAGTATTGGTAACCGTGACCGGTCCAATCCGAACCGCCTGTTCAGCTTAGTATTTACGACGTAGTTCTTACGGTAATTACCATAGTTGATTAGACGCGTAGGATGATGAGACGCTTCACATGATTTATATGTGCACCACATATAAATCATGTAGTAAGTAGTAAGCCCCGATAATCAATCACTTTCCAATCTTCCATCTACCCCCCAAGTGTCTTCTCCGGTCTTCCGAGTAGACTCCCAGCATCACTCCCAGTTTCGGTCGTCAAGCTTTTCACCAATCAACACGACGGTATGTCAACGACATCCTCAAGCGCTTCGGCATGGATGAGTGCAAGGCCACAGCAAGTCCGGTCGACTTGAGCACTCGGCTTGTCGCAAGCACCGAAGCGGCCAAGATCGACGTTCCGTTTCGTGAAGCTGTGGGAGCTTTGATGCACTTGACGACTGCGACGCGCCCGGACATTGCGTATGCTGTGGGGTACGTCTCGCGCTTCATGGAGAATCCGCAGCAAGAACATTGGACGGCGGTGAAGCGCATCTTTCGTTACTTGCAAGGGACCAAGTCGCACGGACTCCGCTTCCAGCCAAGCGACAAGATCGACTTTCGTGGCTACTCGGACGCGGACTGGGCCGGCGACCACGCTGATCGCAAGTCGACTTCGGGTTACACTTTCATGCTGATGGGTGCTCCTGTGAGTTGGGGAAGCAAGAAGCAGTCAAGTGTGTCGCTGTCGACGAGTGAAGCGGAATACATCGCACTGAGTCTGGCCATCCAGGAAAGCAAGTGGGTGCATCGCCTGCTATGCGAGATTTTGGCGGCCGCAAACGAACCAGGACCGGACCTCGTCATCTGTGAAGACAACCAGTCGTGCATCAAGATGACGAAGAATCCGGTGAATCATGGCCGCGCCAAGCACATCGACATCAAGTACCATCACATCCGTGATGAGGTCAAGCGCGGGGAAGTGCAGCTCGAGTATTGCGAGACTTCCGTGATGATGGCGGACATCATGACCAAGGGACTTTCGGGACCTCGTCACAAGGACTTGACGACGGCTCTCGGCATTCATGCGAGTTCGGATTGAGGGGGCGTGTTGACGGTCATCGGTTTCTACCAGTATTGGTAACCGTGACCGGTCCAATCCGAACCGCCTGTTCAGCTTAGTATTTACGACGTAGTTCTTACGGTAATTACCATAGTTGATTAGACGCGTAGGATGATGAGACGCTTCACATGATTTATATGTGCACCACATATAAATCATGTAGTAAGTAGTAAGCCCCGATAATCAATCACTTTCCAATCTTCCATCTACCCCCCAAGTGTCTTCTCCGGTCTTCCGAGTAGACTCCCAGCATCACTCCCAGTTTCGGTCGTCAAGCTTTTCACCATTCAACAGTGTACATATAAATCATGTGAAGCGTCTCATCATCCTACGCGTCTAATCAACTATGGTAATTACCGTAAGAACTACGTCGTAAATACTAAGCTGAACAGGCGGTTCGGATTGGATCGGTCACGGTTACTAATACTGGCAGGAAACCGATGACCGTCAACACGCCCCCTCAATCCGAATGCTCACGAATCCCGAGAGCCGTCGTCATCTCCTTGTGGCGTGGTCCATGAAGTCCCTTCGTCATGATGTCCGCTAACATCACCGCAGTTTCACAGTACTTGAGCTTCACTTCACCGCACTTGACCTCATCACGGATGTGATGGTACTTGATATCAATGTGCTTGGCACGGCCGTGGTTGACTGGGTTCTTCGTTGTTGATTGGTGAAAAGCTTGACGACCGAAACTGGGAGTGATGCTGGGAGTCTACTCGGAAGACCGGAGAAGACACTTGGGGGGTAGATGGAAGATTGGAAAGTGATTGATTATCGGGGCTTACTACTTACTACATGATTTATATGTGGTGCACATATAAATCATGTGAAGCGTCTCATCATCCTACGCGTCTAATCAACTATGGTAATTACCGTAAGAACTACGTCGTAAATACTAAGCTGAACAGGCGGTTCGGATTGGACCGGTCACGGTTACCAATACTGGTAGAAACCGATGACCGTCAACACGCCCCCTCAATCCGAACTCGCACGAATGCCGAGAGCCGTCGTCAAGTCCTTGTGACGAGGTCCCGAAAGTCCCTTGGTCATGATGTCCGCCATCATCACGGAAGTCTCGCAATACTCGAGCTGCACTTCCCCGCGCTTGACCTCATCACGGATGTGATGGTACTTGATGTCGATGTGCTTGGCGCGGCCATGATTCACCGGATTCTTCGTCATCTTGATGCACGACTGGTTGTCTTCACGGATGACGAGGTCCGGTCCTGGTTCGTTTGCGGCCGCCAAAATCTCGCATAGCAGGCGATGCACCCACTTGTCTTCCTGGATGGCCAGACTCAGTGCGATGTATTCCGCTTCACTCGTCGACAGCGACACACTTGACTGCTTCTTGCTTCCCCAACTCACAGGAGCACCCATCAGCATGAAAGTGTAACCCGAAGTCGACTTGCGATCAGCGTGGTCGCCGGCCCAGTCCGCGTCCGAGTAGCCACGAAAGTCGATCTTGTCGCTTGGCTGGAAGCGGAGTCCGTGCGACTTGGTCCCTTGCAAGTAACGAAAGATGCGCTTCACCGCCGTCCAATGTTCTTGCTGCGGATTCTCCATGAAGCGCGAGACGTACCCCACAGCATACGCAATGTCCGGGCGCGTCGCAGTCGTCAAGTGCATCAAAGCTCCCACAGCTTCACGAAACGGAACGTCGATCTTGGCCGCTTCGTTGCTTGCGACAAGCCGAGTGCTCAAGTCGACCGGACTTGCTGTGGCCTTGCACTCATCCATGCCGAAGCGCTTGAGGATGTCGTTGACATACCGTCGCTGGCACATTGTCACGCTGCCATCCGATTCGTCCACCAGTTCGATGCCCAGTACAAAAGTACACTTGCCACTGTCGGTCATCTCGAAACGCGTCTTGAGGTCGGCCTTCGTCTGCGCAATCAACTCGAGCGAGCTGCCGGTGACCAACACGTCATCCACGTAGACCAGCACGAGCACACAGTGACCGTCGACAACCTTGATGTAGAGACATGGGTCGAACGCCGACGCTTCGAAACCGATGGAGCATACGAACTCGTCGAAAGTCTCGTTCCACACACGTGAAGCTTGCTTGAGACCGTAGATCGCCTTCACCAACTCGAGACAGTCGAAGTCGCCATCCATCTCGACGCCTTCTGGTATCACGCAGTACACCTTCTCCTTCATCACTCCGTAGAGAAAGGCTGTCACCACATCGAGTTGGTCCAGTGGCCAGTCGAAATACTTGGTGATCGCGATCACCATACGCAGTGTCACGTACTTGACCACGGGCGAGAACGTCTCTGTGTAGTCGATGCCGTACTTCTGCTTGAAGCCCTTGGCAACGAGACGCGCCTTGTATTTCTCGACCGATCCATCCGCTTTGCGCTTGATCTTGAACACCCACTTGGTGCCGATCGCGCCTTGGCCTCTTGGCAGTTTTGCCGCACGGAAAACTCCACGAAGATGCATCGACTTGAGTTCCGCCTTCACAGCATTTCGCCAGTGAGTTTGATCAGGACCATTGATCGCGTCTTGAAAAGTCACAGGTTCTGCTAGGTCCGTTGCTTCCACTGCGTTTGCACTTGCACGCCAAAATGTTGGAGGCGTCGAGTCGTCATCTTGATCGTACACGCTTGCATCTTCTTCGTCATCAGACATCGTTTCTGGAGCACTTGATCGTCGTTTCTGGTGACGGTTGGAGACGTGTTCCGGCGCACTTGCTTGTTCCAACCCAGTTCGAGGGCGAGCTGACCGTGACATGCCGGGTCTTGCTTCACTCTTGCGCTTGCCAGTCTGCTTGTAGACGGTTTGACGCACGTCGTCCTCGTTGATCGCCAGGAGGTCGAGGTCCAACTCCGCATCTTCATCATCGTCACTTGGTCGGTCCATCGAAAAGTCAAAAGTCGATTCGTCGAAGGTGATGTCACGACTGATCACCACTTGGCCCGCCTCAATGTCGTACACTCGATAAGCTTTTGACGCTTCTTCGTAGCCCATGAACATCCCTTCACAAGCCTTCGGGTCCCACTTCAATCGCTTCTCCCTTGGTGTCAGGATAAACGCCCGACATCCAAACACGCGCATGTGCTTGACACTTGGTTTCGACTTGTACACGATCTCGAACGGAGTCTTGTGGTCGATCTTGGGTGAAGGCAGGCGGTTCTTGATGTAGATCGCCGTCATTGCCGCTTCAGCCCAGAAACACTTCTCCAGCTTTGCATGATGCAACAAGCTGCGTCCGATCGTGACGATGGTCCTTATCGCGCGTTCTGCGGTGCCGTTGGTCTGGTGTGCATACGGCACCGTGATCTGTTGTTCAATACCATGATCTTCGTAGAAGGTCTTGATGGAGTTGGTCGCAAACTCATGCGCTCCATCGTGCCGAACAAACTTGATCTTCGTGCCGAACTGAGTTTGAATCTTGATAATGTGGTTCTTGATACAGTCTTCACTCTCAGACTTGGACCGCAGACAGAAGCCCTTCATGCAACCGCTGGCTTCGTCAACCACAAGCAGTAAGTATCTGCTGCCGCCGATCGAAACTTGTTCCATTGGCCCGCAGATGTCGAAGTGCAGCAACTCGAACACACCATATTGGCGTTTGTCACGGTTGGTTGGGAATGGTTTTTGAACCATCTTTCCTTGCTGGCAACCGCGACACACACTTGGACCAGTCGAGTTGAGAGGTGCCTTGGCGTCCTTGATCATGCCAGTGGCCACCATCTTGCGCAGAACTTCGAGGGGTGCATGACCCATGCGCGCATGCAAGTCGATGGTCCCATTGCGTGTTGCTGCATTTGCCGATCGTTGAGGAGTCCGCAGCCAGTAAAGTCCATCGACGAGATCCGCTGTTGCCACGACTTGTGTGGAATTCTTGCGCTTCACTTGCATCTTGGATCCATCGAACACGACTTGGAACCTGCCACCCTTGTTGATCTGTGGCACCGAAAGCAGATTCTTGCTCATACTTGGTACGAACAGTGCGTCCTTGATCTCGATGTCGAGTTCGTCACCATTGGGCAGAACCACCCGTTCCATGATGGTTCCCACACCCTTGATCGCAGCCTTGCTGCCATCAGCCACTGATAGTTCGCCTTCCTCTCGCTCATTCAGGCTTGCAAACTTGGCCTTGTCGTTGCAGATGTGATGCGTCGCACCGCTGTCGACTGCCCACATCCCTGGCATATTCTTGCCCGTCGAAAGTCCAGCCTCCAGCGAAACCGCGAACGCAACTCGATCGTAGTTGTCATCGTAGTTGCTGTTGGTTCGCCACTGAACGTTGTTGGCTCCGCGTCCACGAGCATTGTTGCCGCCGCGTCGAGCTCCACCTTGATTTTCGTCCTTCTGCTTGGTCCAGCACCGCTCCGCCGTGTGCCCCAATTTTCCGCAGTATGTACACTGGCGAGGTTCACGCTCGGCACTGAACGCCTTCGCCGCGTCTTCAGTCTTCACCGATGTCGTCTTGTCACCTTGTCTCTTGATGTGCTCATTCGTGAGCACTCTCACGACGTCTCGCGATCGCAGTTCCGCGCTGCTCATCTCCAAGTTGAGAACGACGTTCTCGTAGCTCTTGGGGAGGCTGCGCAACAAGCAGATCGCCACGTCCTCGTCCTCCATCTTGGCGCCGATGCTGCTGAGCTTCGCGCTGATGTTGAGGACTTCGTTGCAATGATGCATCACATTGCCGCCTTCCGCCATCTCCATGCTGAACAGCTGGCGCTTCAAGTAGATGCGTCCAGCCTTCTGCGACCCGCCGTACAGCGTCTTCAAACGCGCCCACGCGACCCACGCCTCTTCACAGTCATCAACCACGTGATGATAATCCGCGCTCATGTGCAGAAGCATCAAGCCGAACGCAATGTTGTTCGTCTTGACGTAGTCGTCACTGGCGCGAGGATCGGCGAAGGTGGGGGGTGGTCTCCCGGTTCACCACGTGCCACGCCGACTTGGTCAGGAACACGCCACGCATGTAGCGGCTCCACGTCGCGTAGTTGTCGCCGTCGAACTTGTCGATGGAGATCTTGGTGGTGGCATCATGAGCAGAGGACATCGTGCTTGGGCTCATAACCTGTTGATTGGTGAAAAGCTTGACGACCGAAACTGGGAGTGATGCTGGGAGTCTACTCGGAAGACCGGAGAAGACACTTGGGGGGTAGATGGAAGATTGGAAAGTGATTGATTATCGGGGCTTACTACTTACTACATGATTTATATGTGGTGCACATATAAATCATGTGAAGCGTCTCATCATCCTACGCGTCTAATCAACTATGGTAATTACCGTAAGAACTACGTCGTAAATACTAAGCTGAACAGGCGGTTCGGATTGGACCGGTCACGGTTACCAATACTGGTAGAAACCGATGACCGTCAACATTCGTAATCTTGATACATGACTGATTTTCTTCATGAATCATGAGTGTTGCATTGTGGATCGGAGCGAGGAAAGCGGAGCGAACGGAGCGGAGAGACCGAAGAGAGTAGAGCAGAAAACACTTGCCCAATAGTTGGAAGATTCGAAAGTGATTGATTATCGGGGCTTACTACTTACTACATGATTTATATGTGGTGTACATATAAATCATGTGAAGCGTCTCATCATCCTACGCGTCTAATCAACTATGGTAATTACCGTAAGAACTACGTCGTAAATACTAAGCTGAACAGGCGGTTCGGATTGGATCGGTCACGGTTACCAATACTGGTAGGAAACCGATGACCGTCAACACGCCCCCTCAATCCGAATGCTCACGAATCCCGAGAGCCGTCGTCATCTCCTTGTGGCGTGGTCCATGAAGTCCCTTCGTCATGATGTCCGCTAACATCACCGCAGTTTCACAGTACTTGAGCTTCACTTCACCGCGCTTGACCTCATCACGGATGTGATGGTACTTGATATCAATGTGCTTGGCACGGCCGTGGTTGACCGGGTTCTTCGTCATCTTGATACATGACCGATTGTCTTCATGAATCATGAGTTCCTGTCCTTCTTCATTGGCAGCCATCACGATCTCACAAAGAAGACGATGAATCCACTTGCCCTCTTGAATCGCCAAGCTGAGTGCGATGTATTCAGCTTCAGTCGTGGACAACGAAACACTTGGCTGCTTCTTGCTGCCCCGACTCACTGGCGCACCGAGTAGCATGAACGTGTACCCCGATGTTGACTTGCGGTCGGTAAGATCACCAGCCCAATCCGCATCCGAATGTCCACGGAAGTCGATCCTTGCACTTGGCTTGTAGCAAATTCCATGCGTCTTGGTGCCTTGTAGGTAGCGAAAGATACGCTTAACTGCAACCCAGTGTTCTTCTTGGGGATTTTCCATGAACCGCAACACATAGCCCACAGCAAACGCAATGTCCGGACGCGTTGCAGTGGTCAGGTGCATCAACGCACCAACAGCTTCGCGAAAAGGAGCATCGACCTTGGTAGCTGCATTGCTTGAAATAAGTCGAGAGCTCATGTCCACTGGACTTGACACAGCCTTGCAATCATCCATGCCAAAGCGCTTGAGGATATCATCGACATACCGACGCTGACATAGTGTCACACTGCCATCTTCACCTTCCAAAAGCTCGATCCCAAGAACAAACGCACACTTGCCGCTGTCCGTCATCTCGAACCGCGTCTTCAGGTCGTTCTTGGTTTGTGCAATCAGCTCGAGCGAGCTTCCAGTCATCAAGACGTCGTCCACGTAGACCAGTATAAACACGCAATGGCCATCCGAAGTCTTGATGTAGAGACATGGGTCGAAGTCCGATACTTGAAATCCGATGGAGCACACATACTCGTCGAACGTCTCGTTCCACACTCGCGACGCTTGCTTGAGGCCGTAAATTGACTTCACCAATTCCAGGCAGTCGAACGTACTGTCAAGTTCGACGCCTTCAGGAATCACGCAGAACACTTGTTCCTTCATGACGCCATACAGGAAAGCTGTCACCACATCAAGCTGGTCGATAGGCCATCCAAAATGCTTGGAAATTGCGATCACCATTCGCAGCGTCACATACTTCACCACAGGCGAAAACGTCTCCGTGTAGTCGATGCCATACTTTTGGCGGAAACCCTTGGCCACAAGTCGTGCCTTGTACTTCTCGATTGACCCATCCGCCTTGCGCTTGATCTTGAACACCCATTTTGTGCCAATGGCGCGTTGTCCGTAGGGCAGCTTGGCTGCACGAAACACACCGCGACGTCGCATTGACTCGAGCTCTGCATGAATTGCTTTTCTCCAGTGCACTTGGTCAGGGCCGCTTACTGCTGCTTCAAATGTTGAGGGCTCTGATAAGTCCACTGCTGCTTCAACGGCATTTGCACTCGCACGCCAAAACACAGGCGGCGTTGAATCACCAGAATCCTTCGTTTCTTCGTCTTCTTCTTGGCGTGACGAGTTGTTTTCCGGCGCGCTTGACTCTTCTAGTCCTGGTCGTTGACGCACTGCACGCGGTCGTGGAGCTGCTGTATCTTCATCATTGAGTCGGTTCTTGTGCTTGCCTGTTTGCTTGTACTCCATTTGACGCAGCTCTTTGTCATCAAGATCCAGCAATTCGAAGTCCAGGTCATCGACATCTTCATCAGTGATCGGCAGTTGAAGTCCAAAGGTAGACTCGTCGAAGTTGACATCCCGACTGACAACAACCTGCCCCGCCTCGATGTCAAATACACGATATGCCTTCGACACTTCTTCATATCCCATGAAATGCCAACACGAGCCTTGGGATCCCACTTGAGTCGCTTCTCTTTAGGCGTCAGTATGTATGTCTGACACCCGAATGTTGGCATGTGCTTGACGCTTGGTTTCAAGTTGTAGACGATCTCAAACGGGGTCTTGTGCACGACTTTAGGTGACGGCAGTCGATTCTTGACGTAGATGGCCGTCATCGCTGTTTCGGCCCAGAAACACTTGTCCAGTTTGGCATGATGAAGCATGCTGCGGCCGATCGTGACAATAGTTCTAATATCACTCTCTGTTGGTCCGTTTGTTTGATGTGCATACGGCACCGTTGTCTGCTGTTCAATGCCTTCGTCTTCGTAGAACAGTTGAAGCGAGTTGGTTGCAAACTCGCGAGCTCCGTCGTGTCGCACGAACTTGACCTTCTTACAGAATTGCGTCTGTACCATGGTGATATATTTCCGGATGTAGTCTTCACTCTCGGACTTCACTCGTAGACAAAAGCCCTTCATGCATCCACTGGCTTCGTCGATGATCAGCAGCAAATATTTGCTGCCACCGAGCGAATCCTTTTCCATGGGCCCGCAGATGTCCAGATGAAGTAGCTCAAACGTGTCGTAACTTCGCTTGTCACGATTGCTTGGGAATGGTTTTTGGACCATTTTCCCTTGCTGACATCCTCGACATGTACCTGATCCACTTGACTTGAGAGGTACTCCCACATCTTTGATCATGTTGTTGGAGACCATCTTGCGAAGCACGTCGACTGGAGCATGACCCATTCGCGAATGTAGGTCGGCACAACTGGTTCCACTTGTTGTCACATTCGCTGATCGTTGAGTCGTACAAAGCCAGTAAATTCCATCCACAAGATCTGAAGTCGCCACCACTTAATGCGAGTTCTTGTGAGCAACATACATCCTGGTCCCATTAAAAACGACTTGGAACTTGCCATGCGTGTTGATCTGTGGCACCGAAAGAAGGTTCTTGATAATACTTCGAGCATATAACGCTTTCTTGATCTTGATCTCGCGCTCTTCACCGTTGGGCAGAACCACCTTTTCAATGATGGATCCCACACCTTCGATGGCCGCTTGATACCTGTTGACGGTCATCGGTTTCTACCAGTATTGGTAACCGTGACCGGTCCAATCCGAACCGCCTGTTCAGCTTAGTATTTACGACGTAGTTCTTACGGTAATTACCATAGTTGATTAGACGTGTAGGATGATGAGACGCTTCACATGATTTATATGTGCACCACATATAAATCATGTAGTAAGTAGTAAGCCCCGATAATCAATCACTTTCCAATCTTCCATCTACCCCCCAAGTGTCTTCTCCGGTCTTCCGAGTAGACTCCCAGCATCACTCCCAGTTTCGGTCGTCAAGCTTTTCACCATTCAACAGGTTATGAGCCCAAGCACGATGTCCTCTGCTCATGATGCCACCACCAAGATCTCCATCGACAAGTTCGACGGCGACAACTACGCGACGTGGAGCCGCTACATGCGTGGCGTGTTCCTGACCAAGTCGGCGTGGCACGTGGTGAACCGGGAGACCACCCCCACCTTCGCCGATCCTCGCGCCAGTGACGACTACATCAAGACGAACAACATTGCGTTCGGCTTGATGCTGCTGCACATGAGCGCGGATTATCATCACGTGGTTGATGACTGTGAAGAGGCGTGGTTCGCGTGGGCGCGTTTGAAGACGCTGTACGGCGGGTCGCAGAAGGCTGGACGCATCTACTTGAAGCGCCAGCTGTTCAGCATGGAGATGGCGGAAGGCGGCAATGTGATGCATCATTGCAACGAAGTCCTCAACATCAGCGCGAAGCTCAGCAGCATCGGCGCCAAGATGGAGGACGAGGACGTGGCGATCTGCCTGTTGCGCAGCCTCCCCAAGAGCTACGAGAACGTCGTTCTCAACTTGGAGATGAGCAGCGCGGAACTGCGATCGCGAGACGTCGTTAGAGTGCTCACGAATGAGCACATCAAGAGACAAGGTGACAAGACGACATCGGTGAAGACTGAAGACGCGGCGAAGGCGTTCAGTGCCGAGCGTGAACCTCGCCAGTGTACATACTGCGGAAAATTGGGGCACACGGCGGAGCGGTGCTGGACCAAGCAGAAGGACGAAAATCAAGGTGGAGCTCGACGCGGCGGCGACAATGCTCGTGGACGCGGAGCCAACAACGTTCAGTGGCGAACCAACAGCAACTACGATGACAACTACGATCGAGTTGCGTTCGCGGTTTCGCTGGAGGCTGGACTTTCGACGGGCAAGAATATGCCAGGGATGTGGGCAGTCGACAGCGGTGCGACGCATCACATCTGCAACGACAAGGCCAAGTTTGCAAGCCTGAATGAGCGAGAGGAAGGCGAACTATCAGTGGCTGATGGCAGCAAGGCTGCGATCAAGGGTGTGGGAACCATCATGGAACGGGTGGTTCTGCCCAATGGTGACGAACTCGACATCGAGATCAAGGACGCACTGTTCGTACCAAGTATGAGCAAGAATCTGCTTTCGGTGCCACAGATCAACAAGGGTGGCAGGTTCCAAGTCGTGTTCGATGGATCCAAGATGCAAGTGAAGCGCAAGAATTCCACACAAGTCGTGGCAACAGCGGATCTCGTCGATGGACTTTACTGGCTGCGGACTCCTCAACGATCGGCAAATGCAGCAACACGCAATGGGACCATCGACTTGCATGCGCGCATGGGTCATGCACCCCTCGAAGTTCTGCGCAAGATGGTGGCCACTGGCATGATCAAGGACGCCAAGGCACCTCTCAACTCGACTGGTCCAAGTGTGTGTCGCGGTTGCCAGCAAGGAAAGATGGTTCAAAAACCATTCCCAACCAACCGTGACAAACGCCAATATGGTGTGTTCGAGTTGCTGCACTTCGACATCTGCGGGCCAATGGAACAAGTTTCGATCGGCGGCAGCAGATACTTACTGCTTGTGGTTGACGAAGCCAGCGGTTGCATGAAGGGCTTCTGTCTGCGGTCCAAGTCTGAGAGTGAAGACTGTATCAAGAACCACATTATCAAGATTCAAACTCAGTTCGGCACGAAGATCAAGTTTGTTCGGCACGATGGAGCGCATGAGTTTGCGACCAACTCCATCAAGACCTTCTACGAAGATCATGGTATTGAACAACAGATCACGGTGCCGTATGCACACCAGACCAACGGCACCGCAGAACGCGCGATAAGGACCATCGTCACGATCGGACGCAGCTTGTTGCATCATGCAAAGCTGGAGAAGTGTTTCTGGGCTGAAGCGGCAATGACGGCGATCTACATCAAGAACCGCCTGCCTTCACCCAAGATCGACCACAAGACTCCGTTCGAGATCGTGTACAAGTCGAAACCAAGTGTCAAGCACATGCGCGTGTTTGGATGTCGGGCGTTTATCCTGACACCAAGGGAGAAGCGATTGAAGTGGGACCCGAAGGCTTGTGAAGGGATGTTCATGGGCTACGAAGAAGCGTCAAAAGCTTATCGAGTGTACGACATTGAGGCGGGCCAAGTGGTGATCAGTCGTGACATCACCTTCGACGAATCGACTTTTGACTTTTCGATGGACCGACCAAGTGACGATGATGAAGATGCGGAGTTGGACCTCGACCTCCTGGCGATCAACGAGGACGACGTGCGTCAAACCGTCTACAAGCAGACTGGCAAGCGCAAGAGTGAAGCAAGACCCGGCATGTCACGGTCAGCTCGCCCTCGAACTGGGTTGGAACAAGCAAGTGCGCCGGAACACGTCTCCAACCGTCACCAGAAACGACGATCAAGTGCTCCAGAAACGATGTCTGATGACGAAGAAGATGCAAGCGTGTACGATCAAGATGACGACTCGACGCCTCCAACATTTTGGCGTGCAAGTGCAAACGCAGTGGAAGCAACGGACCTAGCAGAACCTGTGACTTTTCAAGACGCGATCAATGGTCCTGATCAAACTCACTGGCGAAATGCTGTGAAGGCGGAACTCAAGTCGATGCATCTTCGTGGAGTTTTCGGTGCGGCAAAACTGCCAAGAGGCCAAGGCGCGATCGGCACCAAGTGGGTGTTCAAGATCAAGCGCAAAGCGGATGGATCGGTCGAGAAATACAAGGCGCGTCTCGTTGCCAAGGGCTTCAAGCAGAAGTACGGCATCGACTACACAGAGACGTTCTCGCCCGTGGTCAAGTACGTGACACTGCGTATGGTGATCGCGATCACCAAGTATTTCGACTGGCCACTGGACCAACTCGATGTGGTGACAGCCTTTCTCTACGGAGTGATGAAGGAGAAGGTGTACTGCGTGATACCAGAAGGCGTCGAGATGGATGGCGACTTCGACTGTCTCGAGTTGGTGAAGGCGATCTACGGTCTCAAGCAAGCTTCACGTGTGTGGAACGAGACTTTCGACGAGTTCGTATGCTCCATCGGTTTCGAAGCGTCGGCGTTCGACCCATGTCTCTACATCAAGGTTGTCGACGGTCACTGTGTGCTCGTGCTGGTCTACGTGGATGACGTGTTGGTCACCGGCAGCTCGCTCGAGTTGATTGCGCAGACGAAGGCCGACCTCAAGACGCGTTTCGAGATGACCGACAGTGGCAAGTGTACTTTTGTACTGGGCATCGAACTGGTGGACGAATCGGATGGCAGCGTGACAATGTGCCAGCGACGGTATGTCAACGACATCCTCAAGCGCTTCGGCATGGATGAGTGCAAGGCCACAGCAAGTCCGGTCGACTTGAGCACTCGGCTTGTCGCAAGCACCGAAGCGGCCAAGATCGACGTTCCGTTTCGTGAAGCTGTGGGAGCTTTGATGCACTTGACGACTGCGACGCGCCCGGACATTGCGTATGCTGTGGGGTACGTCTCGCGCTTCATGGAGAATCCGCAGCAAGAACATTGGACGGCGGTGAAGCGCATCTTTCGTTACTTGCAAGGGACCAAGTCGCACGGACTCCGCTTCCAGCCAAGCGACAAGATCGACTTTCGTGGCTACTCGGACGCGGACTGGGCCGGCGACCACGCTGATCGCAAGTCGACTTCGGGTTACACTTTCATGCTGATGGGTGCTCCTGTGAGTTGGGGAAGCAAGAAGCAGTCAAGTGTGTCGCTGTCGACGAGTGAAGCGGAATACATCGCACTGAGTCTGGCCATCCAGGAAGGCAAGTGGGTGCATCGCCTGCTATGCGAGATTTTGGCGGCCGCAAACGAACCAGGACCGGACCTCGTCATCCGTGAAGACAACCAGTCGTGCATCAAGATGACGAAGAATCCGGTGAATCATGGCCGCGCCAAGCACATCGACATCAAGTACCATCACATCCGTGATGAGGTCAAGCGCGGGGAAGTGCAGCTCGAGTATTGCGAGACTTCCGTGATGATGGCGGACATCATGACCAAGGGACTTTCGGGACCTCGTCACAAGGACTTGACGACGGCTCTCGGCATTCGTGCGAGTTCGGATTGAGGGGGCGTGTTGACGGTCATCGGTTTCTACCAGTATTGGTAACCGTGACCGGTCCAATCCTAACCGCCTGTTCAGCTTAGTATTTACGACGTAGTTCTTACGGTAATTACCATAGTTGATTAGACGCGTAGGATGATGAGACGCTTCACATGATTTATATGTACACCACATATAAATCATGTAGTAAGTAGTAAGCCCCGATAATCAATCACTTTCCAATCTTCCATCTACCCCCCAAGTGTCTTCTCCGGTCTTCCGAGTAGACTCCCAGCATCACTCCCAGTTTCGGTGGTCAAGCTTTTCACCATTCAACAAAGTCGCATAGTTGTCTCCATTGAACTTATCAATGGAGGCGTTGGATGATGAGTTGGTGGTTTACGACATGGCGCTCGGACTCATAACCTGTTGCATTGCAAAGAGCGGAGCGAAGGGTGCGGAGAGACCGAAGAGAGTAGAGCAGAAAACACTTGCCCAATAGTTGGAAGATTCGAACGTGATTGATTATCGGGGCTTACTACTTACTACATGATTTATATGTGGTGGCTGTTGCGTTGTAGATCGGAGCGAGGAAAGCGGAGTGAACGGAGCGGAGAGACCGAAGAGAGTAGAGCAGAAAACACTTGCCCAATTGTTGGAAGATTCGAACGTGATTGATTATCGGGGCTTACTACTTACTACATGATTTATATGTGGTGGCTGTTGCGTTGTAGATCGGAGCGAGGAAAGCGGAGTGAACGGAGCGGAGAGACCGAAGAGAGTAGAGCAGAAAACACTGCCCAATAGTTGGAAGATTCGAAAGTGATTGATTATCGGGGCTTACTACTAACTACATGATTTATATGTGGTGTACATATAAATCATGTGAAGCGTCTCATCATCCTACGCGTATAATCAACTATGGGTAATTACCGTAAGAACTACGTCGTAAAAGCTGAGCAGGCGGTTCAGATTGAACCGGTCAAGGTTACCAATACTGGTAGAAAACCGATGACCGTCAACACGTTCCCTCAATCCAAACGAGCTCAGATGCCTAGCGCCACTGTTAAGTCCTTGTGGCGCGGTCCGTGAATTCCCTTGGTCATAATGTCTGCCGACATCACCGTCGTCTCGCATTATTCAAGCTTCACTTCACCGCGCTTGACTTCATCGCGAATGTGATGGTATTTGATATCACTGTGTTTGGCGCGGCCGTGGTTGACCGGATTCTTGGTCATTTTGATGCAGGACAAGTTTTCTTCTCGGATGATGAGATCGGGTCCGTCCTCATTAGCAGCTGCCATGATCTCGCACAGTAAGCGGTGGATCCACTTGTCTTCTTGAATCGCCAGACTTAGCGCAATGTACTCCGCTTCACTTGTAGACAGTGACACACTTGGCTGCTTCTTGCTGACCCAACTCACTGGAGCACCCAATAGCATGAAGACGTAGCCAGACGTTGACTTGCGATCAGTAAGGTCGCCGGCCCAGTCTGCGTCCGAATAGCCACGAAAGTCGATCCTTGCACTTGGCTTGTAGCAAATTCCATGCGTCTTGGTGTCTTGTAGGTAGCGAAAGATGCGCTTGACCGCAACCCAGTGTTCTTCTTGGGGACCTCCACGAAGCGCGACACAAAGCTCACAGCACAGGCAATGTCCGGTCGTTTTGCAGTCGTCAGATGCATCAAAGCACCAACAGCTTCACGGAATGGAACATCGATCTTGCTCGCTGTGCTGCTTGACATCAGTCGAGAACTGACATCCACAGGACTCGCCACAGCCTTGCACTCCTCCATTCCAAAGCGCTTGAGGATATCATCGACATAATGGCGCTGACACAGAGTCACACTGCCATCTCCACCGTCCAAAAGCTCGATCCCAAGAACAAACGCACACTTGCCGCTGTCTGCCATCTAAAAACGTGTCTTCAAGTCGTTCTTGGTTCGTGCAATTAGCTCAAGCGAGATTCCAGTCACCAAGACGTCTTTCACGTCGACCAGTATAAACACGCAATGGCCGTCCGAAGTCTTGATGTAGAGACATGGGTCGAAGTCCGATACTTGAAATCCAATGGAGCACACACTTGCCAAAAGTCTTGTTCCATACTCGCAAAGCTTGCTTCAGGCCGTAAATTGCCTTTACTAATACCAGGCAGTCGAACGTACTATCAAGGTTGACACCTTCAGGAATCACACAAAACACTTGATCCTTCATCACACCATAAACAAAGGCAGTCACCACATCAAGTTGGTCGATGGGCCATCCAAATGGCTTGGAAATTGCGACCACCATTCGCAGAGTCACATACTTGACCACAGGCGAAAATGTCTCGGTGTAGTCGATGCCGTACTTTTGGCGGAATACTTTGGCCACAAGTCGTGCCTTGTACTTCTCTATAGATCCATCCGCTTTACGCTTGATCTTGAAGACCCACTTCTTACCAATGGCGCGTGGTCCGTTAGGTGGCTGTTGCATTGTATATCGGAGCGAGGAAAGCGGAGTGAACGGAGCGGAGAGACCGAAGAGAGTAGAGCAGAAAACACTTGCCCAATAGTTGGAAGATTCGAAAGTGATTGATTATCGGGGCTTACTACTTACTACATGATTTATATGTGGTGTACATATAAATCATGTGAAGCGTCTCATCATCCTACGCGTCTAATCAACTATGGTAATTACCGTAAGAACTACGTCGTAAATACTAAGCTGAACAGGCGGTTCGGATTGGATCGGTCACGGTTACCAATACTGGCAGGAAACCGATGACCGTCAACACGCCCCTCAATCCGAATGCTCACGAATCCCGAGAGCCGTCGTCATCTCCTTGTGGCGCGGTCCGTGAAGTCCCTTGGTCATGATGTCTGCTAACATCACCGTAGTCTCACAGTACTTGAGCTTGACTTCGCCGCACTTGACCTCATCACGGATGTGATGGTACTTGATGTCGATGTGCTTGGCACGGCCATGGCTGACCGGGTTCTTCGTCATCTTGATACATGACCGATTGTCTTCATGAATTATGAGTTCCGGTCCTTCTTCATTGGCAGCCATCACGATCTCACAAAGAAGACGATGAATCCACTTGCCCTCTTGAATCGCCAAGCTGAGTGCGATGTATTCAGCTTCAGTCGTGGACAACGAAACACTTGGCTGCTTCTTGCTGCCCCAACTCACTGGCGCACCGAGTAGCATGAACGTGTACCCCGATGTTGACTTGCGGTCGGTAAGATCACCAGCCCAATCCGCATCCGAATATCCACGGAAGTCGATCCTTGCACTTGGCTTGTAGCAAATTCCATGCGTCTTGGTGCCTTGTAGGTAGCGAAAGATACGCTTAACTGCAACCCAGTGTTCTTCTTGGGGATTTTCCATGAACCGCAACACATAGCCCACAGCAAACGCAATGTCCGGACGCGTTGCAGTGGTCAGGTGCATCAACGCACCAACAGCTTTGCGAAAAGGAGCATCGACCTTGGTAGCTGCATTGCTTGAAATAAGTCGAGAGCTCATGTCCACTGGACTTGACACAGCCTTGCAATCATCCATGCCAAAGCGCTTGAGGATATCATCGACATACCGACGCTGACATAGTGTCACACTGCCATCTTCACCGTCCAGAAGCTCGATCCCAAGAACAAACGCACACTTGCCGCTGTCCGTCATCTCGAACCGCGTCTTCAGGTCGTTCTTGGTTTGTGCAATCAGCTCGAGCGAGCTTCCAGTCATCAAGACGTCGTCCACGTAGACCAGTATAAACACGCAATGGCCATCCGAAGTCTTGATGTAGAGACATGGGTCGAAGTCCGATACTTGAAATCCGATGGAGCACACATACTCGTCGAACGTCTCGTTCCACACTCGCGACGCTTGCTTATTGCCGTAAATTGACTTCACCAATTCCAGGCAGTCGAACGTACTGTCAAGTTCGACGCCTTCAGGAATCACGCAGAACACTTGTTCCTTCATGACGCCATACAGGAAAGCTGTCACCACATCAAGCTGGTCGATAGGCCATCCAAAATGCTTGGAAATTGCGACCACCATTCGCAGAGTCACATACTTGATCACAGGCGAAAATGTCTCCGTGTAGTCGATGCCGTACTTTTGGCGGAATACTTTGGCCACAAGTCGTGCCTTGTACTTCTCTATAGATCCATCCGCTTTACGCTTGATCTTGAAGACCCACTTCTTACCAATGGCGCGTGGTCCGTTAGGTGGCTGTTGCATTGTATATCGGAGCGAGGAAAGCGGAGTGAACGGAGCGGAGAGACCGAAGAGAGTAGAGCAGAAAACACTTGCCCAATAGTTGGAAGATTCGAACGTGATTGATTATCGGGGCTTACTACTTACTACATGATTTATATGTGGTGGCTGTTGCGTTGTAGATCGGAGCGAGGAAAGCGGAGTGAACGGAGCGGAGAGACCGAAGAGAGTAGAGCAGAAAACACTTGCCCAATTGTTGGAAGATTCGAAAGTGATTGATTATCGGGGCTTACTACTTACTACATGATTTATATGTGGTGGCTGTTGCGTTGTAGATCGGAGCGAGGAAAGCGGAGTGAACGGAGCGGAGAGACCGAAGAGAGTAGAGCAGAAAACACTGCCCAATAGTTGGAAGATTCGAAAGTGATTGATTATCGGGGCTTACTACTTACTACATGATTTATATGTGGTGTACATATAAATCATGTGAAGCGTCTCATCATCCTACGCGTCTAATCAACTATGGTAATTACCGTAAGAACTACGTCGTAAATACTAAGCTGAACAGGCGGTTCGGATTGGATCGGTCACGGTTACCAATACTGGCAGGAAACCGATGACCGTCAACACGCCCCCTCAATCCGAATGCTCACGAATCCCGAGAGCCGTCGTCATCTCCTTGTGGCGTGGTCCATGAAGTCCCTTCGTCATGATGTCCGCTAACATCACCGCAGTTTCACAGTACTTGAGCTTCACTTCACCGCGCTTGACCTCATCACGGATGTGATGGTACTTGATATCAATGTGCTTGGCACGGCCGTGGTTGACTGGGTTCTTCGTCATCTTGATACATGACTGATTGTCTTCATGAATCATGAGTTCCGGTCCTTCTTCATTGGCAGCCATCACGATCTCACAGAGTAGACAGAAAACATTCCCAATTGTTGAGATTCGATATTATTATCGCACTACTTCACATGATTTATATTTTTTTTTAGTCGGAAGAGAAGGGAAGAGAAGACAAACACTCCCTAGTTAGATTCGATGATTGATTATGGGCTTATATTACTACATGATTTATATGTGTGACATATAAATCTGTGAAGGCTCATCATCCTACGCGTATATCAACTATGGGTATTAGTAGAACTAGTCGTAAAGTGAAGTTCAGATTGAAGTCAAGTTACCAATACTGTAGAAAACCGATGACGTCAACACGTTCCCTCAATCCAAACGACTCAGATCTACGCCACTGTTAGTCTTGTGTCGTGAATTCCCTTGGTCATAATGTCTCCGACATCACCGTCGTCTCCATTATTCGCCACTTCACCGCGCTTGACTTCATCGCGAATGTGATGTATTTATATCACTTGTTTCGGTGGTTGAGATTTTGGATTTTGATAGGAAAGTTTTTTTCATGATGAGATGGTCCGTCCTCATTAATATATCTCCACAGAACGGTGAATCCACTTGCCCTCTTGAATCGCCAGACTGAGTGCAATGTACTCCGCTTCAGTCGTGGACAACGAAACACTTGGCTGCTTCTTGCTGCCCCAACTCACTGGCGCACCGAATAGCATGAACACGTACCCCGATGTTGACTTGCGGTCGGTAAGATCACCAGCCCAATCCGCGTCCGAATATCCACGGAAGTCGATCCTTGCACTTGGCTTGTAGCAAATTCCATGCGTCTTGGTGCCTTGTAGGTAGCGAAAGATACGCTTAACCGCAACCCAGTGTTCTTCTTGGGGACTTTCCATGAAGCGCAACACAAAGCCCACAGCAAACGCAATGTCCGGACGCTTTGCAGTCGTCAGGTGCATCAACGCACCAACAGCTTCACGGAATGGAACATCGACCTTGCTCGCTGTGCTGCTTGACATAAGTCGAGAACTGACATCCACTGGACTTGCCACTGCCTTGCACTCCTCCATGCCAAAGCGCTTGAGGATATCATCGACATACCGACGCTGACATAGAGTCACACTGCCATCTTCACCGTCCAAAAGCTCAATTCCAAGAACAAATGCACACTTGCCGCTATCGGTCATCTAAAACCGCGTCTTCAAGTCGTTCTTGGTTTGTGCAATCAGCTCGAGCGAGATTCCAGTCATCAAGACGTCGTCCACGTCGACCAGTATAAACACGCAATGGCCGTCCGAAGTCTTGATGTAGAGACATGGGTCGAAGCCTGACACTTGAAATCCAATGGAACACACAAACTCGTCAAAAGTCTCGTTCCATACTCGCAAAGCTTGCTTTAGGCCGTAAATTGACTTCACTAATACCAGGCAGTCGAACGTACTATCAAGGTTGACACCTTCAGGAATCACACAGAACACTTGTTCCTTCATGACGCCATACAGGAAAGCCGTCACCACATCAAGCTGGTCGATGGGCCATCCAAATGGCTTGGAAATTGCGACCACCATTCGCAGAGTCACATACTTGATCACAGGCGAAAATGTCTCCGTGTAGTCGATGCCGTACTTTTGGCGGAATACTTTGGCCACAAGTCGTGCCTTGTACTTCTCTATAGATCCATCCGCTTTACGCTTGATCTTGAAGACCCACTTCTTACCAATGGCGCGTGGTCCGTTAGGTGGCTGTTGCATTGTATATCGGAGCGAGGAAAGCGGAGTGAACGGAGCGGAGAGACCGAAGAGAGTAGAGCAGAAAACACTTGCCCAATAGTTGGAAGATTCGAAAGTGATTGATTATCGGGGCTTACTACTTACTACATGATTTATATGTGGTGTACATATAAATCATGTGAAGCGTCTCATCATCCTACGCGTCTAATCAACTATGGTAATTACCGTAAGAACTACGTCGTAAATACTAAGCTGAACAGGCGGTTCGGATTGGATCGGTCACGGTTACCAATACTGGCAGGAAACCGATGACCGTCAACACGCCCCCTCAATCCGAATGCTCACGAATCCCGAGAGCCGTCGTCATCTCCTTGTGGCGTGGTCCATGAAGTCCCTTCGTCATGATGTCCGCTAACATCACCGCAGTTTCACAGTACTTGAGCTTCACTTCACCGCACTTGACCTCATCACGGATGTGATGGTACTTGATATCAATGTGCTTGGCACGGCCGTGGTTGACCGGGTTCTTCGTCATCTTGATACATGACTGATTGTCTTCATGAATCATGAGTTCCGGTCCTTCTTCATTGGCAGCCATCACGATCTCACAAAGAAGACGATGAATCCACTTGCCCTCTTGAATCGCCAAGCTGAGTGCGATGTATTCAGCTTCAGTCGTGGACAACGAAACACTTGGCTGCTTCTTGCTGCCCCAACTCACTGGCGCACCGAGTAGCATGAACGTGTACCCCGATGTTGACTTGCGGTCGGTAAGATCACCAGCCCAATCCGCATCCGAATATCCACGGAAGTCGATCCTTGCACTTGGCTTGTAGCAAATTCCATGCGTCTTGGTGCCTTGTAGGTAGCGAAAGATACGCTTAACTGCAACCCAGTGTTCTTCTTGGGGATTTTCCATGAACCGCAACACATAGCCCACAGCAAACGCAATGTCCGGACGCGTTGCAGTGGTCAGGTGCATCAACGCACCAACAGCTTTGCGAAAAGGAGCATCGACCTTGGTAGCTGCATTGCTTGAAATAAGTCGAGAGCTCATGTCCACTGGACTTGACACAGCCTTGCAATCATCCATGCCAAAGCGCTTGAGGATATCATCGACATACCGACGCTGACATAGTGTCACACTGCCATCTTCACCGTCCAGAAGCTCGATCCCAAGAACAAACGCACACTTGCCGCTGTCCGTCATCTCGAACCGCGTCTTCAGGTCGTTCTTGGTTTGTGCAATCAGCTCGAGCGAGCTTCCAGTCATCAAGACGTCGTCCACGTAGACCAGTATAAACACGCAATGGCCATCCGAAGTCTTGATGTAGAGACATGGGTCGAAGTCCGATACTTGAAATCCGATGGAGCACACATACTCGTCGAACGTCTCGTTCCACACTCGCGACGCTTGCTTATTGCCGTAAATTGACTTCACCAATTCCAGGCAGTCGAACGTACTGTCAAGTTCGACGCCTTCAGGAATCACGCAGAACACTTGTTCCTTCATGACGCCATACAGGAAAGCTGTCACCACATCAAGCTGGTCGATAGGCCATCCAAAATGCTTGGAAATTGCGACCACCATTCGCAGAGTCACATACTTGATCACAGGCGAAAATGTCTCCGTGTAGTCGATGCCGTACTTTTGGCGGAATACTTTGGCCACAAGTCGTGCCTTGTACTTCTCTATAGATCCATCCGCTTTACGCTTGATCTTGAAGACCCACTTCTTACCAATGGCGCGTGGTCCGTTAGGTGGCTGTTGCATTGTATATCGGAGCGAGGAAAGCGGAGTGAACGGAGCGGAGAGACCGAAGAGAGTAGAGCAGAAAACACTTGCCCAATAGTTGGAAGATTCGAACGTGATTGATTATCGGGGCTTACTACTTACTACATGATTTATATGTGGTGGCTGTTGCGTTGTAGATCGGAGCGAGGAAAGCGGAGTGAACGGAGCGGAGAGACCGAAGAGAGTAGAGCAGAAAACACTTGCCCAATTGTTGGAAGATTCGAAAGTGATTGATTATCGGGGCTTACTACTTACTACATGATTTATATGTGGTGGCTGTTGCGTTGTAGATCGGAGCGAGGAAAGCGGAGTGAACGGAGCGGAGAGACCGAAGAGAGTAGAGCAGAAAACACTGCCCAATAGTTGGAAGATTCGAAAGTGATTGATTATCGGGGCTTACTACTTACTACATGATTTATATGTGGTGTACATATAAATCATGTGAAGCGTCTCATCATCCTACGCGTCTAATCAACTATGGTAATTACCGTAAGAACTACGTCGTAAATACTAAGCTGAACAGGCGGTTCGGATTGGATCGGTCACGGTTACCAATACTGGCAGGAAACCGATGACCGTCAACACGCCCCCTCAATCCGAATGCTCACGAATCCCGAGAGCCGTCGTCATCTCCTTGTGGCGTGGTCCATGAAGTCCCTTCGTCATGATGTCCGCTAACATCACCGCAGTTTCACAGTACTTGAGCTTCACTTCACCGCGCTTGACCTCATCACGGATGTGATGGTACTTGATATCAATGTGCTTGGCACGGCCGTGGTTGACTGGGTTCTTCGTCATCTTGATACATGACTGATTGTCTTCATGAATCATGAGTTCCGGTCCTTCTTCATTGGCAGCCATCACGATCTCACAAAACAGACGATGAATCCACTTGCCCTCTTGAATCGCCAAGCTGAGTGCGATGTATTCAGCTTCAGTCGTGGACAACGAAACACTTGGCTGCTTCTTGCTGCCCCAACTCACTGGCGCACCGAGTAGCATGAACGTGTACCCCGATGTTGACTTGCGGTCGGTAAGATCACCAGCCCAATCCGCATCCGAATATCCACGGAAGTCGATCCTTGCACTTGGCTTGTAGCAAATTCCATGCGTCTTGGTGCCTTGTAGGTAGCGAAAGATACGCTTAACTGCAACCCAGTGTTCTTCTTGGGGATTTTCCATGAACCGCAACACATAGCCCACAGCAAACGCAATGTCCGGACGCGTTGCAGTGGTCAGGTGCATCAACGCACCAACAGCTTTGCGAAAAGGAGCATCGACCTTGGTAGCTGCATTGCTTGAAATAAGTCGAGAGCTCATGTCCACTGGACTTGACACAGCCTTGCAATCATCCATGCCAAAGCGCTTGAGGATATCATCGACATACCGACGCTGACATAGTGTCACACTGCCATCTTCACCGTCCAGAAGCTCGATCCCAAGAACAAACGCACACTTGCCGCTGTCCGTCATCTCGAACCGCGTCTTCAGGTCGTTCTTGGTTTGTGCAATCAGCTCGAGCGAGCTTCCAGTCATCAAGACGTCGTCCACGTAGACCAGTATAAACACGCAATGGCCATCCGAAGTCTTGATGTAGAGACATGGGTCGAAGTCCGATACTTGAAATCCGATGGAGCACACATACTCGTCGAACGTCTCGTTCCACACTCGCGACGCTTGCTTATTGCCGTAAATTGACTTCACCAATTCCAGGCAGTCGAACGTACTGTCAAGTTCGACGCCTTCAGGAATCACGCAGAACACTTGTTCCTTCATGACGCCATACAGGAAAGCTGTCACCACATCAAGCTGGTCGATAGGCCATCCAAAATGCTTGGAAATTGCGACCACCATTCGCAGAGTCACATACTTGATCACAGGCGAAAATGTCTCCGTGTAGTCGATGCCGTACTTTTGGCGGAATACTTTGGCCACAAGTCGTGCCTTGTACTTCTCTATAGATCCATCCGCTTTACGCTTGATCTTGAAGACCCACTTCTTACCAATGGCGCGTGGTCCGTTAGGTGGCTGTTGCATTGTATATCGGAGCGAGGAAAGCGGAGTGAACGGAGCGGAGAGACCGAAGAGAGTAGAGCAGAAAACACTTGCCCAATAGTTGGAAGATTCGAACGTGATTGATTATCGGGGCTTACTACTTACTACATGATTTATATGTGGTGGCTGTTGCGTTGTAGATCGGAGCGAGGAAAGCGGAGTGAACGGAGCGGAGAGACCGAAGAGAGTAGAGCAGAAAACACTTGCCCAATTGTTGGAAGATTCGAAAGTGATTGATTATCGGGGCTTACTACTTACTACATGATTTATATGTGGTGGCTGTTGCGTTGTAGATCGGAGCGAGGAAAGCGGAGTGAACGGAGCGGAGAGACCGAAGAGAGTAGAGCAGAAAACACTGCCCAATAGTTGGAAGATTCGAAAGTGATTGATTATCGGGGCTTACTACTTACTACATGATTTATATGTGGTGTACATATAAATCATGTGAAGCGTCTCATCATCCTACGCGTCTAATCAACTATGGTAATTACCGTAAGAACTACGTCGTAAATACTAAGCTGAACAGGCGGTTCGGATTGGATCGGTCACGGTTACCAATACTGGTAGGAAACCGATGACCGTCAACACGCCCCCTCAATCCGAATGCTCACGAATCCCGAGAGCCGTCGTCATCTCCTTGTGGCGTGGTCCATGAAGTCCCTTCGTCATGATGTCCGCTAACATCACCGCAGTTTCACAGTACTTGAGCTTCACTTCACCGCGCTTGACCTCATCACGGATGTGATGGTACTTGATATCAATGTGCTTGGCACGGCCGTGGTTGACTGGGTTCTTCGTCATCTTGATACATGACCGATTGTCTTCATGAATTATGAGTTCCGGTCCTTCTTCATTGGCAGCCATCACGATCTCACAAAGCAGACGATGAATCCACTTGCCCTCTTGAATCGCCAAGCTGAGTGCGATGTATTCAGCTTCAGTCGTGGACAACGAAACACTTGGCTGCTTCTTGCTGCCCCAACTCACTGGCGCACCGAGTAGCATGAACGTGTACCCCGATGTTGACTTGCGGTCGGTAAGATCACCAGCCCAATCCGCATCCGAATATCCACGGAAGTAGATCCTTGCACTTGGCTTGTAGCAAATTCCATGCGTCTTGGTGCCTTGTAGGTAGCGAAAGATACGCTTAACTGCAACCCAGTGTTCTTCTTGGGGATTTTCCATGAACCGCGACACATAGCCCACAGAAAACGCAATGTCCGGACGCGTTGCAGTGGTCAGGTGCATCAACGCACCAACAGCTTTGCGAAAAGGAGCATCGACCTTGGTAGCTGCATTGCTTGAAATAAGTCGAGAGCTCATGTCCACTGGACTTGACACAGCCTTGCAATCATCCATGCCAAAGCGCTTGAGGATATCATCGACATACCGACGCTGACATAGTGTCACACTGCCATCTTCACCGCCCAAAAGCTCGATCCCAAGAGCAAACGCACACTTGCCGCTGTCCGTCATCTCGAACCGCGTCTTCAGGTCGTTCTTGGTTTGTGCAATCAGCTCGAGCGAGCTTCCAGTCATCAAGACGTCGTCCACGTAGACCAGTATAAACACGCAATGGCCGTCCGAAGTCTTGATGTAGAGACATGGGTCGAAGTCCGATACTTGAAATCCGATGGAGCACACATACTCGTCGAACGTCTCGTTCCACACTCGCGACGCTTTCTTGAGGCCGTAAATTGACTTCACTAATACCAGGCAGTCGAACGTACTATCAAGGTTGACGCCTTCAGGAATCACACAGAACACTTGTTCCTTCATGACGCCATACAGGAAAGCTGTCACCACATCAAGCTGGTCGATGGGCCATCCAAAATGCTTGGAAATTGCGATCACCATTCGCAGCGTCACATACTTCACCACAGGCGAAAACGTCTCCGTGTAGTCGATGCCATACTTTTGGCGGAAACCCTTGGCCACAAGTCGTGCCTTGTATTTCTTGATTGACCCATCCGCCTTGCGCTTGATCTTGAACACCCATTTTGTGCCAATGGCGCGTTGTCCGTTGGGCAGCTTGGCTGCACGAAACACACCGCGAAGTCGCATTGACTCGAGCTCTGCATGAATTGCTTTTCTCCAGTGCACTTGGTCAGGGCCGCTTACTGCTGCTTCAAATGTTGAGGGCTCTGATAAGTCCACTGCTGCTTCAACGGCATTTGCACTCGCACGCCAAAACACAGGCGGTGTTGAATCACCAGAATCCTTCGTTTCTTCGTCTTCTTCTTGGTGTGACGAGTTGTTTTCCGGCGCGCTTGACTCTTCTAGTCCTGGTCGTTGACGCACTGCACGCGGTCGTGGAGCTGCTGTATCTTCATCATTGAGTCGGTTCTTGCGCTTGCCTGTTTGCTTGTACTCCATTTGACGCAGCTCTTCGTCATCAAGATCCAGCAATTCGAAGTCCAGGTCATCGACATCTTCATCAGTGATCGGCAGTTGAAGTCCAAAGGTGGACTCGTCGAAGTTGACATCGCGGCTGATAACCACCTGCCCCGCCTCGATGTCATAAACACGATATGCCTTCGAAACTTCTTCGTAGCCCACGAATATGCCAGCGCGAGCCTTTGGATCCCACTTGAGTCGATTCTCTTTAGGCGTCAGTATGTATGTCTGACACCCGAATGTTCGCATGTGCTTGACGCTTGGTTTCAAGTTGTAGACGATCTCAAACGGGGTCTTGTGCACGACTTTAGGTGACGGCAGTCGATTCTTGACGTAGATGGCCGTCATCGCTGCTTCGGCCCAGAAACACTTGTCCAGTTTGGCATGATGAAGCATGCTGCGGCCGATCGTGACAATAGTCCTAATGGCACGCTCTGCTGTTCCGTTTGTTTGATGTGCATACGGCACCGTTGTCTGCTGTTCAATGCATTCGTCTTCGTAGAACAGTTGAAGCGAGTTGGTTGCAAACTCGCGAGCTCCGTCGTGTCGCACGAACTTGACCTTCTTACAGAATTGCGTCTGTACCATGGTGATATATTTCCGGATGTATTCTTCACTCTCGGACTTCACTCGTAGACAAAAGCCCTTCATGCATCCACTGGCTTCGTCGATGATCAGCAGCAAATATTTGCTGCCACCGAGCGAATCCTTTTCCATGGACCCGCAGATGTCCAGATGAAGTAGCTCGAACGTGTCGTAACTTCGCTTGTCACGATTGCTTGGGAATGGGTTTTGGACCATTTTTCCTTGCTGACATTCTCGACATGTACCTGATCCACTTGACTTGAGAGGCACTTCCACATCTTTGATCATGTTGTTGGAGACCATCTTGCGAAGCACGTCGACTGAAGCATGACCCATTCTCGCATGTAGATCGGCACAACTGGTTCCACTTGTTGTCACATTCGCTGATCGTTGAGTCGTACGAAGCCAGTAGAGTCCATCCACGAGATCCGCTGTCGCCACCACTTGCTGTGAGTTCTTGAGAGTCACATACATCTTGGACGCGTTAAAAACGACTTGAAACTTGCCATGGCTGTTAATCTGTGGCACCGAGAGCAGGTTCTTGCTCATACTTGGAACATATAGCGCGTTCTTGATTTCGATCTCACGCTCTTCACCGTTGGGCAGAACCACCTTTTCCATGATGGTTCCCACACCCTTGATGGCCACCTTGTTGCCATCAGCCACCAAGAGTTCGCCCTCATTGCGCTCTGCCAAACTTGCGAACTTGGTCTTTTCGTGGCAAATGTGGTGCGTTGCACCACTGTCGACGGCCCACATTCCAGACACGTCCTTGCTCGTCGAAACTCCACATTCGAACGAGACTGCAAACGCCACTCGATCGTAGCCATTGCCTTCATCATGATGTCCCCACTGGACATCGTTAGCCCCGCGTCCACGACCATTGCCGCCGCGTCGGGCTCCCCGACCTTCGTTCTTCTGCTTTGTCCAGCAACGATCCACCGTGTGTCCCACCTTGCCACAATACGTGCATTGGTAGGGCTCACGCTCGGCGCTGAATGCCTTGCTTGCATCTTCAGCCTTCACCGTAGTCGCTGTCGTTGACCCTTTTTCTCCTTGACGCTTGGCATGCTCATTCGTCAGGACTCTCACCACATCTTGAGTGCGAAGCTCGGTGCTGCTCATTTCCATGTTGAGCACCACATTTTCGTAGCTCTTTGGAAGACTGAGTAGCAGACAAATTGCAACGTCTTCGTCTTCCATCTTCGCACCGATGCCGCTAAGCTTGGCGGAGATCTTGAGGACCTCGTTGCAATGATGCATGACGTTCGCGCCTTCAGCCATACTGATGCTGAAAATTCGTCACTTGAGGTAGATGCGTCCTGCCTTCTGCTACCCACCGTACAGCGTCTTCAGACTTGTCCACGCAACCCAGGCTTCCTCACAGTTGTCCAGCACATGATGGTAGTCCGCGTTCATGTGCAGCAGCATCATGCCAAACGCGACGTTGCTTGCCTTGACGTAGTCATCGGACGCTCACGGGTCGGTGAAAGTCGGAGTCACTTCACGGTTGACGACGTACCAGACGGACTTCGTCAAAAACACACCGCGCATGTACCGGCTCCACGTTGCGTAATTGTCTCCGTTGAACTTGTCAATGGAGGCGTTGCTGGTGGACGACATGGCGCTTGGGCTCACAACCTGTTGCATTGTAGATCGGAGCGAGGAAAGCGGAGCGAACGGAGCGGAGAGACCGAATAGAGTAGAGCAGAAAACACTTGCCCAATTGTTGGAAGATTCGAAAGTGATTGATTATCGGGGCTTACTACTTACTACATGATTTATATGTGGTGGCTGTTGCGTTGTAGATCGGAGCGAGGAAAGCGGAGCGAACGGAGCGGAGAGACCGAAGAGAGTAGAGCAGAAAACACTTGCCCAATAGTTGGAAGATTCGAAAGTGATTGATTATCGGGGCTTACTACTTACTACATGATTTATATGTGGTGTACATATAAATCATGTGAAGCGTCTCATCATCCTACGCGTCTAATCAACTATGGTAATTACCGTAAGAACTACGTCGTAAATACTAAGCTGAACAGGCGGTTCGGATTGGATCGGTCACGGTTACCAATACTGGTAGGAAACCGATGACCGTCAACACGCCCCCTCAATCCGAATGCTCACGAATCCCGAGAGCCGTCGTCATCTCCTTGTGGCGTGGTCCATGAAGTCCCTTCGTCATGATGTCCGCTAACATCACCGCAGTTTCACAGTACTTGAGCTTCACTTCACCGCGCTTGACCTCATCACGGATGTGATGGTACTTGATATCAATGTGCTTGGCACGGCCGTGGTTGACCGGGTTCTTCGTCATCTTGATACATGACCGATTGTCTTCATAAATCATGAGTGTTGCATTGTGGATCGGAGCGAGGAAAGCGGAGCGAACGGAGCGGAGAGACCGAAGAGAGTAGAGCAGAAAACACTTGCCCAATAGTTGGAAGATTCGAAAGTGATTGATTATCGGGGCTTACTACTTACTACATGATTTATATGTGGTGTACATATAAATCATGTGAAGCGTCTCATCATCCTACGCGTCTAATCAACTATGGTAATTACCGTAAGAACTACGTCGTAAATACTAAGCTGAACAGGCGGTTCGGATTGGATCGGTCACGGTTACCAATACTGGTAGGAAACCGATGACCGTCAACACGCCCCCTCAATCCGAATGCTCACGAATCCCGAGAGCCGTCGTCATCTCCTTGTGGCGTGGTCCATGAAGTCCCTTCGTCATGATGTCTGCTAACATCACCGCAGTTTCACAGTACTTGAGCTTGACTTGGCCGCGATCGACCTCATCACGGATGTGATGGTACTTGATATCAACGTGCTTGGCACGGCCGTGGTTGACCGGGTTCTTCGTCATCTTGATACATGACCGATTGTCTTCATGAATCATGAGTTCCGGTCCTTCTTCATTGGCAGCCATCACGATCTCACAAAGCAGACGATGAATCCACTTGCCCTCTTGAATCGCCAAGCTGAGTGCGATGTATTCAGCTTCAGTCGTGGACAACGAAACACTTGGCTGCTTCTTGCTGCCCCAACTCACTGGCGCACCGAGTAGCATGAACGTGTACCCTGATGTTGACTTGCGGTCGGTAAGATCACCAGCCCAATCCGCATCCGAATATCCACGGAAGTAGATCCTTGCACTTGGCTTGTAGCAAATTCCATGCGTCTTGGTGCCTTGTAGGTAGCGAAAGATACGCTTAACTGCAACCCAGTGTTCTTCTTGGGGATTTTCCATGAACCGCAACACATAGCCCACAGAAAACGCAATGTCCGGACGCGTTGCAGTGGTCAGGTGCATCAACGCACCAACTGCTTCGCAAAAAGGAGCATCGATCTTGGTAGTTGCATCACTTGAAACAAGTCGAGAGCTCATGTCGACTGGACTTGCGACTGCCTTGCAATCATCCATGCCAAAGCGCTTGAGGATATCATCGACATACCGACGCTGACATAGTGTCACACTGCCATCTTCACCGTCCAAAAGCTTGATCCCAAGAACAAACGCACACTTGCCGCTGTCCGTCATCTCGAACCGCGTCTTCAGGTCGTTCTTGGTTTGTGCAATCAGCTCGAGCGAGCTTCCAGTCATCAAGACGTCGTCCACGTAGACCAGTATAAACACGCAATGGCCGTCCGAAGTCTTGATGTAGAGACATGGGTCGAAGTCCGATACTTGAAATCCGATGGAGCACACATACTCGTCGAACGTCTCGTTCCACACTCGCGACGCTTTCTTGAGGCCGTAAATTGACTTCACCAATTCCAGGCAGTCGAACGTACTGTCAAGTTCGACGCCTTCAGGAATCACGCAGAACACTTGTTCCTTCATGACGCCATACAGGAAAGCTGTCACCACATCAAGCTGGTCGATGGGCCATCCAAAATGCTTGGAAATTGCGATCACCATTCGCAGCGTCACATACTTGACCACAGGCGAAAACGTCTCCGTGTAGTCGATGCCATACTTTTGGCGGAAACCCTTGGCCACAAGTCGTGCCTTGTATTTCTTGATTGACCCATCCGCCTTGCGCTTGATCTTGAACACCCATTTTGTGCCAATGGCGCGTTGTCCGTTGGGCAGCTTGGCTGCACGAAACACACCGCGAAGTCGCATTGACTCGAGCTCTGCATGAATTGCTTTTCTCCAGTGCACTTGGTCAGGGCCGCTTACTGCTGCTTCAAATGTTGAGGGCTCTGATAAGTCCACTGCTGCTTCAACGGCATTTGCACTCGCACGCCAAAACACAGGCGGTGTTGAATCACCAGAATCCTTCGTTTCTTCGTCTTCTTCTTGGCGTGACGAGTTGTTTTCCGGCGCGCTTGACTCTTCTAGTCCTGGTCGTTGACGCACTGCACGCGGTCGTGGAGCTGCTGTATCTTCATCATTGAGTCGGTTCTTGCGCTTGCCTGTTTGTTGTACTCCATTTGACGCAGCTCTTCGTCATCAAGATCCAGCAATTCGAAGTCCAGGTCATCGGCACCTTCATCAGTGATCGGAAGTTGAAGTCCACAGGTGGATTCGTCGAAGTTGACATCACGATTGACGACCACCTTCCCCGCCTCAACGTCATAAACTTGATACGCCTTCGACACTTCTTCGTAGCCCACGGGCATGCCAGCGCCAGCCTTTGGATCCCACTTGAGTCGATTCTCTTTAGGCGTCAGTATGTATGTCTGACACCCGAATGTTGACATGTGCTTGACGCTTGGTTTCAAGTTGTAGACGATCTCAAACGGGGTCTTGTGCACGACTTTAGGTGACGGCAGTCGATTCTTGACGTAGATGGCCGTCATCGCTGCTTCGGCCCAGAAACACTTGTCCAGTTTGGCATGATGAAGCATGCTGCGGCCGATCGTGACAATAGTCCTAATGGCACGCTCTGCTGTTCCGTTTGTTTGATGTGCATACGGCACCGTTGTCTGCTGTTCAATGCCTTCGTCTTCGTAGAACAGTTGAAGCGAGTTGGTTGCAAACTCGCGAGCTCCGTCGTGTCGCACGAGCTTGACCTTCTTACAGAATTGCGTCTGTACCATGGTGATATATTTCCGGATGTATTCTTCACTCTCGGACTTCACTCGTAGACAAAAGCCCTTCATGCATCCACTGGCTTCGTCGATGATCAGCAGCAAATATTTGCTGCCACCGAGCGAATCCTTTTCCATGGACCCGCAGATGTCCAGATGAAGTAGCTCGAACGTGTCGTAACTTCGCTTGTCACGATTGCTTGGGAATGGGTTTTGGACCATTTTTCCTTGCTGACATTCTCGACATGTACCTGATCCACTTGACTTGAGAGGCACTTCCACATCTTTGATCATGTTGTTGGAGACCATCTTGCGAAGCACGTCGACTGTAGCATGACCCATTCTCGCATGTAGATCGGCACAACTGGTTCCACTTGTTGTCACATTCGCTGATCGTTGAGTCGTACGAAGCCAGTAGAGTCCATCCACGAGATCCGCTGTCGCCACCACTTGCTGTGAGTTCTTGAGAGTCACATACATCTTGGACGCGTTAAAAACGACTTCAAACTTGCCATGGCTGTTGATCTGTGGCACCGAGAGCAGGTTCTTGCTCATACTTGGACCATATAGCGCGTTCTTGATTTCGATCTCACGCTCTTCACCGTTGGGCAGAACCACCTTTTCAATGATGGTTCCCACACCCTTGATGGCCACCTTGTTGCCATCAGCCACCAAGAGTTCGCCCTCATTGCGCTCTGCCAAACTTGCGAACTTGGTCTTGTCGTGGCAAATGTGGTGCGTTGCACCACTGTCGACGGCCCACATTCCAGACACGTCCTTGCTCGTCGAAACTCCACATTCGAACGAGACTGCAAACGCCACTCGATCGTAGCCATTGCCTTCATCATGATGTCCCCACTGGACATCGTTAGCCCCGCGTCCACGACCATTGCCGCCGCGTCGGGCTCCCCCGACCTTCGTTCTTCTGCTTTGTCCAGCAACGATCCACCGTGTGTCCCACCTTGCCACAATACGTGCTTTGGTAAGGCTCACGCTCGGCGCTGAATGCCTTGGTTGCATCTTCAGCCTTCACCGTAGTCGCTGTCGTTGACCCTTTTTCTCCTTGACGCTTGGCATGCTCATTCGTCAGTACTCTCACCACATCTTGAGTGCGAAGCTCGGTGCTGCTCATTTCCATGTTGAGCACCACATTTTCGTAGCTCTTTGGAAGACTGAGTAGCAGACAAATTGCAACGTCTTCGTCTTCCATCTTCGCACCGATGCCGCTAAGCTTGGCGGAGATCTTGAGGACCTCGTTGCAATGATGCATGACGTTCGCGCCTTCAGCCATACTGATGCTGAAAATTCGTCGCTTGAGGTAGATGCGTCCTGCCTTCTGCTACCCACCGTACAGCGTCTTCAGACTTGTCCACGCAACCCAGGCTTCCTCACAGTTGTCCAGCACATGATGGTAGTCCGCGTTCATGTGCAGCAGCATCATACCAAATGCGACATTGCTTGCCTTGACGTAGTCATCGGACGCTCACGGGTCGGTGAAAGTCGGAGTCACTTCACGGTTGACGACGTGCCAGACGGACTTCGTCAAAAACACACCGCGCATGTACCGGCTCCACGTTGCGTAATTGTCTCCGTTGAACTTGTCAATGGAGGCGTTGCTGGTGGACGACATGGCGCTTGGGCTCATAACCTGTTGCATTGTAGATCGGAGCGAGGAAAGCGGAGCGAACGGAGCGGAGAGACCGAAGAGAGTAGAGCAGAAAACACTTGCCCAATTGTTGGAAGATTCGAAAGTGATTGATTATCGGGGCTTACTACTTACTACATGATTTATATGTGGTGTACATATAAATCATGTGAAGCGTCTCATCATCCTACGCGTCTAATCAACTATGGTAATTACCGTAAGAACTACGTCGTAAATACTATGCTGAACAGGCGGTTCGGATTGGATCGGTCACGGTTACCAAGACTGGTAGAAAACCGATGACCGTCAACACACATGCGAACATTCGGGTGTCAGACATACGTACTGACGCCTAAAGAGAATCGACTCAAGTGGGATCCAAAGGCTCGCGCTGGCATATTCGTGGGCTACGAAGAAGTTTTGAAGGCATATCGTGTTTATGACATCGAGGCGGGGCAGGTGGTTATCAGCCGCGATGTCAACTTCGACGAGTCCACCTTTGGACTTCAACTGCCGATCACTGATGAAGATGTCGATGACCTGGACTTCGAATTGCTGGATCTTGATGACGAAGAGCTGCGTCAAATGGAGTACAAGCAAACAGGCAAGCACAAGAACCGACTCAATGATGAAGATACAGCAGCTCCACGACCGCGTGCAGTGCGTCAACGACCAGGACTAGAAGAGTCAAGCGCGCCGGAAAACAACTCGTCACACCAAGAAGAAGACGAAGAAACGAAGGATTCTGGTGATTCAACACCGCCTGTGTTTTGGCGTGCGAGTGCAAATGCCGTTGAAGCAGCAGTGGACTTATCAGAGCCCTCAACATTTGAAGCAGCAGTAAGCGGCCCTGACCAAGTGCACTGGAGAAAAGCAATTCATGCAGAGCTCGAGTCAATGCGACGTCGCGGTGTGTTTCGTGCAGCCAAGCTGCCCTACGGACAACGCGCCATTGGCACAAAATGGGTGTTCAAGATCAAGCGCAAGGCGGATGGGTCAATCGAGAAGTACAAGGCACGACTTGTGGCCAAGGGTTTCCGCCAAAAGTATGGCATCGACTACACGGAGACGTTTTCGCCTGTGGTCAAGTATGTGACGCTGCGAATGGTGATCGCAATTTCCAAGCATTTTGGATGGCCTATCGACCAGCTTGATGTGTTGACGGCTTTCCTGTATGGCGTCATGAAGGAACAAGTGTTCTGCGTGATTCCTGAAGGCGTCGAACTTGACAGTACGTTCGACTGCCTGGTATTAGTGAAGTCAATTTACGGCCTCAAGCAAGCGTCGCGAGTGTGGAACGAGACGTTCGACAAGTTTGTGTTGCTCTATTGGATTTCAAGCGTCGTACTTCGACCCATGTCTCTACATCAAGACTTCGGACGGCCATTGTGTGCTTGTACTGGTCGACGTGGAAGACGTCTTGGTGACTGGAAGCTCGCTTGAGCTAATTGCACGAACCAAGAACGACTTGAAGACACGTTTTGAGATGACAGACAGCGGCAAGTATTCATTTGTTCTAGGGATCGAGCTTTTGGACGGTGAAGATGGCAGTGTGACTCTGTGTCAGCGCCGTTATGTCGATGATATCCTCAAGCGCTTTGGAATGGAGGAGTGCAAGGCTGTGGCGAGTCCTGTGGATGTCAGTTCTCGAGTGATGTCAAGCAGCACTGCGAACAAGATCGATGTTCCATGCCGTGAAGCTGTTAGTGCTTTGATGCATCTGACGACTGCAAAACGACCGGACATTGCCTGTGCTGTGAGCTTTGTGTCGCGCTTCATGGAGAATCCCCAAGAAGAACACGGTTGCGGCCAAGAGCATCTTTCGCTACCTACAAGACACCAAGATGCATGGAATGTGCTCCAAGCCAAGTGCAAGGATCGCCTTTCGTGGCTATTCGGACGCAGACTGGGCCGGCGACCTTACTGATCGCAAGTCAACGTCTGGCTACGTCTTCATGCTATTGGGTGCTCCAGTGAGTTGGGTCAGCAAGAAGCAGCCAAGTGTGTCACTGTCTACAAGTGAAGCGGAGTACATTGCGCTAATTCTGGCGATTCAAGAAGGCAAGTGGATCCACCGCTTACTATGCGAGATCATGGCAGCTGCTAACGAGGACGGACCCGATCTCATGGTCCGAGAAGAAAACCAGTCCTGCATCAAAATGACCAAGAATCCGGTCAACCACGGCCGCGCCAAACACAGTGATATCAAATACCATCACATTCGCGATGAAGTCAAGCGCGGTGAAGTGAAGCTTGAATAATGCGAGACGACGGTGATGTCGGCAGACATTATGACCACGGGACTTCACGGACCGCGCCACAAGGACTTAACAGTGGCGCTAGGCATCTGAGCTCGTTCGGATTGAGGGAACGTGTTGACGTTCATCGGTTTTTTACCAGTATTGGTAACCTTGACCGGTTCAATCCGATATGCCTGCTCAGCTTTTACGACGTAGTTCTTACGGTAGTTACCCATAGTTGACGGAACGCGTCGGATGATGAGACGCTTCACATGATTTATATGTACACCAAATGTAAATCATGTAGTTAGTAGTAAGCCCCGATAATCAATCACTTCCGAATATTCCAACTCGTGAGCAAGTGTCTTCTGCTCTACTCTCTTCAGCCTCTCCGCACCCTTCGCTCCGCTCTTTGCAATGCAACAGGTTATGAGTCCGAGCGCCATGTCGTAAACCACCAACGCATCATCCAACGCCTCCATTGATAAGTTCAACGGAGACAACTATGCAACTTGGAGTCGATACATGCGCGGTGTGTATTTGACGAAGTCCGTCTGGTACGTCGTGAACCGTGAAACGACTCCGGCTTTCACCGACCCGCGAGCGTCCGATGACTACGTCAAGGCGAGCAATGTCGCATTTGGTATGATGCTGCTGCACATGAATGCGGATTACCACCATGTGCTTGACAACTGCGAGGAAGCGTGGGTTGCGAGGACAAGTCTGAAGACGCTGTACGGTGGGTCGCAGAAGGCAGTACGCATCTTCCTCAAGCGACGACTTTTCAGTATCAAGATGGCTGAAGGCGCGAACGTCATGAACCACTGCAACGAGGTCCTCAACATCTCCGCCAAGCTTAGCGGCATCGGTGCGAAGATGGAAGATGAAGACGTTGCAATCTGTCTGCTGCTTGGTCTTCCAAAGAGCTACGAAAATGTGGTGCTCAACATGGAAATGAGTAGCGCCGAGCTTCGCACCCAGGATGTAGTGAGAGTGCTGACGAATGAGCACGCTAAGGATCAAGGAGAAAAAGGCATAGCAACAGCGACTACGGTGAAGGCTGAAGATGCAAGCAAGGCATTCAGCCACAATACGTGCATTGTTAGGGAACTGAGTGCGAGCCCTATTAATGCACGTATTGTGGCAGGGTAAGACGCACGGTGGATCGTTGTTGGACAAAGCAGAAGAACGAAGGTCGAGGAGCCCGACGCGGCGGCAATGGTCGTGGACGCGGGGATAATAACTTCCAGTGGGGATATTATTATGAAGGCAATGAATACGATCGAGTGGCGTTTGCAGTATCGCTTAAATGTGGAGTTTCGACGAGCAAGTACATGTCTGGAATGTGGGCCGTCGACAGTGGTGAAACGCACCACATCTGCCACGACAAAATAAGTTTACAAGCTTGGTCAAAGGAAACGATGGCGAGATACTGGTGGATGATGGTATCAAGCGGCCATCGAGGGTGTGGGATCCATCATTGAAAAGGTGGTTCTGTCCAACTGTGAAGAGCGCGAGATCAAGATCAAGAAAGCTTTATATGCTCGAAGTATTAGCAAGAACCTTCTTTCGGTGCCACAGGTCAACACGCATGGCAAGTTCCAAGTCGTGTTTAATGGGTCCAAGATGTATGTGACTCTCAAGAACTCACAGCAAGTGGTGGCGACAGCGGATCTTGTGGATGGACTTTACTGGCTTCGTACGACTCAGCGATATGCAAATGTGACAACAAGTGGAAACAGTTGTGCTGACCTACATTCGCGAATGAGTCACGCTCCAGTCGACGTACTACGCAAGATGATCACGACCAACATGATCAAGGATGTGCGAGTCCCTCTTACGTCGGGTGGAGCAACTGCATGTTGAGGGTTCCAACAAGGTAAAATGGTCTAAAAACCATTCCCAATCAACCGCGACAAGCGTAACTACGATACGTTCGAGCTGCTTCATCTAGACATCTGTGGGCCCATGGAAAACGAATCGCTCGGTGGCAGCAGAAATCTGCTACTGATCGTAGACGAAGCCAGTGGATGTATGAAGGGCTTTTTACGAGTGAAGTCCGAGAGTGAAGACTACATCCGGAAGTACATCACTATGGTACAGACGCAGTTCAGTAAGAAGGTCAAGTTTGTGCTACACGACGGAGCTCGCGAGTTCGCAACCAACTCGCTTCGATTGTTCTACGAAGATGAAGGCATTGAAAAGCAGACAACGGTGCATATGCGCATCAAACCAACGGAACAGCAGAGCGTGCCATTAGAACTATCATCACGATCGGCTGCAGCATGCTTCATCATGCCAAACTGGACAAGTGTTCGTGGGCTGAAGCAGCGATGACGGACATCTACGTCAAGAATCGACTGCTGTCACCTAAAGATGTACACAAGACCCCGTTTGAGATCGTCTACAACTTGAAACCATGCGTCGAGCACATGCGAGCATTTGGATGTCGGACGTACATACTGACGCGAAAGAGAATCGACTCAAGTGGGATCCAAAGGATGACGCTGACATGTTCGTGGGCTACGAAGAAGCGTTGAAGTCGTATCAAGTTTATGACGTTGACGCGGGGAAGGTGGTTGTCAGTCGTGATGTCAACTTTGACGAATCCACCTTTGGACTTCCACCACCGATCACTGATGAAGGTGCCGATGACCTGGACTTCAAATTACTCAATGATGAAGAGCCGCGTCAGGTAGAGTACAAGCAAACAGGCAAGCGCAAGAGCCGCCTCGATGATGAAGATGCAGCTGCTCAACGACTGCGTGCATAGAGTCAGCGGCCTGGACTAGTAGAGTCAAGCACTCCGGACAGCAACTCGTCATGCTTAGAAGAAGACGCAGAAACGAAGGATTCTGATGAATCAACTCCGCCTGTGTTTTGGCGTGCGAGTGCGAATGCCGTAGAAGCAGCAGTGGGTTTATTGGAGTCGTCAACATTTGAGGCAGCAGTGAGAAGCCCTGACAAAGTGCACTAGCGGAAATACATTCATGCGGAGCTCGAGTCAATGCGACTTCGTGGTGTGTTCGTGCAACCAAGTTAGCCCAACGGACAACGTGCCATTGGTACCAAGTGGGTCTTCAAGATCAAGCGTAAAGCGGACGGATCCATCGAGAAGTACAAGGCACGTCTTGTGGCAAAGGGTTTTCGCCAGAAGTATGGCATCGACTACACGGAGACATTTTCGCCTGTGATCAAGTATGTGACTCTGCGAATGGTGGTCGCAATTTCCAAGCCATTTGGATGGTCCATGACCAGCTTGATGTGTTGACGGCTTTCCTGCATGGCGTCATGAAGGAACAAGTGATCTGTGTGATTCCTGAAGGCGTCAACCTTGATAGTACGTTCGACTGCCTGGTATTAGTGAAGTCAATTTACGGCCTCAAGCAAGCGTCGCGAGTGTGGAACGAGACGTTCGACAAGTTTGTGTTGCTCTATTGGATTTCAAGCGTCAGGCTTCGACCCATGTCTCTACATCAAGACTTCTGACAGCCATTGTGTGCTTGTACTGGTCGACGTGGAAGACGTCTTGGTGACTGGAAGCTCGCTTGAGCTAATTGCACGAACCAAGAACGACTTGAAGACACGTTTTGAGATGACAGACAGCGGCAAGTATTCATTTGTTCTAGGGATCGAGCTTTTGGACGGTGAAGATGGCAGTGTGACTCTGTGTCAGCGCCGTTATGTCGATGATATCCTCAAGCGCTTTGGAATGGAGGAGTGCAAGGCTGTGGCGAGTCCTGTGGATGTCAGTTCTCGAGTGATGTCAAGCAGCACTGCGAACAAGATCGATGTTCCATGCCGTGAAGCTGTTGGTGCTTTGATGCATCTGACGACTGCAAAACGACCGGACATTGCCTGTGCTGTGAGCTTTGTGTCGCGCTTCATGGAGAATCCCCAAGAAGAACACTGGGTTGCGGTCAAGAGCATCTTTCGCTACCTACAAGACACCAAGATGCATGGAATGTGCTCCAAGCCAAGTGCATGGATCGCTTTTCGTGGCTATTCGGACGCAGACTGGGCCGGCGACCTTACTGATCGCAAGTCAACGTCTGGCTACGTCTTCATGCTATTGGGTGCTCCAGTGAGTTGGGTCAGCAAGAAGCAGCCAAGTGTGTCACTGTCTACAAGTGAAGCGGAGTACATTGCGCTAATTCTGGCGATTCAAGAAGGCAAGTGGATCCACCGCTTACTATGCGATATCATGGCAGCTGCTAACGTGGACGGACCCGATCTCATCATCCGAGAAGAAAATCAGTCCTGCATCAAAATGACCAAGAATCCGGTCAACCACGGCCGCGCCAAACACAGTGATATCAAGTACCATCACATTCGCGATGAAGTCAAGCGCGGTGAAGTGAAGCTTGAATAATGCGAGACGACGGTGATGTCGGCAGACATTATGACCAAGGGAATTCACGGACCGCGCCACAAGGACTTAACAGTGGCGCTAGGCATCTGAGCTCGTTCGGATTGAGGGAACGTGTTGACGTTCATCGGTTTTTTACCAGTATTGGTAACCTTGACCGGTTCAATCCGAACCGCCTTCTCAGCTTTTACGACGTAGTTCTTACGGTAGTTACCCATAGTTGACGGAACGCGTCGGATGATGAGACGCTTCACATGATTTATATGTACACTAAATGTAAATCATGTAGTTAGTAGTAAGCCCCGATAATCAATCACTTCCGAATATTCCAACTCGTGAGCAAGTGTCTTCTGCTCTACTCTCTTCAGCCTCTCCGCACCCTTCCCTCCGCTCTTTGCAATGCAACAGGTTATGAGTCCGAGCGCCATGTCGTAAACCACCAACGCATCATCCAACGCCTCCATTGATGAGTTCAATAGAGACAACTATGCGACTTGGAGTCGATACATGCGCGGTGTGTTTTTGAAGAAGTCTGTCTGGTATGTCGTGAACCGTGAAACGACTCCGGCTTTCACCGACCCTCGAGCGTCCGATGACTACGTCAAGGCGAGCAATGTCGCATTTGGTATGATGCTGCTGCACATGAATGCGGATTACCACCATGTGCTTGACAACTGCGAGGAAGCGTGGGTTGCGAGGACAAGTCTGAAGACGCTGTACGGTGGGTCGCAGAAGGCAGTACGCATCTTCCTCAAGCGACGACTTTTCAGTATCAAGATGGCTGAAGGCGCGAACGTCATGAACCACTGCAACGAGGTCCTCAACATCTCCGCCAAGCTTAGCGGCATCGGTGCGAAGATGGAAGACGAAGACGTTGCAATCTGTCTGCTGCTTGGTCTTCCAAAGAGCTACGAAAATGTGGTGCTCAACATGGAAATGAGTAGCGCCGAGCTTCGCACCCAGGATGTAGTGAGAGTCCTGACGAATGAGCACGCCAAGGATCAAGGAGAAAAAGGCATAACAACAGCGACTACGGTGAAGGCTGAAGATGCAAGCAAGGCATTTAGCCACAATACGTGCATTGTTAGGGAACTGAGTGCGAGCCCTATTAATGCACGTATTGTGGCAGGGTAAGACGCACGGTGGATCGTTGCTGGACAAAGCAGAAGAACGAAGGTCGAGGAGCCCGACGCGACGGCAATGGTCGTGGACGCGGGGATAATAACTTCCAGTGGGGATATTATTATGAAGGCAATGAATACGATCGAGTGGCGTTTGCAGTATCGCTTAAATGTGGAGTTTCGACGAGCAAGTACATGTCTGGAATGTGGGCCGTCGACAGTGGTGAAACGCACCACATCTGCCACGACAAAATAAGTTTACAAGCTTGGTCAAAGGAAACGATGGCAAGATACTGGTGGCCGATGGTATCAAGCGGCCATCGAGGGTGTGGGATCCATCATTGAAAAGGTGGTTCTGTCCAACTGTGAAGAGCGCGAGATCAAGATCAAGAAAGCTTTATATGCTCGAAGTATTAGCAAGAACCTTCTTTCGGTGCCACAGGTCAACACGCATGGCAAGTTCCAAGTCGTGTTTAATGGGTCCAAGATGTATGTGACTCTCAAGAACTCACAGCAAGTGGTGGCGACAGCGGATCTTGTGGATGGACTTTACTGGCTTCGTACGACTCAGCGATATGCAAATGTGACAACAAGTGGAAACAGTTGTGCTGACCTACATTCGCGAATGAGTCACGCTCCAGTCGACGTACTACGCAAGATGATCACGACCAACATGATCAAGGATGTGCGAGTCCCTCTTACGTCGGGTGGAGCAACTGCATGTTGAGGGTTCCAACAAGGTAAAATGGTCTAAAAACCATTCCCAATCAACCGCGACAAGCGTAACTACGATACGTTCGAGCTGCTTCATCTAGACATCTGTGGGCCCATGGAAAACGAATCGCTCGGTGGCAGCAGAAATCTGCTACTGATCGTAGACGAAGCCAGTGGATGTATGAAGGGCTTTTTACGAGTGAAGTCCGAGAGTGAAGACTACATCCGGAAGTACATCACTATGGTACAGACGCAGTTCAGTAAGAAGGTCAAGTTTGTGCTACACGACGGAGCTCGCGAGTTCGCAACCAACTCGCTTCGATTGTTCTACGAAGATGAAGGCATTGAAAAGCAGACAACGGTGCATATGCGCATCAAACCAACGGAACAGCAGAGCGTGCCATTAGAACTATCATCACGATCGGCCGCAGCATGCTTCATCATGCCAAACTGGACAAGTGTTCGTGGGCTGAAGCAGCGATGACGGACATCTACGTCAAGAATCGACTGCTGTCACCTAAAGATGTACACAAGACCCCGTTTGAGATCGTCTACAACTTGAAACCATGCGTCGAGCACATGCGAGCATTTGGATGTCGGACGTACATACTGACGCGAAAGAGAATCGACTCAAGTGGGATCCAAAGGCTGGCGTTGACATGTTCGTGGGCTACGAAGAAGCGTTGAAGTCGTATCAAGTTTATGACGTTGACGCGGGGAAGGTGGTTGTCAGTCGTGATGTCAACTTTGACGAATCCACCTTTGGACTTCCACCACCGATCACTGATGAAGGTGCCGATGACCTGGACTTCAAATTACTCAATGATGAAGAGCCGCGTCAGGTAGAGTACAAGCAAACAGGCAAGCGCAAGAGCCGCCTCGATGATGAAGATGCAGCTGCTCAACGACTGCGTGCATAGAGTCAGCGGCCTGGACTAGTAGAGTCAAGCACTCCGGACAGCAACTCGTCATGCTTAGAAGAAGACGCAGAAACGAAGGATTCTGATGAATCAACTCCGCCTGTGTTTTGGCGTGCGAGTGCGAATGCCGTAGAAGCAGCAGTGGGTTTATTGGAGTCGTCAACATTTGAGGCAGCAGTGAGAAGCCCTGACAAAGTGCACTAGCGGAAATACATTCATGCGGAGCTCGAGTCAATGCGACTTCGCGGTGTGTTCGTGCAACCAAGCTACCTAACGGACAACGCTCCATTGGTAAGAAGTGGGTCTTCAAGATCAAGCGTAAAGCGGATGGATCTATCGAGAAGTACAAGGCACGACTTGTGGCCAAGGGTTTCCGCCAAAAGTATGGCATCGACTACACGGAGACATTTTCGCCTGTGATCAAGTATGTGACTCTGCGAATGGTGGTCGCAATTTCCAAGCCATTTGGATGGTCCATGACCAGCTTGATGTGTTGACGGCTTTCCTGCATGGCGTCATGAAGGAACAAGTGATCTGTGTGATTCCTGAAGGCGTCAACCTTGATAGTACGTTCGACTGCCTGGTATTAGTGAAGTCAATTTACGGCCTCAAGCAAGCGTCGCGAGTGTGGAACGAGACGTTCGACAAGTTTGTGTTGCTCTATTGGATTTCAAGCGTCGTACTTCGACCCATGTCTCTACATCAAGACTTCTGACAGCCATTGTGTGCTTGTACTGGTCGACGTGGAAGACGTCTTGGTGACTGGAAGCTCGCTTGAGCTAATTGCACGAACCAAGAACGACTTGAAGACACGTTTTGAGATGACAGACAGCGGCAAGTATTCATTTGTTCTAGGGATCGAGCTTTTGGACGGTGAAGATGGCAGTGTGACTCTGTGTCAGCGCCGTTATGTCGATGATATCCTCAAGCGCTTTGGAATGGAGGAGTGCAAGGCTGTGGCGAGTCCTGTGGATGTCAGTTCTCGAGTGATGTCAAGCAGCACTGCGAACAAGATCGATGTTCCATGCCGTGAAGCTGTTGGTGCTTTGATGCATCTGACGACTGCAAAACGACCGGACATTGCCTGTGCTGTGAGCTTTGTGTCGCGCTTCATGGAGAATCCCCAAGAAGAACACTGGGTTGCGGTCAAGAGCATCTTTCGCTACCTACAAGACACCAAGATGCATGGAATGTGCTCCAAGCCAAGTGCATGGATCGCTTTTCGTGGCTATTCGGACGCAGACTGGGCCGGCGACCTTACTGATCGCAAGTCAACGTCTGGCTACGTCTTCATGCTATTGGGTGCTCCAGTGAGTTGGGTCAGCAAGAAGCAGCCAAGTGTGTCACTGTCTACAAGTGAAGCGGAGTACATTGCGCTAATTCTGGCGATTCAAGAAGGCAAGTGGATCCACCGCTTACTATGCGATATCATGGCAGCTGCTAACGTGGACGGACCCGATCTCATCATCCGAGAAGAAAATCAGTCCTGCATCAAAATGACCAAGAATCCGGTCAACCACGGCCGCGCCAAACACAGTGATATCAAGTACCATCACATTCGCGATGAAGTCAAGCGCGGTGAAGTGAAGCTTGAATAATGCGAGACGACGGTGATGTCGGCAGACATTATGACCAAGGGAATTCACGGACCGCGCCACAAGGACTTAACAGTGGCGCTAGGCATCTGAGCTCGTTCGGATTGAGGGAACGTGTTGACGTTCATCGGTTTTTTACCAGTATTGGTAACCTTGACCGGTTCAATCCGAACCGCCTTCTCAGCTTTTACGACGTAGTTCTTACGGTAGTTACCCATAGTTGACGGAACGCGTCGGATGATGAGACGCTTCACATGATTTATATGTACACTAAATGTAAATCATGTAGTTAGTAGTAAGCCCCGATAATCAATCACTTCCGAATATTCCAACTCGTGAGCAAGTGTCTTCTGCTCTACTCTCTTCAGCCTCTCCGCACCCTTCCCTCCGCTCTTTGCAATGCAACAGGTTATGAGTCCGAGCGCCATGTCGTAAACCACCAACGCATCATCCAACGCCTCCATTGATGAGTTCAATAGAGACAACTATGCGACTTGGAGTCGATACATGCGCGGTGTGTTTTTGAAGAAGTCTGTCTGGTATGTCGTGAACCGTGAAACGACTCCGGCTTTCACCGACCCTCGAGCGTCCGATGACTACGTCAAGGCGAGCAATGTCGCATTTGGTATGATGCTGCTGCACATGAATGCGGATTACCACCATGTGCTTGACAACTGCGAGGAAGCGTGGGTTGCGAGGACAAGTCTGAAGACGCTGTACGGTGGGTCGCAGAAGGCAGTACGCATCTTCCTCAAGCGACGACTTTTCAGTATCAAGATGGCTGAAGGCGCGAACGTCATGAACCACTGCAACGAGGTCCTCAACATCTCCGCCAAGCTTAGCGGCATCGGTGCGAAGATGGAAGACGAAGACGTTGCAATCTGTCTGCTGCTTGGTCTTCCAAAGAGCTACGAAAATGTGGTGCTCAACATGGAAATGAGTAGCGCCGAGCTTCGCACCCAGGATGTAGTGAGAGTCCTGACGAATGAGCACGCCAAGGATCAAGGAGAAAAAGGCATAACAACAGCGACTACGGTGAAGGCTGAAGATGCAAGCAAGGCATTTAGCCACAATACGTGCATTGTTAGGGAACTGAGTGCGAGCCCTATTAATGCACGTATTGTGGCAGGGTAAGAACGCACGGTGGATCGTTGCTGGACAAAGCAGAAGAACGAAGGTCGAGGAGCCCGACGCGACGGCAATGGTCGTGGACGCGGGGATAATAACTTCCAGTGGGGATATTATTATGAAGGCAATGAATACGATCGAGTGGCGTTTGCAGTATCGCTTAAATGTGGAGTTTCGACGAGCAAGTACATGTCTGGAATGTGGGCCGTCGACAGTGGTGAAACGCACCACATCTGCCACGACAAAATAAGTTTACAAGCTTGGTCAAAGGAAACGATGGCGAGATACTGGTGGATGATGGTATCAAGCGGCCATCGAGGGTGTGGGATCCATCATTGAAAAGGTGGTTCTGTCCAACTGTGAAGAGCGCGAGATCAAGATCAAGAAAGCTTTATATGCTCGAAGTATTAGCAAGAACCTTCTTTCGGTGCCACAGGTCAACACGCATGGCAAGTTCCAAGTCGTGTTTAATGGGTCCAAGATGTATGTGACTCTCAAGAACTCACAGCAAGTGGTGGCGACAGCGGATCTTGTGGATGGACTTTACTGGCTTCGTACGACTCAGCGATATGCAAATGTGACAACAAGTGGAAACAGTTGTGCTGACCTACATTCGCGAATGAGTCACGCTCCAGTCGACGTACTACGCAAGATGATCACGACCAACATGATCAAGGATGTGCGAGTCCCTCTTACGTCGGGTGGAGCAACTGCATGTTGAGGGTTCCAACAAGGTAAAATGGTCTAAAAACCATTCCCAATCAACCGCGACAAGCGTAACTACGATACGTTCGAGCTGCTTCATCTAGACATCTGTGGGCCCATGGAAAACGAATCGATCGGTGGCAGCAGAAATCTGCTACTGATCGTAGACGAAGCCAGTGGGTGTGTGAAGGGCTTTTTACGAGTGAAGTCCGAGAGTGAAGACTACATCCGGAAGTACATCACTATGGTACAGACGCAGTTCAGTAAGAAGGTCAAGTTTGTGCTACACGACGGAGCCCGCGAGTTCGCAACCAACTCGCTTCGATTGTTCTACGAAGATGAAGGCATTGAAAAGCAGACAACGGTGCATATGCGCATCAAACCAACGGAACAGCAGAGCGTGCTATTAGAACTATCGTCACGATCGGCTGCAGCATGCTTCATCATGCCAAACTGGACAAGTGTTCGTGGGCTGAAGCAGCGATGACGGCCATCAACGTCAAGAATCGACTTCCACCGCCTAAAGATGTACACAAGACCCCGTTTGAGATTGTATACAACTCGAAACCAAGCGTCGAGCACATGCGAGCATTTGGATGTCGGACGTACATACTGACGCGAAAGAGAATCGACTCAAGAGGGATCCAAAGGCTGGCGTTGACATGTTCGTGGGCTACGAAGAAGTGTCGAAGGCGTATCAAGTTTATGACGTTGACGCGGGGAAGGTGGTTGTCAGTCGTGATGTCAACTTCGACGAATCCATCTTTGGACTTCCAAAACCGATCACTGATGAAGGTGCCGATGAACTGGACTTCAAATTACTCAATGATGAAGAGCCGCGTCAGGTAGAGTACAAGCAAACAGGCAAGCGCAAGAGCCGCCTCGATGATGAAGATGCAGCTGCTCAACGACTGCGTGCAGTGAGTCAGCGGCCTGGACTAGTAGAGTCAAGCACTCCGGACAGCAACTCGTCATGCTTAGAAGAAGACGCAGAAACGAAGGATTCTGATGAATCAACTCCGCCTGTGTTTTGGCGTGCGAATGCCGTAGAAGCAGCAGTGGGTTTATTGGAGTCGTCAACATTTGAGGCAGCAGTGAGAAGCCCTGACAAAGTGCACTAGCGGAAATACATTCATGCGGAGCTCGAGTCAATGCGACTTCGCGGTGTGTTCGTGCAACCAAGCTACCTAACGGACAACGCTCCATTGGTAAGAAGTGGGTCTTCAAGATCAAGCGTAAAGCGGATGGATCTATCGAGAAGTACAAGGCACGACTTGTGGCCAAGGGTTTCCGCTTAAAGTATGGCATCGACTACACGGAGACATTTTCGCCTGTGATCAAGTATGTGACTGTGCGAATGGTGGTCGCAATTTCCAAGCCATTTGGATGGCCCATGACCAGCTTGAGGTGTTGACGGCTTTCCTGTATGGCGTCATGAAGGAACAAGTGATCTGTGTGATTCCTGAAGGCGTCAACCTTGATAGTACGTTCGACTGCCTGGTATTAGTGAAGTCAATTTACGGCCTCAAGCAAGCGTCGCGAGTGTGGAACGAGACGTTCGACAAGTTTGTGTGCTCTATTGGATTTCAAGCGTCGTACTTCGACCCATGTCTCTACATCAAGACTTCGGACGGCCATTGTGTGCTTGTACTGGTCGACGTGGAAGACGTCTTGGTGACTGGAAGCTCGCTTGAGCTAATTGCACGAACCAAGAACGACTTGAAGACACGTTTTGAGATGACAGACAGCGGCAAGTATTCATTTGTTCTAGGGATCGAGCTTTTGGACGGTGAAGATGGCTGTGTGACTCTGTGTCAGCGCCGTTATGTCGATGATATCCTCAAGCGCTTTGTAATGGAGGAGTGCAAGGCTGTGGCGAGTCCTGTGGATGTCAGCTCTCGAGTGATGTCAAGCAGCACTGCGAGCAAGATCGATGTTCCATGCCGTGAAGCTGTTGGTGCTTTGATGCATCTGACGACTGCAAAACGACCGGACATTGCCTGTGCTGTGAGCTTTGTGTCGCGCTTCATGGAGAATCCCCAAGAAGAACACGGTTGCGGCCAAGAGCATCTTTCGCTACCTACAAGACACCAAGATGCATGGAATGTGCTCCAAGCCAAGTGCAAGGATCGCCTTTCGTGGCTATTCGGACGCAGACTGGGCCGGCGACCTTACTGATCGCAAGTCAACGTCTGGCTACGTCTTCATGCTATTGGGTGCTCCAGTGAGTTGGGTCAGCAAGAAGCAGCCAAGTGTGTCACTGTCTACAAGTGAAGCGGAGTACATTGCGCTAATTCTGGCGATTCAAGAAGGCAAGTGGATCCACCGCTTACTATGCGATATCATGGCAGCTGCTAACGAGGACGGACCCGATCTCATGGTCCGAGAAGAAAATCAGTCCTGCATCAAAATGACCAAGAATCCGGTCAACCACGGCCGCGCCAAACACAGTGATATCAAGTACCATCACATTCGCGATGAAGTCAAGCGCGGTGAAGCGAAGCTTGAATAATGCGAGACGACGGTGATGTTGGCAGACGTTATGACCAAGGGACTTCACGGACCGCGCCGCGAGGACTTAACAGTGGCGCTAGGCATCTGAGCGCGTTCGGATTGAGGGAATGTGTTGACGGTCATTGGTTTTCTACCAGTATTGGCAGCCGTGACCGGTTCAATCCGATATGCCTGCTCAGCTTTTACGACGTAGTTCTTACGGTAATTACCCATAGTTGATTAAACGCGTCGGATGATGAGACGCTTCACATGATTTATATGTACACCAAATGTAAATCATGTAGTTAGTAGTAAGCCACGATAATCAATCACTTCCGAATCTTCCAACTCGTGAGCAAGTGTCTTCTGCTCTACTCTCTTCAGCCTCTCCGCACCCTTCCCTCCGCTCTTTGCAATGCAACAGGTTATGAGTCCGAGCGCCATGTCGTAAACCACCAACGCATCATCCAACGCCTCCATTGATGAGTTCAATAGAGACAACTATGCGACTTGGAGTCGATACATGCGCGATGTGTATTTGAAGAAGTCTGTCTGGTATGTCGTGAACCGTGAAACGACTCCGGCTTTCACCGACCCTCGAGCGTCCGATGACTACGTCAAGGCGAGCAATGTCGCATTTGGTATGATGCTGCTGCACATGAATGCGGATTACCACCATGTGCTTGACAACTGCGAGGAAGCGTGGGTTGCGAGGACAAGTCTGAAGACGCTGTATGGTGGGTCGCAGAAGGCAGTACGCATCTTCCTCAAGCGACGACTTTTCAGTATCAAGATGGCTGAAGGCGCGAACGTCATGAACCACTGCAACGAGGTCCTCAACATCTCCGCCAAGCTTAGCGGCATCGGTGCGAAGATGGAAGACGAAGACGTTGCAATCTGTCTGCTGCTTGGTCTTCCAAAGAGCTACGAAAATGTGGTGCTCAACATGGAAATGAGTAGCGCCGAGCTTCGCACCCAGGATGTAGTGAGAGTGCTGACGAATGAGCACGCCAAGGATCAAGGAGAAAAAGGCATAACAACAGCGACTACGGTGAAGGCTGAAGATGCAAGCAAGGCATTTAGCCACAATACGTGCATTGTTAGGGAACTGAGTGCGAGCCCTATTAATGCACGTATTGTGGCAGGGTAAGACGCACGGTGGATCGTTGCTGGACAAAGCAGAAGAACGAAGGTCGAGGAGCCCGACGCGGCGGCAATGGTCGTGGACGCGGGGATAATAACTTCCAGTGGGGATATTATTATGAAGGCAATGAATACGATCGAGTGGCGTTTGCAGTATCGCTTAAATGTGGAGTTTCGACGAGCAAGTACATGTCTGGAATGTGGGCCGTCGACAGTGGTGAAACGCACCACATCTGCCACGACAAAATAAGTTTACAAGCTTGGTCAAAGGAAACGATGGCAAGATACTGGTGGCCGATGGTATCAAGCGGCCATCGAGGGTGTGGGATCCATCATTGAAAAGGTGGTTCTGTCCAACTGTGAAGAGCGCGAGATCAAGATCAAGAAAGCTTTATATGCTCGAAGTATTAGCAAGAACCTTCTTTCGGTGCCACAGGTCAACACGCATGGCAAGTTCCAAGTCGTGTTTAATGGGTCCAAGATGTATGTGACTCTCAAGAACTCACAGCAAGTGGTGGCGACAGCGGATCTTGTGGATGGACTTTACTGGCTTCGTACGACTCAGCGATATGCAAATGTGACAACAAGTGGAAACAGTTGTGCTGACCTACATTCGCGAATGAGTCACGCTCCAGTCGACGTACTACGCAAGATGATCACGACCAACATGATCAAGGATGTGCGAGTCCCTCTTACGTCGGGTGGAGCAACTGCATGTTGAGGGTTCCAACAAGGTAAAATGGTCTAAAAACCATTCCCAATCAACCGCGACAAGCGTAACTACGATACGTTCGAGCTGCTTCATCTAGACATCTGTGGGCCCATGGAAAACGAATCGATCGGTGGCAGCAGAAATCTGCTACTGATCGTAGACGAAGCCAGTGGATGTATGAAGGGCTTTTTACGAGTGAATTCCGAGAGTGAAGACTACATCCGGAAGTACATCACTATGGTACAGACGCAGTTCAGTAAGAAGGTCAAGTTTGTGCTACACGACGGAGCCCGCGAGTTCGCAACCAACTCGCTTCGATTGTTCTACGAAGATGAAGGCATTGAAAAGCAGACAACGGTGCATATGCGCATCAAACCAACGGAACAGCAGAGCGTGCTATTAGAACTATCGTCACGATCGGCTGCAGCATGCTTCATCATGCCAAACTGGACAAGTGTTCGTGGGCTGAAGCAGCGATGACGGCCATCAACGTCAAGAATCGACTTCCACCGCCTAAAGATGTACACAAGACCCCGTTTGAGATTGTCTACAACTCGAAACCAAGCGTCGAGCACATGCGAGCATTTGGATGTCGGACGTACATACTGACGCGAAAGAGAATCGACTCAAGAGGGATCCAAAGGCTGGCGTTGACATGTTCGTGGGCTACGAAGAAGTGTCGAAGGCGTATCAAGTTTATGACGTTGAAGCGGGGAAGGTGGTCGTCAGTCGTGATGTCAACTTCGACGAATCCATCTTTGGACTTCCAAAACCGATCACTGATGAAGGTGCCGATGAACTGGACTTCAAATTACTCAATGATGAAGAGCCGCGTCAGGTAGAGTACAAGCAAACAGGCAAGCGCAAGAGCCGCCTCGATGATGAAGATGCAGCTGCCCAACGACTGCGTGCATTGAGTCAGCGGCCTGGACTAGTAGAGTCAAGCACTCCGGACAGCAACTCGTCATGCTTAGAAGAAGACGCAGAAACGAAGGATTCTGATGAATCAACTCCGCCTGTGTTTTGGCGTGCGAGTGCGAATGCCGTAGAAGCAGCAATGGGTTTATTGGAGTCGTCAACATTTGAGGCAGCAGTGAGAAGCCCTGACAAAGTGCACTAGCGGAAATACATTCATGCGGAGCTCGAGTCAATGCGACTTCGCGGTGTGTTCGTGCAACCAAGCTACCTAACGGACAACGCGCCATTGGTAAGAAGTGGGTCTTCAAGATCAAGCGTAAAGCGGATGGATCTATCGAGAAGTACAAGGCACGACTTGTGGCCAAGGGTTTCCGCTTAAAGTATGGCATCGACTACACGGAGACATTTTCGCCTGTGATCAAGTATGTGACTGTGCGAATGGTGGTCGCAATTTCCAAGCCATTTGGATGGCCTATCGACCAGCTTGATGTGGTGACAGCTTTCCTGTATGGCGTCATGAAGGAACAAGTGATCTGTGTGATTCCTGAAGGCGTCAACCTTGATAGTACGTTCGACTGCCTGGTATTAGTGAAGTCAATTTACGGCCTCAAGCAAGCGTCGCGAGTGTGGAACGAGACGTTCGACAAGTTTGTGTGCTCTATTGGATTTCAAGCGTCGTACTTCGACCCATGTATCTACATCAAGACTTCGGACGGCCATTGTGTGCTTGTACTGGTCGACGTGGAAGACGTCTTGGTGACTGGAAGCTCGCTTGAGCTAATTGCACGAACCAAGAACGACTTGAAGACACGTTTTGAGATGACAGACAGCGGCAAGTATTCATTTGTTCTAGGGATCGAGCTTTTGGACGGTGAAGATGGCTGTGTGACTCTGTGTCAGCGCCGTTATGTCGATGATATCCTCAAGCGCTTTGGAATGGAGGAGTGCAAGGCTGTGGCGAGTCCTGTGGATGTCAGTTCTCGAGTGATGTCAAGCAGCACTGCGAGCAAGATCGATGTTCCATGCCGTGAAGCTGTTGGTGCTTTGATGCATCTGACGACTGCAAAACGACCGGACATTGCCTGTGCTGTGAGCTTTGTGTCGCGCTTCATGGAGAATCCCCAAGAAGAACACGGTTGCGGCCAAGAGCATCTTTCGCTACCTACAAGACACCAAGATGCATGGAATGTGCTCCAAGCCAAGTGCATGGATCGCTTTTCGTGGCTATTCGGACGCAGACTGGGCCGGCGACCTTACTGATCGCAAGTCAACGTCTGGCTACGTCTTCATGCTATTGGGTGCTCCAGTGAGTTGGGTCAGCAAGAAGCAGCCAAGTGTGTCACTGTCTACAAGTGAAGCGGAGTACATTGCGCTAATTCTGGCGATTCAAGAAGGCAAGTGGATCCACCGCTTACTATGCGATATCATGGCAGCTGCTAACGAGGACGGACCCGATCTCATGGTCCGAGAAGAAAACCAGTCCTGCATCAAAATGACCAAGAATCCGGTCAACCACGGCCGCGCCAAACACAGTGATATCAAGTACCATCACATTCGCGATGAAGTCAAGCGCGGTGAAGTGAAGCTTGAATAATGCGAGACGACGGTGATGTTGGCAGACGTTATGACCAAGGGACTTCACGGACCGCGCCGCGAGGACTTAACAGTGGCGCTAGGCATCTGAGCGCGTTCGGATTGAGGGAATGTGTTGACGGTCATTGGTTTTCTACCAGTATTGGCAGCCGTGACCGGTTCAATCCGATATGCCTGCTCAGCTTTTACGACGTAGTTCTTACGGTAATTACCATAGTTGATTAGACGCGTCGGATGATGAGACGCTTCACATGATTTATATGTACACCAAATGTAAATCATGTAGTTAGTAGTAAGCCACGATAATCAATCACTTCCGAATCTTCCAACTCGTGAGCAAGTGTCTTCTGCTCTACTCTCTTCAGCCTCTCCACGCCCTTCGCTCCGCTCTTTGCAATGCAACAGGTTATGAGTCCGAGCGCCATGTCGTAAACCACCAACGCATCATCCAACGCCTCCATTGATGAGTTCAATAGAGACAACTATGCGACTTGGAGTCGATACATGCGCGGTGTGTATTTGAAGAAGTCTGTCTGGTACGTCGTGAACCGTGAAACGACTCCGGCTTTCACCGACCCTCGAGCGTCCGATGACTACGTCAAGGCGAGCAATGTCGCATTTGGTATGATGCTGCTGCACATGAATGCGGATTACCACCATGTGCTTGACAACTGCGAGGAAGCGTGGGTTGCGAGGACAAGTCTGAAGACGCTGTACGGTGGGTCGCAGAAGGCAGTACGCATCTTTCTAAAGCGACGACTTTTCAGCATCAAGATGGCTGAAGGCGCGAACGTCATGAACCACTGCAACGAGGTCCTCAACATCTCCGCCAAGCTTAGCGGCATCGGTGCGAAGATGGAAGACGAAGACGTTGCAATCTGTCTGCTGCTTGGTCTTCCAAAGAGCTACGAAAATGTGGTGCTCAACATGGAAATGAGTAGCGCCGAGCTTCGTACCCAGGATGTAGTGAGAGTGCTGACGAATGAGCACGCCAAGGATCAAGGAGAAAAAGGCATAGCAACAGCGACTACGGTGAAGGCTGAAGATGCAAGCAAGGCATTCAGCCACAATACGTGCATTGTTAGGGAACTGAGTGCGAGCCCTATTAATGCACGTATTGTGGCAGGGTAAGACGCACGGTGGATCGTTGCTGGACAAAGCAGAAGAACGAAGGTCGAGGAGCCTGACGCGGCGGCAATGGTCGTGGACGCGGGGATAATAACTTCCAGTGGGGATATTATTATGAAGGCAATGAATACGATCGAGTGGCGTTTGCAGTATCGCTTAAATGTGGAGTTTCGACGAGCAAGTACATGTCTGGAATGTGGGCCGTCGACAGTGGTGAAACGCACCACATCTGCCACGACAAAATAAGTTTACAAGCTTGGTCAAAGGAAACGATGGCGAGATACTGGTGGATGATGGTATCAAGCGGCCATCGAGGGTGTGGGATCCATCATTGAAAAGGTGGTTCTGTCCAACTGTGAAGAGCGCGAGATCAAGATCAAGAAAGCTTTATATGCTCGAAGTATTAGCAAGAACCTTCTTTCGGTGCCACAGGTCAACACGCATGGCAAGTTCCAAGTCGTGTTTAATGGGTCCAAGATGTATGTGACTCTCAAGAACTCACAGCAAGTGGTGGCGACAGCGGATCTTGTGGATGGACTTTACTGGCTTCGTACGACTCAGCGATATGCAAATGTGACAACAAGTGGAAACAGTTGTGCTGACCTACATTCGCGAATGAGTCACGCTCCAGTCGACGTACTACGCAAGATGATCACGACCAACATGATCAAGGATGTGCGAGTCCCTCTTACGTCGGGTGGAGCAACTGCATGTTGAGGGTTCCAACAAGGTAAAATGGTCTAAAAACCATTCCCAATCAACCGCGACAAGCGTAACTACGATACTTTCGAGCTGCTTCATCTAGACATCTGTGTGCCCATGAAAAACGAATCGATCGGTGGCAGCAGAAATCTGCTACTGATCGTAGACGAAGCCAGTGGATGTATGAAGGGCTTTTTACGAGTGAAGTCCGAGAGTGAAGACTACATCCGGAAGTACATCACTATGGTACAGACGCAGTTCAGTAAGAAGGTCAAGTTTGTGCTACACGACGGAGCCCGCGAGTTCGCAACCAACTCGCTTCGATTGTTCTACGAAGATGAAGGCATTGAAAAGCAGACAACGGTGCATATGCGCATCAAACCAACGGAACAGCAGAGCGTGCCATTAGAACTATCATCACGATCGGCTGCAGCATTCTTCATCATGCCAAACTGGACAAGTGTTCGTGGGCTGAAGCAGAGATGACGGCCATCAACGTCAAGAATAGACTTCCGCCGCCTAAAGATGTACACAAGACCCCGTTTGAGATTGTCTACAACTCGAAACCAAGCGTCGAGCACATGCGAGCATTTGTATGTCGGACGTACATACTGACGCGAAAGAGAATCGACTCAAGTGGGATCCAAAGGCTGGCGTTGACATGTTCGTGGGCTACGAAGAAGCGTTGAAGTCGTATCAAGTTTATGACGTTGAAGCGGGGAAGGTGGTCGTCAGTCGTGATGTCAACTTTGACGAATCCACCTTTGGACTTCCACCACCGATCACTGATGAAGGTGCCGATGAACTGGACTTCAAATTACTCAATGATGAAGAGCCGCGTCAGGTAGAGTACAAGCAAACAGGCAAGCGCAAGAGCCGCCTCGATGATGAAGATGCAGCTGCTCAACGACTGCGTGCATAGAGTCAACGGCCTGGACTAGAAGAGTCAAGCACGCCGGACAGCAACTCGTCATACTAAGAAGAAGACGCAGAAACGAAGAATTCTGATGAATCAACTCCGCCTGTGTTTTGGCGTGCGAGTGCGAATGCCGTAGAAACAGCAGCGGGTTTATTGGAGTCGTCAACATTTGAGGCAGCAGTGAGAAGCCCTGACAAAGTGCACTAGCGGAAATACATTCATGCGGAGCTCGAGTCAATGCGACTTCGCGGTGTGTTCGTGCAACCAAGCTACCTAACGGACAACGCGCCATTGGTAAGAAGTGGGTCTTCAAGATCAAGCGTAAAGTGGATGGATCTATCGAGAAGTACAAGGCACGACTTGTGGCCAAGGGTTTCCGCCAAAAGTACGGCATCGACTACACGGAGACATTTTCGCCCGTGGTCAAGTATGTGACTCTGCGAATGGTGGTCGCAATTTCCAAGCCATTTGGATGGCCCATGACCAGCTTGATGTGTTGACGGCTTTCCTGTATGGCGTCATGAAGGAACAAGTGATCTGTGTGATTCCTGAAGGCGTCAACCTTGATAGTACGTTCGACTGCCTGGTATTAGTGAAGTCAATTTACGACCTCAAGCAAGCGTCGCGAGTGTGGAACGAGACGTTCGACAAGTTTGTGTGCTCCATTGGATTCCAAGCGTCGTACCTCGACCCATGTCTCTACATCAAGACTTCGGACGGCCATTGTGTGCTTGTACTGGTCGACGTGGAAGACGTCTTGGTGACTGGAAGCTCGCTCGAGCTAATTACACGAAACAAGAACGACCTGAAGACACGTTTTGAGATGACAGACAGCGGCAAATGTGCATTTGTTCTAGGGATCGAGCTTTTGGACGGTGAAGATGGCAGTGTGACTCTGTGTCAGCGCCGTTATGTCGATGATATCCTCAAGCGCTTTGGAATGGAGGAGTGCAAGGCTGTGGCGAGTCCTGTGGATGTCAGTTCTCGAGTGATGTCAAGCAGCACTGCGAACAAGATCGATGTTCCATGCCGTGAAGCTGTTGGTGCTTTGATGCATCTGACGACTGCAAAACGACCGGACATTGCCTGTGCTGTGAGCTTTGTGTCGCGCTTCATGGAGAATCCCCAAGAAGAACACTGGGTTGCGGTCAAGAGCATCTTTCGCTACCTACAAGACACCAAGATGCATGGAATGTGCTCCAAGCCAAGTGCATGGATCGCTTTTCGTGGCTATTCGGACGCAGACTGGGCCGGCGACCTTACTGATCGCAAGTCAACGTCTGGCTACGTCTTCATGCTATTGGGTGCTCCAGTGAGTTGGGTCAGCAAGAAGCAGCCAAGTGTGTCACTGTCTACAAGTGAAGCGGAGTACATTGCGCTAATTCTGGCGATTCAAGAAGGCAAGTGGATCCACCGCTTACTATGCGATATCATGGCAGCTGCTAACGAGGACGGACCAGATCTCATGGTCCGAGAAGAAAACCAGTCCTGCATCAAAATGACCAAGAATCCGGTCAACCACGGCCGCGCCAAACACAGTGATATCAAGTACCATCACATTCGCGATGAAGTCAAGCGCGGTGAAGTGAAGCTTGAATAATGCGAGACGACGGTGATGTTGGCAGACGTTATGACCAAGGGAATTCACGGACCGCGCCGCGAGGACTTAACGGCGGCGCTAGGCATCTGAGCTCGTTCGGATTGAGGGAATGTGTTGACGGTCATTGGTTTTCTACCAGTATTGGTAACCTTGACCGGTTCAATCCGATATGCCTGCTCACCTTTTACAACGTAGTTCTTACGGAAATTACCCATAGTTGATTAAACGCGTAGGGTGATGAGACGCTTCACATGATTTATATGTACACCAATGTAAATCATGTAGTAAGCAGTAAGCCCCGATAATCAATCACTTCCGAATCTTCCAACTCGTGAGCAAGTGTATTCTGCTCTACTCTCTTCATCCTCTCCACGCCCTTCGCTCCGCTCTTTGCAATACAACAGGTTTTTTGCATTGTATAGTTAAAGCCTTTTTGCTGCCATTGCTTTTAATTCGTCGAAACTGGAGAAGGGTTCAGCTAGGTCGGCGAGCTCTTCGAGGTCGTCTTATGTAACAACAATCCCCTTAGGCCCTTTCAATTGATCTTCCGTAGAACCCCAACGTGCCATTGGATGGACGATATTGCCAGATTGAAGGCATTATGAACGTTGATCAACCGTCAGATGTTTGACCACTATCGTTGATTGAAGCCACAAGATGCGAACCACCCCATGAAGGAACGTGGGGAAACCTGCGAGCTTGAAAGTGATCTTCGAAACCGTAGGAGTTCGAAGTTTAGGGTTATGACTATATATGTAATTTAATTCAAACTCTGATGGAAAGTTTGCCTTTAGAAAAGCCGCGATGTGCTCAATATCGCTTAAGCGATGAAGGTTATGCAGCTGCGCAACGTGCTCAGCACGTCACGCCGACGCCGGTCCACTTATTTCGTGCTGTCGCTGCCACACAGATCCGCGATCAGTCCTATGCGCATTCCGAAAACGGTACACACTTCCATAAAATGGCACGCAAGCATCTTGGTCAGCCTTTGCTGCATCCCTGGTAAAGAAAAAGAAGTGGATGGACTTTGTGACCGGATTGTAAACGGGTTGTCTGTGTGTGATGCAGCATATGATACAACTTTTGCAGGCTAAACCTCGCGAACTCAGCTGTTTCAGAAATAGTATCTTGATCGCTTTGTTTGTCAGTCGAGCCAGTTTGGTCGAGCGATATCGATCCAGATGGAGAACTAGTTCCCCTTCACCCTGAGCCTGTATGGTACGATACAGTCGAAGGCGCTCTTCACTTTTGAGGACGTGCTGCACGAACGCAGGTAGTCGTCGACAGGCGATTGTGCTTTCCACTAGCCCGACAATTACTGCCTATTCATCTTTGCTCCCATCCCGCACGTACTTAGGGCCTGTCACAGGCACTGATCGTTCACAAAGGGCTCTGAGGCGAATATTCTCGTCACACGAAAACTTCGCCGGGTAAAACATAGTCATCAAATAGGGCTTGCCTGTGCTGTGCTGTCGTACGCTTGGTACCGATTCTCCTTGTCGTACGACCTTTGACCACTGGTATAGCACCGTGTCCTGAACCCATTTGTGTTCACTAAATAAATCCCGATCAATTTCCCTAAATGCCCATGTGGACGTGAGGAGCTCGTGCGTTATGGACCGTGCCGATTGGTCCAGCTTAAAAAAGTTGCCATGGACTTTGACAAAAACCTGGTCGAATAAACCCACTAGACTATTTGCTTCAGCCGCCGTTAGTGTCGTATACCGCTTTTACTCCACAGAACGAGCCTCTGTGGTGAAGTCGATCTCACAAAATTGCTTGTATGAGCGTCGATCTTCCACTTGCCCAGACTTGCCGACTCACGGAGGGGGTACTCCGATCCGTGCCTTGTTGTATGACCTTGTGCTCACCTTGTGTACCCGTCGGTTGGGCTGGCTTGAGCTCTTCGTAACGGCCTTGGGAGATGTCGATCTCGCTGAGAGGTTGGGTTGAGGGTTCGCTTCCGGTGCGGAAATCTTCACACCACGAACGGGGGTTCTGCGATCCCGATCTTGGATCGCACCGATCTTGATTCGTCTTCGAGATCGGGGTCTTTGCTGTGCGGAAATCTTCACTCAGCAAATAAAAGTCCTGCGTCGATCTTGCCTTGGGATCGGTCCGATCTGGTCTTGGGATCGGCCGATCTTGCCGGAAGTGCGCAATTTGGGTAGATCGGTGTCCCGTTTCGCCAAAATGAAACGTGCCGATCTGTCCAGGGGATCGCTTCGATCCTGCTCGGTCTTGTCTTGAACGCCTTGTCCAGATCTTCTGACCACTTGAGCCGTCTCGCGATCGTGTGTCCAATATCCTTTTCCTTTTCCGTTGTGTGCTGCTACCCTAGCAGTTGAGTTGAGTGTGAGTACTTGATCGATCCGGGCCAGATATCCCGGGATCGCTCTTCTCGATCTTGGCCAACAATCCAAGATCGGTCTTCTGTGTCCCTGTAACACGCGTGCCTTAACCCGCCGGGGAAGCCAAATCAATCTTGCCTGGAGAAGAGGGGAGGATAACGTGCGTCATGAGCAGAAGAAGTAGAGTTCAAGTCTGTTTATTAACCAACCAAATTACTATCCAACCTACCCTTAAGCCTATTCTTAACTATAGGTCACTCTTCAAACCGATATCGCCTTGAATCTGGATCGCCCCCTTGCCACATGTCGAAATTTCGTGCCCTGTACTCCAATGATAGCGCCAATATTCCCGATACCGTACCTGAACGCCAAAAGAGGACCAAATCCCAAATGGAGTACCAAATACCCATTTTTGGTACTCAAAAGCCTAAAATAGTGCCCAAATGCCGAAGGCGTCTAAATCCATTTTGCGACGTCAATTTAACCGGCTTCCACTGGCTCTTTCGATCTGAACTTTTGAGACATCACTCATGGACCTTCAACAAGCATGTTTTTCATGATCCAAAATTCTCATCAACGATACATCCATAATCAGTGGGGATCATGACCGATCTGATGCCCAATTCGAGATTGTTGAGGATCGACACAGTACAATCCGGCCATATATGTTCTTCCGTTCATTGTGTGCACTCCGATGCTTTATCAAAATGATTATGCTTCAACATCCACATCCTTGCCTCTGATCAGCCTTCAGAGTGGTCGTTCGGTTCAATCCAGTCCCTCATCCCAGATCGCACCGTGGAAATCACCCCTTGCTACGCCCCGTCTCAAACCACGTCGCATCGCCTGGTCCCAGGCGTACTTTTCTCAAATGATTCTGCTTCAACATCCACATCCTTTCCTTTGATCAGCCTTTAGAGTGGTCGTTCGGTTCAATCCAGTCCCTCGTCCCAGATCGCACCGTTGGAATCACCCCTTTCTACGCCCCGTCTCAAATCACGTTGCATCGCCTGGTCCTAGGCGTACCTCTTCCGCCAGTGGGTGACATCTTAACTGGGTGGAAACCGATCCACGTCCCATCATTTTTTTTTTGATTAGTGACTTTACCACAGTTACACCTTCGTCGCAGAGTCATATCCCATCACCCGGTCCCAGATCCTTGTCCCAGATTGTTCCATGTAAATCGTTCCAGATCGCTCCGTCCCAGGTCGATCCATACCCATTAGTCTAACGACAGTTGGATCGGTTCGCCGATCCCGTTAAGATCATCTTCCACCTCCGTATTGGATCGCCGAGTCTCATGGCCTCCTTTTCCACCAGTAAGCGGCGCTTTAAAGATGTGGCCACCGATCCTCGTACAAAATTTGAGTAGTGACTTTGCCACACCTCTATATTAATAGGTACCGAGTTGTATTCGGCTGCGTATAAATGTTGCACAGTCCTGGTCCATGCTTTAAATTAACTCAATTTCGGATCCTCATCCCTGCCCTTCACCAGCGTAGTATATGTTATCTCCGAAGTTGCGCTCAGCGGGCTAGCCCGTTGCGCCTGACCTGCGTCATCATTGACCACTATATTTGTGGCAGAGCGCGCGCTCTGATCCCCATACTCCATTTTGCCATCTTGCTCTGTAGGTGAGATAAGGAAGTGTCAGCCGTGTCACCGCCTCCCCCTCCAAGCGGAGGTAGGCCAGTTTAGGTAATCGTGAGCGCGTTACGCGGTAGGTGGGTCTGGTGCACGGTTTACACTACGCCTGATCAGCTGTTCATCTCTGCGTCGCAGATCGGGAGGGGGTGGTTCGGTTCGACAGATCGTCTACGCTGGAAACTTAAGCGAGTTGTCGATTGGGAGATTAATTAACATGTCACAGATTTGCGGTCTTACCATGGAGGCGCCTTTACCGTAAATATGACAATGGCAGATAAATTTGCGTCCTAACGGACGTCAATTTTTAGCTCCAGTCATCGGTCTGCAGTCCTGGAGGCTTTACCTACCGCTATGCACAAGTTTGTGACCATTCCGGAGGACACAAGTCTCTCTTACCTTGACAACGAACGACTTATAAGACCACTTACGGAAGCTTAGGAGCTTATAGCTGTATAAGGACTTAGTATGCACAAATTTGCCGGGCGAAATGATCCAAACAAAGCTTTTTATAAGGATACGTCTGCTCTTATGGTAAAAGCGCTAATTATCATTAGTTCACAATTTTTAGCTAGGGCGGACCTCCCGCCTTCGCTTTTAAAGGCAGTAATTTTTTCGCTTCGCAAGAAAGGTGACTCAGATGAAGTTATTGATCATCATCCAATTTCGCTTTTGCGAAATGGTTACAAGGTTTTTGAGAAACTTCTAGCGACACGACTACAGGTCTTTTCCTCAGGTCATCCGTGACTCTCTACAAGGCTTCGTTCAAGGACCACGGATGGCCATTACGGTGATAATGATGATGGCTCATCTGACGACCTCGACAACGCAACAGGATGTGGCAGCGCCTCAGCAAGTGCATATGCCATTAGACTTCCGGAAGGTCTACAACACGGTTTACATAGGTTTTCTGTATGAATCTATGCGACTGTTCGGACTTGACTTACGCTTCGTCGATCCTATTTGACGTAATCACACTGGCAAAAGGGCCAAATGTTAATTTTG